CAAAATCTAACTTTTAATGGTTACATCTTGTTTTTGTGCAAACTTATATTCATAGATGTTGTGCTGCATATTCGATCTTAATTTCATCGATACCAAAAAATTTTGTATTAATGTTGTAGGGCTGATATTCGCATATAATAGTAGTTAGCAATAAGCAATTAGCAATAATGGTAATTAGAAATAAGGCACCTCTTTCTTTGCGCAAAACTACTTCAACACTGAAGATTTTGGCTCTAAGGCTATTTTCAAGGTTTTACTGTCAAGATTAACCCTAACAACTTCTTCCCTGTGGGGAATTCACAAACATAAACAATGAGAAGCAGGTAATGGTGTTAAGTTTAGAATTTTTTGCCATCTGTCTTCTATTGATTGTATAGTTTCAAGAACAAGTTTAGTTGCTTGATCTGTTAATACAAATTATTATTTTTCAAATCTAAAAGCTCTAGGGTTGCCTTTTGTCAGATGTTGAGATATTTCACACTACTATTCATAAATCATCCCCCCATAGAATGAAACCGCAGCAGCTAAACATGTTTAGATATATTGGGAGATTAAGCTCTTGTTTGGTAAACTAATCATTAGCTAAAAAGTTCTGATTAATCTGTGTCTGCATTAATCTTATTATTACACAAGATAAAACTTTCATTTCGAATAATCATCTGACAAACAAAATTAATCTTTTAATGATTACATAACTAAACCTAAAATCCAAATAGGTAGGGCCCGGTTTATTTAAAATGTTTCAAGTCAACAAAATTTAATATTACCAAAATTATTGCCATTCTAATATAAATTATTGCCCAAAAAGTTGTTTAATTTCGTACACAACATTTTACAGTGATAGACAATGATACAATAATGATTTAGGACTATTAAATTTGGCTATTCTTTGATCTAAAATGTATGAATTGCTTTTCAACTCTCAGGGCGGATGAGGAAGTTAGAGAGTAGGTAAAGAAAATGATTTAAGGAGTTATAAGTAGTCGACCTTGTTAACTTGGCCCAAGGTAGTTTCTACTTTCAGTTTTGTTGGCTTATAACTGTAACAAGTGTCAATATTTACAAAACTCAGTGGACTTGCTATGCAAATAAAAAACTAACAGCAACATAGATTTTAACTTTTTGTGGTGATATAAATATCACCGTATTTTGTCAAAAATATGTTCATCATAATAATAAGGGGCATTATAATGTACTTTTGTATTGTTCACTTACATGTTTAACTTAATTACAAAAATCATTTTCTTGTTTACAAAATTACTCTTGAAGCTCATGTTGTACAAACAACCTAACAACATTTTCCTTCACAAAAATTACAAGTCCAGGTTTTAGTCAAACTAAGTACTCTGCATTAAAAAAATGTTGTGTATATTTAGGTAAAGTACTGTTAATATCTCCTTGAGTCTATTAATCATTGAATATGTCCATTTACTTCAATTTAGAAGGGATTATGCATTTATTAGTAAATTAATATAGCCTAGTTTCTATATTATACTCTGTCTGAATTTAATGTGCGGTTAAATCACAAATTTGTTTTCCCCTGCTTTCTCCCTGGCCCCTGCCACCACCACACATTCGCATACAGCTGGTTCACTGTTCATAATTTTACAACAGGTGTCACTTTGTTTACATTTAGTGGTTTAAATAAAATTGTGATTATTCTGATGGTATTTTGTGCAGTTTAACATTATTCAGTCTGAGTTTACTTGATGGTTAATCAGAAATGACCAAAAGGTGCCAAGATATTACAATCCAAACTAAAAAACACAATAAAAATCAATCTTCCAGTTTTATTCTGTGGTAGTTCAGTCATAATATAAACAAAAGCTTCCTAAAACACTGTCTGCAATATAAAACAGATGATTGTTAGGGGGATTTCAGTGTAGAAAAGGGTAAATGAGTGGGAGATTTCCCATGATAGGGAAATCATATGTTAATTCCAACCGCACAATTATTTTAGACAGACTTTAGTTGTAGTTTAAATTAATTCTAGATGTCATTTACTTAATATTCTACAATAATCTAAATAAAAAATCTAATTAATAACTGAATACAACATAGTTTTTATAAGATAACAGCTTGATAGACAAAGGCAAATTTTCGTGGCTTATTTAGTTTTCTCACAAGGCTTGCATATTTAATCATATTATTTACCCAACACTTAGCCTTTAGTAAATTACATTGGCCATCTTAAAGCTTGGGTAAAAAGAACACACATACTACTCTGACCTGCCATTTGGCAAATTAACACAAATAAACCAACAATGTGTCATTAGCTGATCTCAATCAAACAGTGCCCCTTGTAATAAATTCACCACTGTGGATTGATGTAGGGTTTTAAGGTTTTATGTTCAAAGACATTGTTCAGTATGAGAGTGGAAACAGAGTAAGAGAGTGAAAGTTCAGTATGTAAAGAGGTCTGACACTAAACATTGAATTCAAGGCTCAGATAAGCAGAACTACTCATGTCAGTACTGTAAACATGATGCCTTACACACTAGTACATCATTTGCATGTATAATTATCTTTATACTTATTTTTAAATAATGGTGGACCTAGTTTTTTTTAGTTAATTTATACCAGGTGCCCAATAATTAGTGCCAAATTTCTGGAAGTGGTTTTATGTTTCAAAATAAAAAGGATTATAAAGAATTGCATTTGTTCCAAAAATGCTTCGTTTATAATATACCCAATATTTGGTAAATTTTACACAACAATCTATATTTTTGTATTTTTCTACCAACCTTTATGAAACTCGTCATGATAAAGTATAAGAGACCTATCATGGGAAAATTCTAAAATTTAGTCTAATTAAACATTTTTCTAAATATGGGCCTTTTAACATTTTCAATGTCTAATTTCATGAAAACGAGCAACTCAATCAAAACTTTACAGTGTATAAATTTAAAGCACAATTAAGTTTAAATCCAATGCCCTTTTGATTGTAAAATTCTATTAATTAATAAACCAATTTTGGCAATTTTAATAACAAATTGTAAATGGTGACCGTTTTTATTTTAATTTTTAAAATCCTAAAAATACCTTATATGATTTAAACTAAGTTGGCATAGTCAGGTAGTCTTTAGTATTTAATTTGAAACCTTGCACATATATTTTTTGAAAGCACAAAAAAATTTTTCAACTAACACTTATAATTAATATATCTATATATTTAATACGCTAGGCATATTTTTGTCATAATTGTTTTGGAGCGGTGGTGCTACCGATCACCATGTTCAATGTGTCGTTAGAAAGGTCTTATCATGTAGTTTTGCCATCAAACAAAAAAACTTTGGAATTCCATCAGGGCTCTGCCCCAGTGGCCTTCAAATTTCCCATGTTATTCTTAGGGAGAAAATGTTTGTTTACATTTGAACAGATGAATACTTTGAAATTGACACTAATATTTCAAACAGCTGGTTACCTATACTAAAATTGGAGACATGTGCTAATTAGATTTAACCAGTTTTTATTTGCACAAAATCAAAACATAACCAAAAAAATGTTTGACATAATGGAAACTATAAGACGTCGGACGGCTAATAAGAGGAGTCCGATGAACTTTAACTGGTAGACGCGAACGAAATACAAATAATACTGTTGTCGTTGATAACCGAATACAGCAAGCACCCTTCCGTGTTGGGTTTAAGTGTGCTTTCCAACAGCCGCCTGAAGATTTCACCTTCAATTTAGGACTGATAGGAGCATTGGACACTGTGCTGCATTTCTTGATAAATCATTAACCCTTTGAGTGCCAGGCGAGAAATAAAAGTAACGCTCAAAAAATGCCGATGATTTTTCCCGAAGGTCGCGCTAAAAATGCCGAGCGCGATCTGGCGATTTTTAGGTTAAAATTTCGTAAAAATCGAATTTTCGATATTTCGACCAACGAAAATCGATGTATCGCATCTAGTAAATTTCGACTCAATGTTAATATATGGGTTAAAAGAATCCGAGTATCCATTCGGTTGTTATGACAACTGTTTGATCATTACGAAACGTCCGGTCAGCCGGACGTTGGCACTTTTGGCTCGTTCTAAAAACGTCCGGTCGGCCGGACGTCGGCACTTTTGGCTCGTTTTAAAAACGTCCGGTTCCCCGGACGTTGGCACTCAAAGGGTTAAAAGAGCCGATTTGCAAACTATGGAAACATAGGAAATGTGTTTTTTAGAGTTTATAATCATTATGGACAACCTAATGTGGGTATGAGTGGGAAACATTTGTAGAAAACGCTAACAAAACAAGATCAGCTTTTGAAAAATGAAACATATTAACAAGAAATTTTGATTATATAGAACTGTTAAGTACATCGTGAGTGTTTCCATAATCTTTGAGTCGACTCTTTTAAAGTCATCGGAAATTATGACTGATATTCGTTTTAAAATAACGCCTGTAAATATTTCGCAATTACTCGAATTCGAGCAACAGGTACACTAGTTTACACTTATACTGTTTACTCACAAGACGGTAAATACGTATAAAAGATGGTAAGTGATGATCGATTTTGATTGGACACTCCAATCATCATTAGACCCAATAGGCGAATGGTCTGATATGGTCTGAAGGTCTAATAACATGTACGATGCTGATAAAGAAGTTATTTATTTAATTATTGGACACCCTGTTTAGTGAACTCCTAAATCCTTAGAATTGACTATTGACATCACATTTAAAAAATATTACCCAAGTAGGCCTAGCTTTCTATTATTTAAAACCTTAATGCTTCCTCTATTAGGATTTCTGACTTGTTGAGCAGAATCTGCTAATTCATCCTATTTAATACTCATCTTGGCCTTTTGGCTCAGCAAATCTTTAGTATAAACAAATAAATTGTCTCCATGTTGGAGTCCATGATATGAAAGTATACTTTAACTCTTCATTTATCATGTAAAACTTAGAGAATTTGTGTATGAAAGTTGGGCTTTTGGCTTGACCCTCACAGTGATTTTAACATGAAGATAATCAAATAGTCTTCTCCTAAATTAATTTTGTTGTTTTAGCAATGCCTTGGTTTGGCATGGACATTGGCGGAACACTCAGCAAACTAGTTTATTTTGAACCGAAAGATGTAACAGAAGATGAAGCTGATGCAGAAATTGAAACCCTCAGGAATATCAGGCGGTATTTAACAAAAAACTCAGCATATGGAAACACCGGCCATAGGGACACCCACCTACAGGTAACCGTGTAGAAAAGTAAAAGGTTTAGTAAGTTTTCATTTATATATATGTTCTTTAATTTATTAAATTCCATTTAACAGAAGAGCTTACAATTTTCGAATATACTTTTATTGGTAAGCTGTGAGTATCACTATCATGCCATCTATAAAATACTTGGTAATCAAACTGGCTCAGTGAGAACAGGTAAAGCTTGGATACTTACACTACCTATTTATTATTTAGAGTTCAACTCTACTTAATATTATATACAGCAAATAATCTCTAATCCGGATACAGTCCATTAATATACATGTACTTAATCCTGTCAGCCATTTGACAGCAATTTGTAAAAATCTCAGCTGAGTTAAGACTGTTGATTGTGTGTTGACCACTCAGTTTGTTGCACAGCTTACAATGCTTCATTTGTTAACTGTTTCACTATTCAAGAAGCTTTTTTCTGTAAAAAAAAAAAAAAATTACCAGACCAGAGGTTTCCAAACGACCCTAAAATACCAGTGCCTGTCTTTGCAATGGCTTTGATTAGCGTAGTGGAAGAAACAGTATCTACTATCACTATGTCCAATTATTGTCATGCCAAGATCAAATCAAACTTTACTTTTATTTAATTTAGTTGAATTAATAATAAAACATAAAAACGCCATACTCAATTATTTTGTGAATTTATTTACGATTCTGGTTAAGAGATAAGTAGACCAGTAACAAAGTCATCACATTGTCATCACCCTCCACCACCAAGCCTCATTCACTCACCTTCATTCACTCATTACTAATTCATATTGACTTATATTAAAATAGTGTGTGTGGCTGTGTCTAAAAGTCATGTAACAACCCCAACTGCTCTTTGGAAAGTGATTCACTTTGTTACATTGTATTGAGATTAACACATTCGCTGCTACGGAGGTTCCGGAATGTCAGCCGGGCCACGGCGCCAGGAGCTAGGAACGTTCCGGAACGTCACCGTTCATTGCTTTTTAACGTTTCCATGGATCAGCCAGCTCGTCACTAGTGTCCTATATTTCTTTGCAGCTCGTGGGGACATACTTTTCTGACCACCAGGGTCGTTAGAACAACAGGGCTTTGCCCTACCTCTTTCCTGCTAGATAGTGACACTACTTTACCGACTGCAACCTGGGTAGTGCTGCTATCTATCAGAATCACTTAGTACCATGTCCAAAGCCAGTTTTATTGCAGAACATTGCCATCCAGTATACCTAACTACTTTTGTTTTTACTGTAATTCAGTGTATCGGCGGTAATGTTACGCAGCGGCGAGCGTTAGTTCTGCTCCTGTCGCCGTCCCGGCATCTAGCGGTCAGCAGCAAACGTGTTAAAGTCTATTTCATAGTTATACGGCATAAATACAAGTTGGTTTATTGATTGATCCTACAATTTATTAAATAATTATAGAACTTTTATTGCTACTGAATGATTTTACAGAACCAATTCATACCTGCAATATGTAGGTAAATCCTAACATCACTAAATTAACCCAAAGAAACATTCCAATTTTGGTTTAGAACCGGAAATGTCCAACCAGTCATGAATTGACTCCAGACCAATATAGATTCAAGGATGGAGATTTTTAAAATCCTTGTCATTGTTTATTTTTGTACACTCTGAACTAATGCATATTTGGTGAAGATGAGTGGAGATTTTTAGCTCTATCACCATTCACCAAATTACTTACTGATGGTGTCCTTGGGGGTTTCAGACTGGTTTCCTCTCCTATTTTTGTTTTGTAAAGTAAATATGCTTCTTGTTTTCATGTAATATACTCCACTCTTAGGATTAAATATTTTTTTAACTATTTGATTAAAAAAATCCAGCCATAAGTAATACTACCTCTATATTTTACAAGGCCATATATCTCTACTAAAATAGTCACTAATTTTTTTTAAAGTAACTTATAAAGGTAAACACAATTGGAAACATGTAGTTTAAAAAAAAAAATATCAATTTACATGGATCATAATATATTATTAATTTTCATACTATACTTACAAATGATGTTACTGGCCCGAAAGTAAAAATTATCTTACATTGCTTAAATTAAACTGTCTAAACCAGTGTGTTAACCCTTTCAGTGCTAGGCCAATAATTTGTATTTTCTAAGACTTTATTGTTTGCCTTTAATTCCATTACCTGTTATTGAATTTTAACTGTAAATGTTGTCACTATTTTATTAATTAGGCTAATTTTGAATAATAAGACAGTAAGAAAATATATAACAAAGATAAATCCCGGTATTTGTAGTAAACATTAAATAAAACTTAGTTTTTGTTGTAATTTTCCGAATTTCCTATAAATTTTTATGTTCTGATAGCATTGTTTGTAACCAAAATCTCATAAAATCGAAAGACATCTAGTTTACAATGTAATATTGAATTTAACCTTGATTTAGTTTGATAAAATTATTATAATATAGCCGTTTTAGGAAAAATACTTAGCGCCAGTATCACAATTTATGATCACTGTTGTGGTTCAACTGAAAAATATCATCTTAATAGTCCGTGACTATCTAGTGCTGCTACGTAGGAACACATTGAACAACCTACTACAGCGCTATCTGTTCGCAATCATTGGCGTCAGCTTAAATACCGGTTTTTGACTCCTCAATCTCCAAGCACAGATAGCCTAGAAGGCTAGGGCGTGTGTCACTTGGCCAGTGGCATTCGTTTGCTCGGGTTCAATTCCCGTCCTGTGTGGCAAATAATTGATGACCTTTGTGTTTGTAGCGATATACTACAACCACTGCCACTGGGGCATAGTTAGGTGTTCATAATCCTTGGTTTAGGCATTCACCTCGAATCATCGGATTGGGCGAATCTTTTAGCTAAAAGGTTGTTAGTGTATCCTATGGTCACCAATGGCCGTTTTGCTACTTTTTGTTAAAATAACCTTCCTCTCTATATCCCTTAGATATTTTAGTAAACAACGATATATTGTTGCATAGCACTGAAAGGGTTAATGTAATAAGTATAGGATCAGGTGGGCCAGTTGTGTCATTTGTTTATGTTTATGATCCGCTTTCTGTTCTAATATTCTATGACGATGTAACTATGACTATGTTTATAATTTCTCAATTTCTCAGTCATAACAACCTATCTACTACATAATTGCTATTGCTAAATTGTTTAAATAAAAGTCATTAAAATATGCAAATTTACCTTTTCCCAAATAGGCCCAGTAAAATAATTACATGATTGAAATAATTACATATCTGGATGTGAAATTCTTTCCTAAAAGTATCTTCTGTTGTATTTACTTCATATAACTGTTAAGGTTGAATATCAGTAAAAATTCTTCCCATGCAAAAATAACGTACGTATATTTATCGTTTTCGGTCTGTTTATGGTAAGCAGAGTAGGTTTCTTATCATTGTGGTATGTGTTGATCAGATGGATGACGTAAGGATAGGAGGACGTACAGGATCACTGCACTTCATCAGGTTCCCCACTTGTGAGATGGGAAACTTCCTGGCTCTGGCCAAGAGCAAAGGAATGGCTACGCTGATCACCACAGTGTGTGCTACTGGTGGTGGCGCGTACAAGTTTGAGAAAGATTTCATGCAGGTTAGTCTCAACATTCAACCAATACTGAGTATAAACCAAGATTTTTTAGTCAAACCTTTAAAATGTGAATACCCCCGCTGCAGCAAACCTGCCGACTAAGCAAATTTCCATTTGCCTGGATTGATTTTCAATTAACCTATTAAATTAACATTTATGTTTAACGAGTACCTAGGTTAGCTGCTACAGGGAAACTAATAAAGTGTGTTTTTTAATAAAATATCAATAGCTTAGGCCTAGTATGAAATAAATAAATCCGCCATTTAAAAGTTTGATCAAAATATATCCATAAACAAGCCAACTACAACATTTTACAATATTCCCCAAAAGAATAACATGGGAATTTTAAATTATAGTTCGGCCGCTTAGAAAGCGGCCAATGCTCCTCCAGCATTGGTTTAGCATTAGCGCGCAGGTCGTTTTCTAAGCGGCCGAACTATAAAATTTTTTAGAATTTTCTCCGTAACCAATCACCGTACAAAAACACTTTGATATACTAAATTATTTGTTTTTTACGCTCTTTCAAAAGTTCTGGATAAAAATTGATAAATAAGTGTTTTAAGGTTAAAAAATGACATAACTTCATTTTTTTCATTTTTTTTTTCATAAAACCCCCCGTAAATCCCCGTTCCCATGGTCCGATCATACTGGTTCGCGAACTCATTCAAGTTTATCACGCCTTACACCTTCAAACCAAATTTGATCAAAATCGTTCAAAAATTACTCAAGTTATCGTCTGGACGGACATATATATATACATATATACAAATTTGAACGAATGGGGTTTTTGGCCTCTGGGGACATCAAAATGAAAAAGTAAATCGGTCCCGGGCCTAGGTCTTACCGTGAGACCTACGGTAATAGCTACTTCCCCATAGGGAAATTCGCTAAAAGTAAAATTAAACACTAAATACTGTATGGTTTACGATTACAGTTAAGGTTTTTTTTAGAACAAGTCAACATGTCTCCGTTTGGTTTCCTGCTTGAAATTTATGTAAACGTTTATGTTTGTTATAAATAAACTTTATTTTAGTTTATTCTGTAAATTGATAGAATAATATTTAATAGTAATTTGTTTTCTTTTAATAAGATTTTTCAAAACTTAAACTTGCAAGTTTAGCCTATGAGGTCCAAGTGCATATGAGGGAGGTCCTAAGTCCTAACCAGGATTGATTTGCAGGTACTCAACATGAAGCTGGCCAAGTTTGATGAGCTGGACGCTCTAATCAGAGGCATGTTGTTTGTGGAGGCCACCAACCCTCGTGAGGTCTATTACTTTACCAATCCCACTGAAGAGGATAAGTGCCAAAAGTGTGTCTTCAACTTCAGCAGACCCTACCCATTTTTGGTAAGTGAATCTACCATCATTGATACATACTAGAATAAGCCTAATAAAAATATAACTGAAAATTTTTAAATGCTAATTTGAAAAAATTAAAAACAGATTTATGTAAATCATTTGTGTACCAAATTTATATTCTTATTATAATAATAAACTCAGGCCCACTTATATAAACGGGCAGACTGGGCATATGCCCAGGGGCGCCGGAGCATCGCCTGCCTGCACTAGGAAAAAAGGGGGGCACTGAGCTTTGGGTTTGCCCAGGGCTCCACTGACCCTCAACGCGGCCGTGAATAAACTTACAGGCTTTTAATTTCGGGACATTTCACATGGTGGAGGTGGAACAAGTTTATACAGCAGCTGAATCATAATATCAATGGTTTATAATCCAGAAAAAAAATATGCATATACATTAGTGATGGTCGGATCCGGATATCGGACTACCGGATCCGCCGGATCCGAGCTAGAACCGGCACCGGATCGGATCCAAAAAATTCCGGATCTCGGGCTGGATCCGGTTTTGATGGATCCAATTTTTTCATATTTTTTCCCGATTTTTTTCCTAACACAAAGCTGTCTGTATCACTGTACAACCCCGATTTGTTTACTAAACACAAAGCTGTCTGTATCACTGTACAACCCCGATTTGTTTACTAACATAAAGCTGCCTGTATCACTGTACAACCCCGATTTGTTTTACTAACACAAAGCTGTCTGTATCACTGTACAACCCCGATTTGTTTACTAACATAAAGCTGTCTGTATCCATGTAAGAGACCGATTTGTTTACTAACATAAAGCTGTCTGTATCCATGCAAGAGACCGATTTCCCCTGATTTGTTTACTAACACAAAGCAGTCTATCACTGTACAACCCCAATTTTTTTACTAACATAAAGCTATCTGTATCACTGTACAGCTCCGAATGTTTTTACTAGCACAAAGCAGTCTGTATCACTGTACAACCCGATTTGTTTACTAACACAAAGCTGTCTGTATCACTGTACACTGTACAACCCCGATTTTTTACTGACACAAAGCTATCTCTGTCACTGTACAACCCCGATTTTTTTACTAACACAAAGCTGTCTGTATCCATGTACAAGACCGTTTTTTCCCCGAGTGTTTGTCTCTTGATGCAAACTACTTATATGGCAAGGCCATGTCTCGATGTTTGTATCTAGATGCAAGTACGGCAAGGCCAAGCCTCGTTGTTTGTCTTTTGATGCAAATAACTTATATGGCAAGGCCATGACTGAGTGTTTGTCTCTTGATGCAAATAACTTATATGGCAAGGCCATGTTCCAGTGTTTGTCTCTTGATGCAAATAACTTATATGGCAAGGCCATGTTCCAGTGTTTGTCTTATGATGCAAATAACTTATATGGCAAGGCCATGTCTCAGTGTTTGTCTCTTGATGCAATTAACTTATTTGGCAAGGTTGTTTGCCTCTTGATGCTAAAATTTTATATGGCAAGGCCATGTCTCGGTGTTTGTCTCTTGATGCAAATAACTTATATGGCAAGGCCATGTCTCATTGTTTGCCTTTTGATGCAAATAACTTATAAGGCAAGGCCATGTCTCAGTGTTTGCCCTTGTTGCAAAAAACCTTTATGGCAAGACCATGACTCAGTGTTTGTCTTTTGATGCAAATACTTATATGGCAAGGGCATGTCTTAGTGTTTGTCTCTCGGTGCAAATACCTTATATGGCAAGGCCATGTCTCAGGGTTCGTCTCTTGATGCAAATAACATATATGGCAAGGCCATGTCTCAGTGTTTGTCTCTTGATGAAAATAACTTATATGGCAAGGCCATGTTTCAGTGTTTGTCTCTTGATACAAATAAATAACATATATGGCAATGGCATGTATCTTTTCGAACTGAATCCGACCCGATTTTTCGGATATCTGCTCACCTCTATTTTTTTGTTTTGTACCTGGATGATAAGCTAATGGCCTATAATCTCGTCTAGAAAATATCCTGTTAGTATTTTAATCCCACCCGATGCTTCGTGATAAAAATAATAAAAGTATGATTTAAATTGGCATTCTGTTAATTACGTTTTTTTTTTACCCCCCCTTATGACAGTGTGTATCCGAATTTTTCAAGTTTCGGATCCGGATCCGGTACCGACATTTTCTTGGATCCGCCCATCACTAATATACATATTAGCCTACATATTTTAAAATAAGCAGATTTTATTTTAAAAGCTTATAAAAATACAAGTACTGTAGTTCTACTAGCTCTTGATGTTGTGCCACTAAACACATAGGTGCAGAAATTAGCTAATGAAAGAAATACCTTATTTATGCTCTTTTTTCCAAGCCATTTTCCTTGTGAACTTACACATCAATTTTGGAATGTTGCTACCTTCTTTGATCTAGCACACAAATATTCAATTACCGTACTTATAAAATATTGATTAGTTCAATAATTTTTCCTGATAAAGTAAAAAATAATTTAAACATTTTTTTACAAAAATACTTTAAAAAATATTAGGTTTAGTGTTACTGGCGATCGGGACTCATGAGGATTTTGAAAATAGTTAGCAAATTGTAGGCCTATGTGTTCTATTAGGGACGCAACTGGGTGTTAAACTCAGGTTTTATTTAATGCTATTGTTTACTGCTACCAATATGGATTAAGGATAAGTGTGGAATGAAGTGAGATCTCTTTGTAGCTTCTTTGTGTAGCTTTTGTTCAGGTAAGACATCTAGGTTTGTACATTGTACAGGGTGGTCCATGAGAAACAGACACTTTTGAATCACACATTTCTCCACGAGTGTTGGAGTGAAAAACTCGGGTTTAAGGTCAATCAGCTCCCCATCCAATGCCATTTAGTTGCTATCATGCCGCTGTGGACTACAGATCATTGCATGTTGGCATACGATGCTTTTAAAAAAAGTGGTGAGTCAACGGTGAAACTCAACTTGGTGGGTAAAGAGTGGAAACTCAACGATGTTTTAGACATTACTTTTGTATTGCTCGTCATGGTGAACTTCCGAGTCAGAATGCAATTTTAAGGTGGGCTTCTTATTCAGTTATGGTGGGGTCAGTTATGAAAACAAAAACACCTGGAACACAGTTTAGTGTGCTGTAGGAAAATTATGGATTTATGGTCCATCATTCTTTGAAGAAAAAGAACTCCTGTCACTGTTAATTAATTTGCACGATTCATGAACATGATAAAAGACTTTTTATTCCCAAACTTAAAGGGTAGAAAATCTGCATCAAGAACATATAGTTTCAACAAGATAATACCAAGATAATGGCCAACTTACAACAGAGATAGGTGAACAAGATAGGTTCACTGCTTACATGGCCAACCTAACCTATGGCAGAATTTTGAATGTTATTTCCTGGGCTTGTGATCTGATGGTTTAGTGATGTTGTGTGGCTACCACCAGACTTGTCAATGAATTTCTTTTCCCTTTGGAGTCACATGAAGATAGGTATTTAATATGAAAAACCACGTACTCTGGAAGAATATTGAAGGCCGCAATCAGGAGCCAAATTGAACAAATCGATGAATAGTCACTGAACAGAGTGTAACGTTTTCGAGCAAGGCTGGAAATGCGTGTCCGTTTCAACGGCCGTAATTTAAGTGAGGTAATTTTCAAAACTTAAAATAAGGCATTTTATTTTGCAAATGGCATAACTTTTCCTTCATTCATGTCTATAAAACTTTTCTGTTTCAAAATTTAAGAGCAATAGCTTTTTTTAAATCCATCCATTTCTCATGGACCAACCTGTAGTTACTTTGATGAAACAGGAAGCTATTTTGTTTCAGTAAAACTGAGAATGAATTTGATCACAATCTCTCAACAGTTAATATTATTATCTTTCTACTTTTCTAGCGATGCAATGAGTTACTTAAAATACCACTCCATTCCCTTCTTTAATGAATGCTCATCAAAACACACAGTCACATGCAATGGTAATGCTGCTTACAAATGATTTCCATAAAAAAAAAATATTTTTTAATATCTATTTTTTCATGGACAATCCTTGTTGGAAAGAACATTTCTGCCCATTTGGTTATTGTGTACTTTGATCATTATATTCCTGATGAAAAGCTCAGTAACCCATAAAAACTTGAAAAAGCCTTCTTAACATAGTACCTAATTGTACAGCTAAGCACCTAATTATTGTATAGTCTCTGGCAATAACTTTTGCTCAACTGATTTTAGAGTAAAAGATTTTATTAAAAACAGAATTGTTGTTCATGTTACAGATTGTGAACATCGGATCAGGAGTGAGTGTCCTAGCAGTACATGGCCCCAATGAATGGAAAAGAATATCAGGAACCAGGTTAGTTTAATAATTATTATGTATAGTAATATTACAACATAAGAACTGGAACATTAGTGACATAGAAACAGAGGAAAAGGAAATCAAAGTCTTTCAAATCAAGTTTTAAAACTTTAGAAATAATATTACCTCAGCCGTGAAATTTCTGTACACCTTTGAAAAAAACACACAAATTAATACAAATCACTGGTTTTGATTTAGACTGTAAGCTGCACAATAATTGTTATAATATAATTGTCTCAAAATAATGGGAAATTCATAACAAGAGCAGAAAGTGAGCAATACCATATTTGAGATCATATGTTTGAAGTGCGAGATTTACCGAGATGCGAGATAGACCCACTTTCACTCGTGTTTTGAAAGTTACTTTTCGCTACACTACAAAAACAATATTTTCTTAATTAAAACAAGACATTGTTTTTTTTCTAGATTACAGTTAGGAACAGTACAACATTCATAACATTTTTAGGTCGTGCCTTCAATTTACAAGTTAATATCAACATTGATTGAACAGTTTTGGTTGTTGCAAATTGAAACAGGTGACAAACAATAAAAAATCTTTGTTTACGTCAAAAAAAAATATAGTTAATATTACTTTTGCATTGTAAAATTCTTTTTTTCTCCAGTTACCTGACAAAGTGGGCTTCCTTGCACTGATTATAGCACGCAAAGTAGCTAATTGCTATATTTACTTACTTTTGCCGCACTCCAGTATTTAAACCAAACAACACAAAACAGTGTGCTTTTATTAGGCACGTAATATGTGTACGCTTGAAAATAAATGGGCAACACTTAAAAAAAGATACTATGACTACGATCAGCTAGTGCAGCGTTTCCCGTTTCGTTCAATGCTTGGATTTAGCCTAACCTAAAAATGTGTTATTTAGCGTTTAAAAGACTTATTATTTTATAGTATTGTAGGAAAAAAATAATGTGTTTAATGCAAATGCAAAGTGCCTTTGCTGCACTCGAGAAACTTTTCAGGCTCGTGCATAAAGATTTCTCTCATGTGCAGCAAAGTGCCACTTTGCGCACTAGTTACAACTATTCCGTAGTAAACAATGTAATGATGGATTTTCGCAGGTAATAAACATACAACAAAAAATGGTCATTTCACAGATCCCTCTATACTATGCTGTTTCAAATTACTCTTTAAACCTATAGTAAAATAATTTTAAATCAACCATCTTGCAGACCCCTCAAATTCAAAGTCACCTCCATCTCTATAACATAACTTCTACAAACTTTAACCTATAACATTCCTTCTTGTTTCTCGAAACTCATACCTTTGACTCTTTTAAATTTGGATGGAATTGTTGTTTCTCAAAGATGTTAAGTTGAGATTGGTATTTCTTCACGAAGCACCTCACTCCAAGCCATAGACTTAAATATACTTTTCTACACTAAATATAAACCAAGATACATTTCCAGTTGAACGTAAAACTCTACTAACATAATTTATATGATGCTATCAGCTTAGGGGGTGGAACATTCCTGGGACTTTGCTGCCTACTGACTGGCTGTAATTCCTTTGAGGAGGCCATAGAGCTTGCCACTGGTGGTGACAACAAGCATGTAGACAAACTAGTGAAGGACATCTACGGAGGCAGCTACGAGAGGTTCGGACTACCTGGAGACCTTGTTGCCAGCAGGTCAGTGATTAGCCACGACATTGAGGTCACTATTTGTAGATAATTGTATTGCAAAACTTTTATTTTTTATAAAGCCTAAGTAATGATTAACTGATTTTCAACACTTAACCGTTGTTTGATGAAATGTCAAATTGAAATGCCTGTATTTTTACACATTTCTCTCGCTATTGTGATTTAAAATATTCAAATACTGTAGTCATCAAGTTCAAGGTTTTAATTAGATTCATTTGATTAATAAAAAAAATATAAACCAGAAAAAACCAACAATATTGTAGATGTCTTTAATATTTTTTTTTAAATTTTACTGCGCTGATCCTTTTTTCTTCATTTTTATTTAACTTATATTCTAAATATTTTTTAAGTGTTCGGAAACAAAACTATTTCATTGTTTTAAATTTTGTTTTACCACACATTTTATGTTAGCATGATGAAGTGCATGATAACTATAAATTTCCATAAAGATTCTCATATATAGTGCATTTTACATATATTTATTCGGTGGAGGCACTAAGCTTTTTTAATTCTTAACTGTTCTGCACATAATCCTGTATGGTGATTGGATTTTTCGGTTAATTCTACATTTATCTTGTTTCAATTTACCAATTACAAAATTCTGCAAACCATTTGATCTTTAATGTTGTATTTGGAAAAGCTTAGCTCCTAATTTTCATGGTAATAACCCATCTCCATCCTTATTAACTGGCACCATACGTAATCAGCTGGTGGATGGTTGAGTGTTATTTACAGTATTTTGGGTGTATCCAGCTTTGGGCAGATGAATTCAAAGGAGAAGCGAGCCACAGTGAGCAGAGAGGATCTGGCTCGTGCGACACTTGTTACCATCACCAACAACATCGGCTCCATAGCACGCATGTGTGCACTCAACGAGGGCATTACCAGGGTCAGTAACTTTCAATTATAGTTGTTTTATTGATGTATGCACAGTAAAATATCAACAGGGTACCTATTCAATCCTAAAAATCTTACCATTAACCAGTCAATGATCTGTGTCTTTTGTTGATGGTGAAAAACCTAGATTGAGAGATAACATTTTCAGTTGAACCTTAAAAATAGGGATGGGTTGATTCTGATTTCTCAAAATATTTATTACCGTGGTGTCAAGGGACAATTAATTCTCAATACTTGGTGACTTAAGGTTCATCTCCCTTCTTCGTGATAACATCGTAATCATGTCTTGTATCACGGTGATTTTTTGATTGTGCAAAGTCTGAAGATGTGTCCGGTCATCGTGACTCTCCCTTTTCAAAATAAGCCAACTTTAGTTGAATAAAACCATACTTGAGAATGGGAATAAAAAACAAGGTGTCAAAATTTTTGTTTTAAAGAGTTTAGTTAAATTTTGAGAACAAATGTATAAACAATAATTATTTATGAAGAAGCATCCAGTTAGGCGTCCAACATTGTTAAATGAATAATATGATAAAACTATGAAAGATAACTAACTTGTCAAGCAATATCATAGGACCATGTGTTTTATTTTCAAGTTTGAGTGAACACCGTATTAGTGTGCTTTTTTACGACAGGATCAAAGTTTTTAACGTTACTCAATAATTTAACCTTTATATTCTTATTATTCTGATTTCACAAACAAATGTAAACATTGCTAAGTCAGTATGCCTTTCAGTTATGAGAAAATGAGTTAGGAATAAATTTGATCTGATAATTAACAGGTCTACTTCTAAAGAAACTACATAGGCTTAATACTTTCTAAGCCCCTTCATCTTCACATATTTTGTTAAAATGTATCAAGTGCTTAACACTGTATAAGGTGGATACTAATCACTGTTTATTGTGCTCTGTGCGAGGGAACTTAAACTTTTTAACTTAACTTGATTGATCTCATGCTAATTTAACATTATCACAATAATTTAAGTGGCATTACTCAAAACATGTTAAATTTGTAGGTAGTGTTTGTTGGAAATTTCCTTCGTGTGAACACCATCTCAATGAAGCTGCTTGCCTATGCTATGGACTACTGGTCAAACGGTACACTCAAAGCACTGTTTTTAGAGCATGAGGTAAGCCTCCAAAATATAAAAATACCCCCGCCGCAGCAAACCTGCAGACTAAGCGAATTTCCATTTGCCTCATTGGATTTACACTAAAATATCTCATTATATTTATTCCCTATTTAAATGGCTTTAGTTTAACAAGGACTTAGGTTTGCTGCGACAGGGACTGTAAAAAAAGTGTTTTTAGTAAAATGTAAAATAGTTTAGTATGAAATAAATGCATTTTCCAAATTTGATCAAAATATGTTCATAAACAAGCAAACTTCAATAAGTTTACTTATTCTCCGTAACTATTAGCCGCATTTCAACAAACTAAATTGTTTGTTTTTTTGAGCTCTACAAAATGGCTTTGAAATAAATTGCAAAATTTTATGTTTTTAGGGTCAAAAATGGGAAAAACCAATTTTTACCGCATAAAACATAAAACATAAACCCCTATTCCCATGGCCCGATGATCATGCTGGTTCGCAAACTCGTTTGAATAAATAAATGTAGGTTTAGACGTTTGTACCAAATTTAATCGAAATCCGATTATTTTTGCTTGAGTTTTTGAGCTAATGGACACACACATATATATATATATATATGAATTTGAACGGATGGTTTTTTTGGCCTCTAGGGACCTCAAAACGAAAAGGTATTTGGTCTCGGGTTCAGGTCTTACCATGAGTACTACGGTAATAGCTTATTCCCTATTATGGGAAATTCGCTAAAATTATAATATAGTGACATTGTTGACCTAATTTAGTTCAGTTTTATTTGCGGTATGTTTTGGTAACATCTTAAACTAGAAATATTTTTCCAAAGCAGTAATTAATTTTCCTAACGAAAACTGTACAACCATAGCATCGATGAGCTATTACTGGACTTAACAGTTGAATGAAGGGTGTCTGGTGTGATTTCATCATTATAACTAAATATGTTTGTTGTATAACTTTACATTATAGCTGCACTGTTTTGGTTTAGGGCTATTTTGGTGCTGTAGGCAGTCTGTTAGCGTTCAATGAGGAGATCAGTTGAGATCAGAACTTGAACAACTATTGTGGACTCCACACCTGCTTCAAAGTCCAAGTGATGAAAGTACTCCACCATCTCATTGCTAATCACTGTTGTACTACGCATTTCTTTCCATTCTAAAAGTATTATAAACAATTGGAATTTCCTTGTGAAAACTATAAGTATAAGGTAATGCATTAGTTTTAAGTTAAGGTTATGAAGAGCTATTAGTTATTTTAGGAAATGATTCCAAAAAACCTATCCGTAAAACAAATATCAGTTACGTATAAAACAGGAATTGTAAGCTATTGGGTATATTTCTTATATAAATTTAAGTAATAAGGAAAAAGGAGACATGGGTCAGCAATGTTAATTCTGCATTGTATTATTTACACTCAGGCTTAATGGAATAGTGAAAGGGTAACCGTCGATCAGACTACTTTTAGTTTAGTCATCGTAGCACAGGTGCAGAACAATCTCCAGACCATCCTCTTGCTCACTCAACATTTGTTAAACTATTATTGTACTTTACAGGGGCATTCTTCACAGTTGTAACTGTGGATTTAACACTCAATTATTAAATTATAATTTTCTTTAACCATCTATTTTTTTCTTTTGATTTTATTTTGGGGAAATTTGTTCTCTTCATGCGCCCCAAAATCTAATAGACTGTAGAACCCCCTTCAAAATTTTAGACTAGAGTAATTTAAATAGGTCTAACTACCATATTTATTGAAGGTCGCCAAATACTTAGTATATAGTCAAATAATCAATTTATATACTCAAAACTGATTGGTGTTGTTTGTAGTAAACATTGCTAAAAATTGTACAGTACGTGGTTAACAGTATGAAGTACAAAAACTCGCACAATAATGTATACAAAATAGAGATAAAGGACAGTAACCATCAGGAGTTTTAAACAAATTGTAATGTGACTAAAGGGCTTAGCTTGGCAATCGGTAAGATTAGTTATTCAACATCCTTACAAAAGCAGTAAAGCAAAAATTACAAATCAGTAGTTGGCTTTGCACCACACATACATTCTGATGAGGCGCTACTTACTACATCCATCACAATATTACAGCAGCCAAGGCCTAATTGTGGAAAAGCAGTCACTGAGTTAATAGTCTAATTACCCAAGACAACATCTAGCTGGGGTTTTATAGTTTCACAACATTGTCTTTGATTCCATTGATTTTTACTCATTTGTTAAACATGTATTACTCATTAAAAATACTTATATCCACGTTGAAAAACTATCCACTACAATTAACATCTGCTGTCTGGTGGTTGGATCTTCAGCAAAATCGATATGAATTCGGCGCCATCTCTCGGAAGTTAACAGCCATTGCTGCAATGGAACTTTTGAAACAGAATTTCTTGTACTTTGACAAATCAAACAAGATGACACAGAATCCTCAATTTTTTTTTTTTGATTCGGCGCCATCTCTCGGAAGTTAACGGCCATTGCTGCAATGGAACTTTTGAAGCAGAATTTCTTGTACTTTGACAAATCAAACAAGATGACACAGAATCCTTAATTATTTTTTTGATCCCAGGCCACCACATGTGGCCGCGTGCCAACAATTTCATTCGAATAATTCCAGGATGTTGTTCAATATCTGCAATATCTGGATGACTTTGCCTTGCAATTTCTTAGGTACCACTACTAACTGAAATGATAACAAATATTTTAAATCAACCCACAATATTTTAAGATTTTGTGCCACGGCTTATTTTACTGGGAACAATCTTACAAATCTTAAGTGCTCTACTTGTATTGCTGTTAAAATTTTTTCTCTTTGCAGTGTTTTACATTTTTATAAATTTTTAACAATTTTATAAAAGTGTTTTGCAAGAAACATGAATCAAAGATGCCAATGTAAAGGATTCAATACTTTTTGTTATCTTTAAACATTTTAGAACTACTCAGGATCAATTTGTACAGGTGTGATTCATGAACACTGTTCAAGTGTTGTCAGCTCCCACTAATAGGAAAATGCAGAATTATAGTAAGAGCAGTGAAATTGTATAAAATATTATCTTCATGTTGAATTTTGCAACTAACTGCAAATACATGTATTTACAGTTAGTTAGATGCTTCAGAAGTATTATTTATCACACTAATCACGGTAAAATTAAAAGTGGAATATTAAACTGTATGTATATAATAGTTTGATTGCTCAAGTTTTGAGAACTATTTTAAAAAATTGTGACCATTAATGCAGGTGCAGTATAACGAAATTTATTATTAAGCAATTTCACTTGCGTAGTTTTCCACCTGGGAAAGAAAATGCGGACACTATTGGTCTTATACACATTGGTCACTCAGAATGTTCAGTTGCTATCAGGGTTTGACCTGACGTAACCGAGATTGTACTGTGTGTGCATATTTTAAAAAAACCACAGCGCTAAAAGCTGTTTGCGTCGTAATCACTGACTTGGTTTTAGTCACAGCATAATTGATGTTGGTCTGGTCCAAACCATGATAGTAACTGAAACGGTATGAGTGGCCGATGACAAAAAGACCAACATTGTCCACCTACCCCCTTTAACCCCTTGAGGTCGAATTTTTCCCCCATTTTTCAGCAAGTATAGTTTGCCATTCCAGTAGTCTGGAAAATGGTGCCCGGCAACTTATACTTATTTGACCCCAAAAATCAACTTTTTTGATTCTTGTTTATTTATTTTATTTATTTTTTGGGGTGAGTATAGGTAGCTATTTTTTAGCAGTCGAGAAAATGGCAGGCGCGTGACCTCAAAGGGTTTTAAACAAAACTGCTTAGTCTGTTCTGCCAAACCCTTTACTTAATGTCTCTTACATCTTTGGATTGTAATAAGTAGTTAACGGCAATAAAAGAGGTTACAGAATTTTTACTTTGTTTATGCCATAGCAAATGTTTGAGTTTTAATTCAATATTTACATAAATGAAACTAGAAACTAGTAAAATTTATCAACTCATGTACAACATTCCGACATATTGTATTCAGTCTTACAACAGCGCCTTTTAATGTTACACACATTTTGTTGATCCTTAAATTTGCCTTATCAGTTATTGTTATAACCTTAGCCATAAAAATATTACAAGAGCTGTGCTTGATTCAAGTTGTAAGTCAGTTACTGCTGCTTGATGGACTAAATATTGGTCCTAAAACAATTCCTATACTGGAGTAAGAGTAAGATTAAAATTATTGTAAATAATGATGTACTATTTCACATTATATATTTATGGTTGTTGATTGTCAATTATTTATTTCTATTTATTATAGCTCTTATAATTGATAAATGTTATGTTCTAGAAGTGTTGGTCTTTGTTGTTTAAAAACTCAAAATAGCTATTTTATTGCTTAAAGCATCATTGTTACTTTTACAAGTAAATTAATTTAGCACAAACATTCTATATTTGTTATATTTTGATATTATTGTAATATTATACTTTGTATGAATTGTTTTATTTGAGCTTCTTACTGATACACCTAATTTGCTCACTTTAATCCGTACTTTATGTAAAAGTAAAATTTTTGGCTGACATGGATGAGGTAGAAGAATCCAAAATCACAAGTCTGCTTCGCTGTACCATGCTCACGGAATGTGTATGTAAGATAGGGGCAGAGTCCTAGTGTAAAACTGAAGATCTTAAGAGTCCTTAAAGGCCCAATTAGACAAGGCATGTTTTAAAGCTACTGGGCAACTTTAATACTTGCAGCTCGTAAGCTAGTCTTGTGTACTTGGCACTAGCTACACTCTCTCAATAGCTCTGGGAAAAGTTGATTCTGCTGGCGTCTTTACATGCTGGACAACTTACTGGAATTTGAGAAAACTAGATGATAAAACTATCCAAGTGTACTCACAGTTGCTTGTGCACAAGTGACAAGCAGGATTAGTCTTTATGATGTTGGAGGAATTGGTTAGTAGCGGAACTTGTATGTTGTACTCACTGGCTAGTAACTTGTGTGTTTGCCCTGAGCTGTGCCTTTGAGATGGTCGATTCCAGCTTTTCTCATTTGAAATATGTTCTCAACTTAAATATCTTCTTCTCTTGCCACATATTCCAATAATCCCTACAGATATGCCCTTTGAATTCAAACGTTTACAGTTTCCTGTGCGTCATACATTTGCGATAACTATAAGCAAATCTCAAGGGCAATAACTGCAAGTGTGTGAATTAGACTTAACAAATCCATGTTTCTCACAAGGACAACTTTATGTGGCCTGCTCTCGCAATCAAACAAAATAACCTTTTTTTGTTTTACGCACCAAACTGAAAAAAAAATATTGTTTAAAAAAAGCACTCTTACTGCTTGATGACGTTTTACTATTTAATTATATATAATAGGTAAAAGGTATTATAAAAAAAAAACATGAAATGAAGTGCTTTAAAAAATTTAAAAGACCTTCCAGAGTTTTATTATGGAATGGTTAACTTTCTTGAAGTTGCAGCAACCTGTGACAGGTAAGCTAGCATAGTCATAAACCATCTGCCTCACACCCATCAACCGCATACTTGATCAAAAGGTCTTCATGAGAAATTCTTTTAAAGTAAAATACCCCCACTGCAGCAAACCTGCAGACTAGACTAAGTGAATATCCATTTGCCTGAATTAGATTTTCACTTAAATCTATTTAATAAATAACATTAGCTTTATTTAAAACCTAGGTTTGCTGCTGCAGTGAGGGTAATAAGGTGTGTTTTTGGTAAAATATTTATAGCTTAGTATAAAATAAATAAATTATCCAAGGTTGATCAAAATACAGGGTGTTTCAAAAAGGACTTTACAACTTTTAAAATTCATAAAAAATTATTCCAAAAAGTTACAGAGCTCAATTTAGTGTTGTTTTAAAGGGAAACACATCAAGTTTTGACTCGCGTAGTCCCCTAGTGCCTAATCGCACACCTCAAGCGCTAGCGGCAGTAAATATGATTGCGTTCACTGGACCCAGTTGTGCTATAATAGTTGTGTTTTGGTTTGAAGAACCGAAGTCGGCGACAACAGTTCAGCTTAATTTTTGTACCAAGTAGGCTAAAGATGATCCTTCTAGTATGCCTACAATTTATGAGTGGCATAGATGTTTTGTAGAAACAGGGTGTTCAGTAAAACATAAGAAATTCTCAAGTCGTCAAAGCACATCTGACGAAGATATTCCGTTTCTTCAACAAACTCCCAGCTGCCACAAAGACCCTTGCCAGCAGAAAGTTTAAAACCATCACAGGAAATTTCTTCCATAAAAACCCTCACTACTCAATAAAGGAATTCCTAGAAGGTAGTTTGGATGAGCTAAATTAGTAGCATAGCGACCGCCATGATCACTTAAAGTATGTTTTTCTTCCCATATTTTTGCATATGTGAGTTTTGTACACATGTGTGGGAAATAAAAAAAATTGTTTAACGCTGACACAGCCTATTCCCATCATACAATGGGTCAACGGCCAAGAAGATGGTAATAAGGTAATATTGAGCAAGTGACACAAAGTTTTGTCAACACCCCTACAAAATCGACCAGGCGTGCATCTCGTGAGCTGCAAGTTCCATATACGACGGTTTGGCGTTTTATTAAGAAAACGTTTGCATTTGAAACCGTACCGATATTCGCTTTTACAAGCAATCAAAGACTAATCATAATCAAGGACACAGGAAGTTGTTAAAAAGGTTGCGCATAACTTCAGTGTGGATATGTTGAATCGAGTGGCTAATGATGAACATTTCTTGGACAACAAAATCTTTTCTGACAAATCAAATTTTCACTTAAGTGTAAGTTAACACACATAACTGTAGGATTTGGGGCTGTGAAACTCTACATGAAACATTGCAACATGTTCGTGATAGCCCTAAAGTAAACGTTTTTTGTTGGTGAAATTAAAGTTAATGAAAGAAAGTTTGTTGTAAACTCTTTTATTTTCTTACAAACACAACACAACACTGAATTATATTTAGTAAACGACTTCATATGTACAATGTAAAAACATATGATGGTCCATCACTAATCCAGACTAGATGAGTTGGGTTGCAATATTCAACATCCCCCCTCACCAAACTTAGCTAGGTAAAAGTCCTAGGCACTTTTGAAATTTGTGATGTTTTGGTTCGCTTAGTCCTTTAGTAAAAATATCAGCAACCATGTATTCTGTGGGTTGGTAGTTCAATTTTATTTCTCCATTTTGTACTTTTTCCCGTATAAAATGTTCTCTGATACTGATATGTTTAGATTTACTTCCTATAATGGAGTTTTTAGCCATTGTAATAGCTGATTGGTTATCACAAAATATTTCAATGACTTCTTGAGGTCTTCCAATATCATTAATTAATTGTTTTAGATGAATGGCTTCTTTTGCTGCTTCAGTCAATGACATGTATTCCGCTTCACTCGTAGACAGAGCTACAGTCCTCTGCTTTTTTGATTCCCAGGAGATTACAGCACCGCCAAATTTAAAACAGTAACCGGTGTATGATCTCCTGTCTTCACTGCATGCCCAATCTGCATCTGCTGCTCCAATTAATGGCTTTCCTGTTTTGAAAAATTCAAGACACAAGTTCTTTGAGCCTTGTAAATATCTGAGAACCCTCTTTGCAGCAATCCAGTGTTCTTTTCCAAAACAATAGTTATATTGGCTCAGGTAACTCACAGCATGTGTTATGTCAGGTCTTGTGGCTATTGACAAATACATCAATGAACCGATTAAATTTTGGTATGGGTAGTTACGATCTTTTTCATGTCCTTTAACCAATTTTAGACCTGGTGTTAGTGGAGTTACAGCTGGTTTGCAGTCAGTCATATTGAATTTTTTCAGGACTTCATTTATGTATTTCGTTTGTGACATTGATATCCTTCCATTCTTTCTTGTGAACTCTACCCCCAGACAATAGCTTAGTTCACCTAAATCTCTCATTTCAAAAGTTTTCATGAGCTGGGCTTTGATGTAATTGCGGTACTTTTGGTTCTTTGTAGCAATTAAAATGTCATCTACATATACAGAGATTATTGATTTGCATCCACCTACTGTTGAAATGTATATACAAGGATCAGCCTGAGATGGTGTGAATTTCAGTTCCTTTAGTTTTTCATCAAGCTTCATATACCACTGTCTTCCTGATTGTTTTAAACCATAAACTGCCTTTTTTAGTAGACAAACCTTTTTGTTTTGAGCATTTTTTAAGTCAGTAATCATTTTCTTTGTTTTGTTGAATAGTTTTTTATCTTCATTTTCACTCTCATCCACCATTATTTCTTGGAGGTATCTCTCAAAGTTGTTAGGAAGTTCCATGTAAACTTTTTCTTTTATTTCTCCATTTAGAAAAGCAGTTGAAACGTCCATTTGATCAATACTTAGATCATCTTCAACAGCAAGTCCAAGCATAAGTCTTATTGAACTTAACTTTGCTACCGGAGCAAAAGTTTCATCATAGTCAATGCCTGGTTTTTGTGCAAATCCTTTTGCTACCAATCGTGCTTTTCTTCTTTCTAGCTCTCCATTTGGTTTTAGTTTCTTCTTTAATACCATTTTACAACCAATTACATTAATTTCTTCGTTTCTATCTTCAAGCACCCAAGTTTCATTTTTTAAATGAGCTTTTATTTCCTCTTTTATTGCTTCATTCCATTCCTCTGAAGATTCTAAATTTGAATCTTCATTGCAGGTAGCTGACATTTGATAATCTTTTGTCCAAAGAGGAGGTTTTCTTTGCCTTTTCTGATGTTCATTTGAGCTTAGTGAGTCATCAGGTTGATTTTCAATATCATCTGAGCTTGGTGAATCATCAGGTTGATTTTCAATATCATCTTCGAAAAAAATATCATTTTCCATTTCACTGTCATTTTCTTCTTCAAATATAGTGTCAAAATCAGACTGGTCATCATTATTTTTGCTCTGTTTGATCGGAATAATGCAAAAATCTTGATCATTTTTATCACTTTCTTTTATTTTATTTTGCTCAAGAAGATTGTAATCATTTACATCTTCATTTCTTTCATAGTACATTTTTGATAGAACTTTTACATCTCTTGAAATTTTAACTTGCTTTTGTTGTGGCATCCAAATTCTGTATGCTTTTGAATTGCTTGCATACCCCACAAATATTCCTTGCTCCGCTTTCGGATAAAATTTTCCTTTTCTTGAAGCTTTGTTTAATACAAATACTTTTGATCCAAATACTTTCAAGTGTCTTGCTGAAGGCTTTCTTCCAGTCCATTTTTCATATGGCGTTAAGTGTTCAGTAGCTTTTGAAGGGCATCGATTTCTTATATAGTTAGATGTGTTAATAGCTTCAGCCCACATACATCCTGGTAGATTTGATTCTATCAGTAAACATCTTGCCATATCCAATAATGTTCTATTTTTTCTTTCAGCCAAACCATTTTGTTGCGGCGTGTATGGAACTGTTAGTCTTCGCCTTATACCACTTTCTTTCAAGAACTTGTCAAATTCACCATTACAATATTCTTTGCCGTTATCTGTTTGCAGAAACTCGATTTTATTTCCTGTTTGATTTTCCACCTCATATTTATATTCTTTGAAACGTTCAAAAATTTCGTCTTTACTTTTCAAAAAATATACATAGCAGTATCTTGAATGTTCATCAATGAATGTTCCAAAATACTTATTTCCTCCAGGTGTAGTTACTTTCATAGGACCTACAATGTCAGAATGTATGACTTCTAACAAGCCTACATTATTTGCAATCTTTCTTGATTGAAATGGTGTTTGTGTCAATTTTCCTTTAATACACGTTTCACATTCTCCAATTTTGTCTTTCATGTTGAAGGTTAATCCATTCAAAGATTCATTTTTTAAAGCTGTTTTTAAGTCAACCTCGTTTAGATGACCTAACTTCTTAAGCCAATCTATGATCTCAGGTTCTTTTGTATAGTTTGATTTTTCATTCACCGTTATAGATTTTGTACTTTTGACATAATAAAGACCACCCTGACGTTCTGCTGCCACAATTACATTTCCTCTTTGGTTTTGGACGACAGCTTTCTCTTTTTCAAAAATCACTTTAAATCCTTTATCTGTTATTTTACCGACACTCATTAGATTTGTTGCCAAGTCTGGTACAAACAGAGTGTTATTCAAATGAATGATTTCAGAATTTTTTAATTCCAGTGAAAGCGTTCCTGTTCCAGAAACGTCAGATGTCTTTCCTTTAGAAGCAAGTTTCAAAATTCCGTTTGAATTTTTGATATCTCTGAACTGTGATTTCTCTCCACACATGTGCGATGTACATCCACTATCAATACACCAATCAGATGAAGTAGAACCTAAAATGTTCAAATTTGAAGAGAAACATTCAGCCTCTGCTTTAAAACTATTTCCCATTTGTTTGGATCTACAGTTGTTGGCTTTGTGTCCGATTTTTCCACATCTAAAACATTTAACTTTGAAACCTACTTTTGTAGTGTTGTTCTCATCTGGTTTCTTATGACTATAAGTGTTGTGAATACCTTTCTTGGAGTTGAACTGCTTTGTTTTGCAATACAATGTATCTTCATTATTTGTATAAGTGTCTTTTGACCTAGCTTCACTCTCCTCGATTACTTTTATTTTTAAATCATTAGGAGAAGGTAAAGTGTCTCTAGACTCAATTGCTACCCGGAAGTTTTCAAACGATGATGATAAGCTGTAAAGTAGCATAATGCTAAGTAAGTCTGAATTGATAATTATGTCCATTTCTTGAAGTTTGTCAACAATCTCCATAAATTTGTTGACATGATCCCTAGCATCTTCTACATCTTTCATTTTATGAACTATTAACTGCTTTAATAATGTGGCTTTCCTTGCAGGACCAGAACTTTGGTAATTGTTCTGCAGGCAATCCCATACTTCTTTGGAAGTTTTGCAGTTTTTTACTAATTTCAATTCACTAGGTGAAATTATCAATATTAGTTCTGATTTAGCTTTAAGATCTTTAACTATCCAGGCATTCTTACCAACTTCATCCTCAGGACATTTGTTCTCCCCAGATACATATTCCATTAGGTTTTGTTGGATTAGTATAGCTTCAGCTTGAATTTTCCAAGTGTCATAATTATTTCGTTTCAAAGGTTCAATTCTATAGCCAAAACTCATTTTACTTATTTTTAAGCACAGAATACTGTAAAATGATTATTTTAATATTCCAAATGGCCCATAACCTTTGTTGGTGAAATTAAAGTTAATGAAAGAAAGTTTGTTGTAAACTCTTTTATTTTCTTACAAACACAACACAACACTGAATTATATTTAGTAAACGACTTCATATGTACAATGTAAAAATATATGATGGTCCATCACTAATCCAGACTAGATGAGTTGGGTTGCAATATTCAACATTTTTTGTGCAATGAGCAAGAGGAAAATGTACGACCACAAAGAAAATCTTCTGTTTAAGGTAAAAAAAACTTGAAGTGTTTTCCTTTAAAACAACACCAAAACCCGCTCTGTACCTTGTTTCATCAAATTTCTATGAATTTTTAGTGTTGTAAAGTCCTTTTTAAAACACCCTGTACATCTATAGACAAGAAAACTATAACAGTGGTACTTTATTCTCCATAAGAATAACATGGGAATTATAAGTTTTTTAACATCTTTTGAATATTTTCCATAACCAATAACCGTACAAAAACACTTCAATGTACTAAATTATTTATTTTTCTATAGTCTAAATGGGAAATTTTGCTAAAAGAAAGGTTTCTGGACGAGACAAACAGGCCATGTATTTGAGATCTCTCTAAAGAGGCATAAAATAATTTTTATTTTAGCATTCTGATACGTCAACTCTTTTTTATTTAAGTGAATGGATATTTCTAAAACCCCATTATATTAATCCATCTGGAGATCTGGATAAATAAAGGTATATTGAGTGAGTTGATGACTCGGTCGGTAGCATCATAAGCTTCGGGCCCAAACAGCGATGCCGTGGGTGCGGTCAGTTAAAATCCTGATACCTGCCACTACTTTTTTATCAGTACCTTGTACTGTACAGGCTCACCCTTGCTTTGCTGGATATGATCCATGGACAGGCCAAAGGGTATGTGGATGAGTAAATGAAAGGTTAAACAATGCCCCAAACCTCCTAAACATAACATATTATCTTAAAGTGGTTTTGGACCACCTTCCCAAAATGTGTTTGTGTACTTTCTTCAATATCTATTCTAAAAAATGCTCACTTTAAAACTTAAATACTTTTTTTATGAAATGGCGACCACACTATGTAGGTGCGACCTTGTAGTCCTGTTAGTGACTAAGGCCGGCATATTCCTTAGACACAGCTGTTAATTAATAGCCCATACAGCTAATGGCAACTAAGAGAACTACAGTTTGTGGTGGAATCCGAACCACATTTTTGCCTTTGTATTAAAAAATTGCTCTGATTATCAGGATAGTACCGCGGATAGTCGTAGTACTCACTAGTGCGGATGTTAATCCACACCAGGGAGTATCGCATCCACAGTGCAATACGAAATTCCGCCTTTTTTTAAGGTTTTTGCAGGTGATCCAGAGGGTCGCAGAGGTCAAAAATTCGGATTTAGCATCTCGGTACGATTACAAACAACTTAAAAAAAGAAACCTACTACCCCATTTCATGCAAGGTAAAATGCGTTAGGTTACTGGATTAAATTACATTTTAAATTAAATTGGATTAATTAAATTAAATTTTTGGGTAGGTACTTAATGCAATCAGGAGACAAAAAATTCAAGAAAATAAAAAAATGTGTTCACAATTCAGTATTTAATACCAAACAAATACAAACATAACAGAATAAAAACCCAGATATTGTAGTAGAGCAATAATCACAGCACTTGTATATTTCTGTTGTTGGTCCAGAATGAGGTGTAATCAGCGCATTGGACATCAGGTTCAAGGTGATGAGAGAAGTCAAGGACATTGACACAGGAGTCTTGGGCAATGAACAGCTGACTTGGGTCAAAACTGAGGCTGTATACCGGACTGCTGGCAACTCCACGACCGAAGAATGCCTTCAATAAACAGTGACTTGTAACAATCTTTAAACTCATTTATTTCATACTATTAGAACTGTCATTGTATGTTAGATAAAACAGTTTTATATTTTTAACAATACAATTAAAGTATTTATAGTTACAGTACTAAACATTTCATTAACTTGATAATGCATGTAGGTGATAAAGTTTTACAAGATGGAGTCAAGACTCTGGGAGAAGCAGTAAATGAGCATGTCCCAAGCGTAATTGAAATGCATTTGGTCATCAGTTTAGTTGATGGTACATTTAATTGATTATTTTCTAATTTCCCATATCATATAGGAAATAAGTTTTTTATCCCACTGACCTTTTGAGGCCAGACAGGCGAAGAATTAAATTAACAGTAGAACTGATAACTGACCATGGGCGATTCAGGAAACATTTACAACAGATGGGCTTGTTTGATGGCGAACCTATCTGTAGGCATTGCGGTAAGTCAGAGGAGACAGCCGATCACATGCTCTTTGATTGTGCAAAGCTCTCTGACGCTAGAAGGATAACTCTTGGCAATTTGGTAAGAGGTGTAACCTTCCTGAGGAGTTGAGTGGAAGACTACAGGCTTTCATCGGATGCCTGAATCTGTAGGGTCGATCAATAGATCACCTGTCTGGGGTGCGTAATATAACTAGACTTTTTGGATGAAGTGCTTTATGGTACCAGGGGGTGCTGCCCCTGTCAGATAAGATAAGATAATAAGAAATTGTATATTTCCATTTTTGCTACAGTACCTGTATACTGTGTGGTGAGCGCTTGTCCCAAAACTGTACTCTACCGTGGGTAGCAGTTCCACACAACATTGAGCATTCACAATCTGTAGCAAGAGAATATCCTGCGGCTCCAAACGGATCAGACCAGTTGGCTACACAGCAGCCTACCCTGTACAGATACATTGTAACAACTAACAACTCTCACTCAGGTGATGGGCTAAAAATGTTCCATGTCACACCATATTGATTGTTGAAATAGCTTTACATTTTTCACATTAAAATAATTCTTCATACCACTGCATGGAAATGATCACATTGCCACATCTGTAAACAGTAGGGCCTACGCAAAATAGCTCATTTGCCGCTTTATTCATTCCTGCTCACTGAATCAGCTAATTTCACAGTTGGGGTTTCTATAAAACACTAACATCCTGTAAGCAAATAACATAACCTAAAACAAGAAAATATAGCCTAAATGACATTTTAGCTACATATACAAAGTGAATCTGTCATAAGTTAATAATGATGGTAAAAAATCATTTTTCCTACAGATACCTAACAATGTACATGTTCTCTCACTGATTTGAGAAAGCAAAGTGGCCAATTCGCTCATCAGTGAAACAATGTTAACATTGTCTCACTCTAATTACTTTGTCTCACTCACTCTAGATTTGTCATATTAAAAGTTCACTTCTGTGTAAAAATTTGTTACGTTTCTTTACAATTTATTTGTTTTATGGTAACTGTAGGAAAAATATAATGTGCAACTCGAGTGCAAAGTGCAATTGCCTCACTCGAGAAACCATTCCTCACTCGCCTCGTAAGTATTTCTCTCGAGTGAGTCAATTGCTCACTTTGCTCACTAGTTGCACAAATAACTATTAAGTTGCAATTCCTGTGTACCTGTTCAGTGGCAGTTCTGTAGACATTACAATTTGGGTCCAAGAGCAAAAGTCCCAACTCGAAACACAATTTTGCAGGGGGTGGGTAACTTCAGAGCTACTAGTTCAGCATTGAAACAAAAATCAACAGGCTATGCAAGGTCAGCCTGGACGCCAGAGAACGTTGAGAGAGTGAGAGAAGCTGTGGAAGCTAGTCCTTGGCGGCTTGCAGGCAAACAAGCTGCAGCTCTGCACATGTCTGGCCACTCGGTAGAAGAATATTACGATACGACCTGCAATTTCATCCATATAAAATGGCAATCGTGCAAATCAGTTGAAGCCCAGTAAATTAACAAAGCGTAACTCATTTTAAGAACAAGTGATTCATTTGATTACAGGTGACAAAATTGTCATTATGAGAGATGAAGTGCACTTTCAACCACACCTCACAGTCTTCCTCACTCTCTTGACGTTCTCTGGCGTCTGGGCTGACCTTTGTTGATTTTATTTTCAATTACCTGACCCACCCACAGCGAAATGGGGTTTTGAGTAGGGACTTTTCTTCTTTGACCCACATTAAAAAGTCTACAGAACTGTTGCTGAATTGCCAATTAGAAAACATGATTCCACCACAAACGCTCAGTGCTCAGCTGTCCACAGCTCCATGGCTACTAAAAATATCCACACGTAGGCTTTGGAAATCCCCCTATTCCCACCACCCTCCGCCAGTCATTCACTCGACAGGGCGGCAAAGCAAACCGCCTGTATCACGACCGTCTATTCTTTTCGTGACAATAATAATTAGGAATGAACTAAATTCATAACATTTTATTTGAACATGTCTTTGTAAGAAGTTTATAACACTAATAACAATATTTGTTTCCATCTGATCATAATATAATATCCTAAATAAAACATATGTTTTATTTGCAGTCTTGAAACATCCCCCTCCTTAAAGATCGAGTCTCCTTGGAGGATGTACTTCACGCCCGTGTCTAGTCTTGTAACTTGAGCTGTCCTCTCGTGATTGTGGACTTCTGGTACAGACACTTGTTGAATTTTGTTCTGTCACATTGTCTCGTGATGGTGTACTTTTCAAGTCATTGGGAAATGGTAGAAGATGGAAACGGTTTCTTCTTAGGCCTCTTGTATCAGTCCTGACGATATATGATCGTGGTTCAGTTGCTGCTTTTACAACCGTTCCAGGTTTTCCCAAGTCAGATATCCAAACACTGTCTCCAGATTTCAAACTTCCAAGGGATTTGGCAGCATGCCTGGAGTTTGAAGTCGAAGGTACACTTCGGACAACTTGTAGAAGGTTAAGTTTTTCAATGGCTGTTTTACCTATGAGCGGTGTTTTACATTTTTCTGCTACATAAAAACGCTCAAAACAAGATTTGTTCTTATAGTCTAACTTTACATTTACCATCCCTCGTACAGCTAAGTGAGTCCCATCCGGTCCTGAAAGTCTTTTACACGTATGTTGCAATGGAACTTTTTTGTTTAGCTTGATATTAGCTGGCAAAACTGAAACGTCTGCTCCGGTATCGATTTTAAACTTAATAATGTCAGAATCATTAAACCTGAGGTCAATTTCCCAAGATTCAGGGTTTAGAACACTGTTTTCGGTAATTTTACCTAAGAATTCTTCAGAATTTGTTGAATTTGTACAATATTGATTAACAAACTGAGGTTCACTACTGACTTCATTACCGTAACCTTTTGCTTAGAACAAACTTTAGCAAAGTGACCGTTTGCTTTACAGTTGTTACACCGAACATTTTTGGCAGGACACAAGCCTCGGCGATGGGATGGAGTATTCCCACACCATTTACAAGGGTTTTTTGGATTGAATTTTCCATGGTTATTAGGAACAGTTTTCTTACAAAAAGACTTTTTGGAAGTGGTGTTTAATTTTACCCGATCAATGGAGGGATCAGCTAGGTCAAGTTTTTGCCTAACTAATGCCTCTGAACTACGAAGAGCATCAACTGCAGTTTCTAATTTTAGTGAGCTTTGTAAATGTAAGCGATCACTAAGGTTTTGATCATTCATTCCAACGATAAGTTGCATGAGAATCATTTCATCCCTTAAATCTCCCCAGTTGCATGGTTTTGCAAGAGTATGTAAGTCTGTGATGAAGTTTTCAGCAGACTCTGAGGATCCCTGTTTTCGTCTAAGAAATTTAGCACGCTGATAAATTATGTTTGTTTTAGGAACGAAATGGTTTTCGAATTTTCCCATAGTCAATTCATAATTTTCCAACTCATCAGGGCTTAGATTAAAGGAATCAAATATTCCCTCAGCCTTATCCCCCATTCAGTAGCAAAGAATGTCAACTTGCCTTTTCCCAGGTGCTTTATGTAGATCGCTGACTGACCTGTACCTTTCAAAGCGTTTCTTCCAAGCACTCCAATCATAGGGGTTGAAGGAAAAATTTTCTGGAGGCTTGACATGGATTTGATTTCTTTGAAGTCTTATCTCTTCAATTTCCTGTTGGATCTGTAGGTTTGCATCACGCTGCGCCATGCATCACGACCGTCTATACTTTTCGTGACAATAATAATTAGGAATGAACTAAATTAATAACATTTTATTTGAACATGTCTTTTGTAAGAAGTTTATAACACTAATAACAATATTTGTTTACATCTGATCATAATATAATATCCTAAATAAAACATATGTTTTATTTGCAGTCTTGAAGCACCGCCAGATCATTTTACCGCTCCCTATATTACATGCACAAACAGTTATTGCCACTCTCAAAATGTATGGCCGCACTCAGCTAAAGCTTCTTCATACTTGTGCTCACACAAATAGCTATAAGCAGTTTTTCCCTCTTGGTCCCCTATTTCATAAAAATGATAATTACAATTTTTAGATGGATATTTTCATTTTTTCTATAGCTGGGACAGTTAAGAGTCCTTGGAGCCTAGACGATCTAACTCATAAAACAATTAAAGAACTACAAAGAAAATTTGTAATTTCATAGTATAGGCTACTATATATTTAAATTACAGTCACTCTGGTGTTAGAAAAAATATTGGTGAACGGTAAATAACTCTTCAGCGGCTGTTTGAAATTAACTAAATTAACATTGCTCTTATGGCAGCCAAATCCAAGATGGCCGTTAGCTTCCATGGACTCCCTTGGAGAACAATTCAAAACTACAAAGAACATTTCTAATCTCACAGTATACTAGATATTTAAATTATATTCACTTTGGTGTTTGAAATAATGAGGACGGTAAATAACTCTTCAGCAGCTGTTTAAAATTACCCAAGATGGCCGCTAGCATCCAAGGACTCTTAACTGTTATCCTTCTCTCTTTTAGAGAATCTCTTCAGAGTTTGGGATATCTAATCTGTCAAACTGACCTTATATCCCAAAGACGCAGAATGGCATCAAATCCACAGGTAACCAGAGTGTTAGGGCACTCCCATTGGATGTCAAACACAGCTGCTCCATTCTTCACTACACTTTTGGTCATCAATCTTTCTATTCCTCTAAAACCAAATAAACATTTTTTTTCAGATATAAAAGAATGAAGATTTTTTTGTATACAATTATCGGTTGGTATTAAACTTAACAGCATGCAGCCAGTGGCACACTGACTACAAATCAATCGTCAACATTTAATCAGACAACATGAATAATGTTAACTTCTAAAAGTTGTAACACGAGTTGACTTCATCAGTTCGGAATAAAACTATGTGCAAAGGAATAGTGCTGAACTTTATGCCAGACATGTGCTAAAACCTGAACAGATGTGATATAACAAAAAATTTGTATTTAATATGAACTTATTTTACAATCTGTTAAATTTCAAAACAATAAGCAAAACAAAAACCGTGAAAAAAATTTGCGAAATGCAAGCATGTGTCAAACAACAAGTCTTGCTAAAATAGGCAATTATTTAAACAAATCTGTATTTCAGGTCCAAACATGAAGTCTTACTCTTACTCCCTTTACTCTCAAGGGTTAGCTAGCTACACTCAAAAAATTCCTGATCTTAAGTAAATTTATTGACTAACCGATCCAAATCATACAAGTGAAGTGGGTGGACGCCATAGTAACCTGCAGATCCAGCAGCAAGACAGCTGAGGGATGGGTCCATAGCTACAGACCACACACGGTCTGACACCTTGATGGTACAGCCACACAGCAACGAACTAAACCCATCATGGGACTGCCATACCTAGACAACCAATATTTAGTAACAGATTGGCTTAACAGACATGTAACCCAGCTAGACAACTGAGTGATGGGTCCAAAGCTACAGAACACACATGGTCTGACACCTTGATGGTACAGCCACACAGCAACGAACTAAACCCATCATGGGACTGCCATACCTAGACAACCAATATTTAGTAACAGATTGGCTTAACAGACATGTAACTCAGCTAGACAACTGAGTGATGGGTCCATAGCTACAGAACACACATGGTCTGACACCTTGATGGTACAGCCACACAGCAACGAACCAAACCCATCATGGGACTGCCATACCTAGACAACCAATATTTAGTAACAAATTGGCTTTAACAGACATGTAACTCAGCTAGACAACTGAGTGATGGGTCCAAAGCTACAGAACACACATGGTCTGACACCTTGATGGTACAGCCACACAGCAACGAACCAAACCCATCATGGGACTGCCATACCTAGACAACCAATATTTAGTAACAGATTGGCTTAACAGACATGTAACCCAGCTAGACAACTGAGTGATGGGTCCAAAGCTACAGAACACACATGGTCTGACACCTTGATGGTACAGCCACACAGCAACGAACCAAACCCATCATGGGACTGCCATACCTAGACAACCAATATTTAGTAACAGATTGGCTTAACAGACATGTAACTCAGCTAGACAACTGAGTGATGGGTCCATAGCTACAGAACACACACGGTCTGACATCTTGATGGTACAGCCACACAGCAACGAACCAAACCCATCATGGGACTGCCATACCTAGACAACCAATATATGACATGTAACTCAGCTAGACAACTGAGTGAGATTCTTTGTTTATCTTTGTTACTGGCTCAAATTTATTATTAAATTTATGATTTTTGATTCATTAGCCAGTCCTGATCAAGGACAGCTGTGCACAGTTTTTAACCATCAAAAATTTACTCTTGGTTGAACTGGGACTTTAAAGATAAAAGAAATAATTTGTTATTGCTAGTATCCTATATCCTATACTCTAATACGAGCAAAGTTTGCTTGTATGTATGTATGTATGTATGTATGTATGTATGCTTGCACCAAGATCTCGAAAACGGCTCCGACGATTTTCTTCAAATGTTGTATATAGTTTATTTCTGGCCTAAAAACGAGTTTACTGCAAATAGAACTGCCAACAAAAATCTAATTACATAGAAAAATGAAACTGAAAATCACATTTTTTTAACATTAGTCTTATGGGTTGCTAGGTAACCATGTTGGCTGAATTAAATAACAAGGAAAAAGTAAACAAAAGACTTGTAATTTGTCTATCCACAGTATACTAGAAAAACAAAATACAGTACAAAAGGAAAAACATCAGTTGTTACTATTGAGCAAAGATTATACTGAAGATTACTCGATTCTATAGTCAAGGGTAGCAGTGTGGAGTGTGGGATTTGTTTATGACGATTGGATTACGGTATCTGCAATCCTTAAATGCTATGGAAAGGGAGGAAATAGGTCCACGACATAGGAAGTGGTGAAGGAAGTAGTAAAGGCGAGCAGTCTGGAGTGTGGGAACTGTTTTTAAGGTAATCTGCAATCCTAAAATGTAATGGGAAGGGAGGAAAACAGGTCCATGACGTAGGAAATGAGGAAGGAAGTTGTAAGGCTAGCAGTGCAGAGTGTGGGAACCGTCTGCGGCATTTATGTATCTGCAATTCTAAAATAGTATAAGGAAGGAGGGCAAACAGGTCTACGACATAGGGAGTGGTGAAGGAAGTAGTAAGGGTGAGCAGTCCGGAGTGTGGGAATTGTTAATAACGATTAGATCAAGTTATCTACAATCCTAAAATGCTATGGGAAGGGAGGGAATTAGGTCCGCGACGTAGGAAGTGGTGAAGGAAGTAGTAAAGGCGAGCAGTCTGGAGTGTGGAAACTGTTTATGACGATTAGATTAAGGAATCTACAATCCTAAAATGCTATGGGAAGGGATGGAAAGAGGTCTGCGACATAGGAAGTGGTGAAGGAAGTAGTAAAGGTGAGCAGTCCGGAGTGTGGGAAATGTTTATGACGATTAGATTAAGGTATCTACAATCCTAAAATGCTATGGGAATGGAGGGAAACAGGTCTGTGACGTAGGAAGAGGTGAAGGAAGTAGTGAAGGCAAGCAGCCCGGAGTGTTGGAACTGTTAATGACGATTAGATTAGTTAATCTGCAATCCTAAAATGCCATTGGAAGGGAGAGAAACAGGTCCGCGACGTAGGAAGTGGTGAAGGAAGTAGTAATGCTAGCAGTGCAGAGTGTGGGAACTGACTGTGGCGTTTATGTATCTGCAATTCTAAAATGGTATAGGGAAGGAGGGAAAACAGGTCCACGACGTAGGGAGTGGTGAAGTAAGTAGTGAAGGTGAGCAGTGTGGAGATTGGGAGTGGATTAATGTATCTGCAATACTTTTCAGAGTAAACTAATAATTTTTCCCGAGCAAAGCTCGGTCCCCAGGTACTATACTCTAATACGAGCAAAGTTTGCTTGTATGTATGTATGTATGTATGTATGTATGTATGCTTGCACCAAGATCTCGAAAACGGCTCCGACGATTTTCTTCAAATGTTGTATATAGTTTATTTCTGGCCTAAAAACGAGTTTACTGCAATTAGAACTGCCATAAAAAATCTAATTACGTAGAAAAATGAAATTGAAAATCACATTTTTTTAACATTAGTCTTATGGGTTGCTAGGTAACCATGTTGGCTGAAAAAGTAAACAAAAGACTTGTAGCTTGTAATTTGTCTATCCACAGTATACTAGCAAAACAAAATACAGTACAAAAGGAAAAACATCAGTTGTTACTATTGAGCAAAGATTATACTGAAGATTACTAGATTCTGTAGTCAAGGGTAGCAGTGTGGAGTGTGGGATCTGTTTATGACGATTAGATTACGGTATCTGCAATCCTTAAATGCTATGGAAAGGGAGGAAAACAGGTCCACGACATAGGAAGTGGTGAAGGAAGTAGTAAAGGTGAGCAGTCTGGAGTGTGGGAACTGTTTATGACGATTAAATTAAGGTATCTGCAATCCTAAAATGTAATGGGAGGGAGGAAAACAGGTCCATGACGTAGGAAATGGGGAAGGAAGTTGTAAGGCTAGCAGTGCAGAGTGTGGAAACCGTCTGTGGCATTTATGTATCTGCAATTTTAAAATAGTATAAAGAAGGAGGGCAAACAGGTCTACGACATAGGGAGTGGTGAAGGAAGTAGCATGGGTGAGCAGTCCGGAGTGTGGGAATTGTTAATAACGATTAAAACAAGTTATCTACAATCCTAAAATGCTATGGGAAGGGAGGGAATCAGGTCCGCGACGTAGGAAGTGGTGAAGGAAGTAGTAAAGGCGAGCAGTCTGGAGTGTGAAAACTGTTTATGACGATTAGATTAAGGAATCTACAATCCTAAAATGCAATGGGAGTGGTGGGAAACAGGTCCGCGACGTAGGAAGTGGTGAAGGAAGTAGTAAAGGCGAGCAGTCTGGAGTCTGGGAACTGTTTATGGGAATTACATTAAGATATCTACAATCCTAAAATGCTACGAGAAGGGAGGAAAACAGGTCCATGACGTAGGAAATGGTGTAGGAAGTAGTAATGCTAGCAGTGCAGAGTGTGGGAACCGTCTGTGTGGCATTTATGTATCTGCAATTCTGAAATAGTATAAAGAAGGAGGGCAAACAGGTCTACGACATAGGGAGTGGTGAAGGAAGTAGCAAGGCTGAGCAGTCCGGAGTGTGGGAATTGTTAATAACGATTAAAACAAGTTATCTACTATCATAAAATGCTATGGGAAGGGAGGGAATCAGGTCCGCGACGTAGGAAGTGGTGAAGGAAGTAGTAAAGGCGAGCAGTCTGGAGTGTGGAAACTGTTTAAGACGATTAGATTAAGGAATCTGCAATCCTAAAATCCTATGGGAAGGGATGGAAAGAGGTCCGCGACGTAGGAAGTGGTGAAGGAAGTAGTAAAGGCGAGCAGTCTGGAGTGTGGAAACTGTTTAAGACGATTAGAATAAGGAATCTGCAATCCTAAAATCCTATGGGAAGGGATGGAAAGAGGTCCGCGACGTAGGAAGTGGTGAAGGAAGTAGTAAAGGCGAGCAGTCTGGAGTGTGAAAACTGTTTATGACGATTAGATTAAGGAATCTGCAATCCTAAAATGCTATGGGAAGGGAGGGAAACAGGTTCACGACGTAGGAAGTGGTGAAGAAAGTAGTAAATGTGAGCAGTCCGGAGTGTGGGAACTGTTAATAACGATTAGATCAAGTTATCTACAATCCTAAAATGCTATGGGACGGGAGGGAATCATGTCCGCGACGTAGGAAGTGGTGAAGGAAGTAGTAAAGGCGAGCAGTCTGGAGTGTGGGAAATGTTTATGACGATTAGATTAAAGAATCAACAATCCTAAAATCCTATGGGAAGGGATGGAAAGAGGTCTGCGACATAGGAAGTGGTGAAGGAAGTAGTAAAGGTAAGCAGTCCGGAGTGTGGGAAATATTTATGACGATTAGATTAAGGTATCTACAATCCTAAAATGCTATGGGAATGGAGGGAAACAGGTCTGCGACGTAGGAAGAGGTGAAGGAAGTAGTAAAGGCGAGCAGTCTGGAGCCTGGGAACTGTTTATGGGAACTACATTAAGGTATCTACAATCCTAAAATGCTACGAGAAGGGAGGAGAGGAAAACAGGTCCATGACGTAGGAAATGGTGTAGGAAGTAGTAATGCTAGCAGTGCAGAGTGTGGGAACTGTCTGTGGCATTTATGTACCTGCAATTCTAAAATGGTATAGGGAAGGAGGGCAAACAGGTCCAATACGTAGGGAGTGGTGAAGTAAGTAGTGAAGGTTAGCAGTGTGGAGATTGGGAGTGGATTAATGTATCTGCAATACTTTTCAGAGTAAAGTAATAATTTTCCCCGAGCAAAGCTCGGTCCCCAGGTACTGATTTAAAAAAGAATAGATTGTAAAGATTATAAAGTAAAAGGATAGAAAAATGATGCTAAATCTTGTGTTTTATCCCCACCTTAACAGTGCCATCTTTGGAGCCTGTTACTATTATGTTTCTTTTACCATCCAAGTCTTGGATGTCTTGTGTGTGGTTGCTCCGTTGACAAAACAATAACTTGTTTGATTCAGTTGACCAAGCACATATGTTTTTATCCCTGAAATCAAAATATAAAGAAATCTTATTTTTATTCCTGGGGCTTAAAACTATAGTGGAACTCCTGATTTGTACCACGGTGAGAGCACAGAGTAGAGATTGTGATTATTTTAAGCTAATGAATTAACAGCTACAATACCCTGCCGTTTTGTTTTTAGAAACTCTATTGTATCGCTTAGTTTTATACAATTTTCTTTAGTTTAGTTAAATACACTGGGGAAATGGTTTCATTAATACACTACACTGTGGAGTAGACATTCAAGTTTAAATATAATTATTTTTTATCAATGAAAAATCTAGAAAAAAACGGAGTTCCACTGTCCGTGCTTCCCTTTATTTAGGTTCATACCCTTAGGAGAGGGTTTTTTCGAAAAATGAAGGTATGTTTCTCATCGAGACCTTTCATTAAAGTATGCGGTTGATAGGTGTGCGGCTAACGGTTTTCTCAATAGTTCGCGTGTTAGCTTGTTGATATTTAGTCTAGCTGTTACTCTTAGGCTTCCCCTGACATACAGGGCAGTCACATGGTTTATTGGTGCCCAGGGCTTGATGTTCTCAGGCTACCCCTCCTACCCAAACACACAATGTGCAATGCTCGTGGGGGTTGTATTGCTTCTGAGACATCATCATTGTCCTCCACAATATTCCTGGCAAATTCCTGAATACCGTACAGTAAACTCCCAATTATTGAGCCCCACCTATCCGAGCCCTCGGGTTATCCGAGGTCGTTTTTGGCCTAAATATTTATTTGGATTTTCAGTAGGAAAACTATTACTTTATTATAGTATGTTTCTATTTAAAGAAACGTAAAAATACCTATTAATTTGCAATTTATTGAAACGAATACAGTACTTGAAATTACCATTACATATTATTATAACGTTAGAATGAACCACAAAAACCATACAAATTAAAATCACATGAAACTAGATTGGCCGGCTACCAATGGGAAACTGGACTGGACGAGTCGTCTGCAGAACATAAACAATAGCAGTGTCAGTGTCAGTCAGTCTTCTGCATTTCTATGTTTTGATCAGTATTGGGAAGTAGCGCGCTACAAGTAGCGACGCTACAGTAGCGCGCTACTTTTTTTGTAGCGTTAGCTGTAGCTACGCTACATTTAAGATTTTGTAGCTTTAGCTGTAGCTAGCTACATTTTTAGAGTAGTTGTAGCGGAATTTTAGCTACTTTTCTCGCTACATTAACATTGTTTGAGATAGTGATTTTTATCATAACCTCAACCTTACGTAAAACAACCTCTTTCAAACTGAGATTTTCAAAAAACATTAGGCCTACTTTCTTGGCTTCATACAGCTGGTTGCAGCCGTTTCATTCCCCATTACAACGTTGTGTGGACATGGACGCCATTAAATGAGTGTTATCCACATTTTTGGCTCTCATTTCCTTAATTTACTACTCTATGATTACTGTCAGATAAAATAAAATCGCTAGTTGCAGACGACGTTTAAACGTTACCGGTGACAAGAGAAGCTATTGAATGCTTGCAAGTGATTGACAGGGAAATTAGTAATCAATTTGGTTTCTTTATTATATTGATTGTGTTTCAACTTGGGTTTTAATGGAAACCAACACTAAACCTTAAAATAATGAGAAAGCAGGTCTAGCTTCAGCTGTTGATTGTGGTTCATCATCACAAGCCCTTCCTTGGTTAGATTACGAAGATTTTTCAAAGATTACTAAAGTAACAAAGAGGAAATTACCTGATGAGATTTAAGATATGCCTAGACTACCTGATAATTGTAACGAAAAAATCTCCATATAACATGAAACTTAGATTGAAAAAATTGCATAGTTTACACCTGCTAACAGCTCTTGTATATGACTATTCCTAGGCTATGCTATGATTTAAAACGAATACCAACTTCCAAGTTCAATTATTAGGAATATATCTGTTTAGTCCTTGCAAGAACAAGCCTACTATAGCCAACTTGTTACAAAGCCAAGTAGGCCTACATGTTATTTTTACTTTACAAATTTCAACATGTTTAAATCAAAGCCGATTTCAGGATAAGTTTGTTTTCTGTACCAACTAGGTTGAAGCACAATTTGCCCTATGCATAATGACAATAAAGGATGATTTCTTGACATTGAAAAGTGTTATTCATAGAACAAGTAACTTATCACTATGGTTAAAAGTTGTAAAAATGTCGTTTTTAACATAAAAGTTAAGAAAGGCAAAAAACTCCAATTTCAGTAGGCTAACTTAGGCTCTGTAACACCAACAAGTATTTTTAAATAATCGGTTTACAGTTTTATTGGTCTTAATTGTTTATACAAGACATCTATAAATGAATATATATTAAAGAAATAAAATGAGCTTTTAAAATAAAGTTTTGTTGTATGTCCTTTGAACTTAATGAAAATTACATATAAGATGCTTAAAAATAATGCAATATTTAAAAATAAGTACTAAATATGATGGGACACCCAATTATTTGGTTCTGTTGTTGTAGTTTTAGGCTTATAATGCCAACAAATTAAATACAATCTAGGAATAATTTGTTTTCTAAGTAATGTTAGATACCATACTGACATTTTTTGTTTAAATGTTTGTTCAATAAAAATGTAGTTGCAATTGATTTTACATTTACCTAATGTGCGTGGAATAAAAAGTAACGTCTTTGGAAAAGTAGCTAAAATTGTAGCTGTAGCTACATTTCATTGTAGCTGTAGTTGTAGCTAGCTACTTTTTCGGAACTGTAGCTGTAGCTGTAGCTAAGCTACTTTTTTGGAAATGTAGCAGTAGTTGTAGCTAGCTACATTTTAAAAGTAGCTTCCCCAACACTGGTTTTGATGTAGACATGATTGTGTCCAGTTATAGATCAGGTCAAACTTAAAAAATGTAATTTTATACCTTTTAAATTAGAAAGATCCACCTTAGTGTTTTGTTTTAAATAATTTAGTCTGGATTGGTTTATCATAATTGTAATAATAGGTACTTTGTTTAAAATTTTTCAAGACAATTGAAAAAGTATTGAAAATGTTTGATGTGTCATTTTTACTTTCTCCCCCTACACATACATAGTATATGGAGAAAGTATTGTTTTTGTCAAAATTTTGGCGTTTGAGTTTTGAGTGGATGTATTTGTTTTAGAAAAGTGGTTTTTGAAGTGATGTATGTGTGTGTGTAAGTCTGGATATGTGCAGAGCTACAGACTACACCTGTGGTCCGATTTTGATCAAATTTGGTATGTAGGTACTAATCCATGATATCTCCAGGCATTTTTCCATTTTTTTGAAATTTTGATTTTTAATGTTGATTTTCCCATAAAATAACAGAAAAATCGGATTTTCTCAAAAATGGCCCAAACGATTTTGATAAAAATTTAGTATGTTGTAGCCCTTTAAATTAAACAAAGTGGTACAATTCCCATTTCTGTAAAAATTACGGTTCAAAATTTATTGTAAATTATGTTATTTTCCCATCAAAACCCATAAAATATGACAAAATCTTATTTTTTTTAATAGGGCGGTTCTGGTTCAAATTAGTATGTGATAATCGTTATAATTCTTAAAAACATAGTGCAACCCCAATTTCTGTAAAAATTGTGGTTCAAAAGTTATTGTAGCCTATGTTATTTTCTCATAAAAACCCATAAAAACAGAAAAAAGGATTTTAAAAAATTTTGATTTAATTTGTCTGTTATGGTCCTTATAATATTCTAAACAAAATAGTGCAGCCCCCATTTCTGTAAAAATTACGGTTCAAAAGCTAATGAAATGAAACTTTTGTGATTTTACCCATTAAATATCATAGTTAGTTACTCTCATCGCTTACCCATGATACAGGTTGTTGACAAGCTAATAGGAGAAAGTATGTGTCAGATTGCTGATACCATTTATTTTCTTTAACAATACTACGGTGTTTGGAAAAAAGGTAACAACAAAATTATATTATTATCATTTTTTATTCGCTATGTGTTGTTTAAAGATATATTTTACAAGTATTTGTCTCGATCCCAACAACCTCGGTTAATCAGGATTATACTGTAGTCACAATAACAAGATCATCATATTTCGTGATCGCGGCTAAATCCTGAATATATCCTTTGGTAACGGAAATATAGTCATTTTCATCCACAATCACGGTAAAATTGAGATTATCTCCCGCAGTCATGTTGACATCATCATAGTCTTCCGTGATTGCGTCAAAATCCTGAATATTTTCAACAGTAACAGAAAAATAGCCATATTGTTCTCCGCAATCACAGATGAAAAACAAGATCATCTCCATTAGTCTTTTAGTATCCTGTAATCGTGGCAAAATCTTAAATATATCCATCAGTAAATATAGGCCCTAGTCATTGTCCTCCATGATTGCAGCAAAATCAAGACTATCCCAAGGTCATGTCGACATCATCATTGTCATCCACATTTGCGGAAAAATGAAGATTATCTCCTGCGGTCGTATGGACATGGAACTTTGTGGACATCTCATGGCGATCATTTCTTTTATCTTATATTTCTCTTCACCAACGGATTATTCATCTGAAGAAGAAGTTCATTTGTGCTCTTATCGTGTCTAATAACATCCAAACACAGAAACCTTGCCTGAAATAGTACCTATCTTGACAGATGATTTTCAGCGGCCTATTACGAACCGTGGCCCACTCGTGAGATTTTATAAAAGTAACACTACACTTCGACTGAAAAAAAATGGCACAAAGAAGAATTACCATTTAAGCAGCTACTGTCATGACAGAAAGGTCATGTTCCTTTTAAAATAGATCTCATCATCCTTTATAAGATACGTTGATTAACAACAATGCATGTACGTCAATATTTATGTATCAGCCTATTTACAGTATTTGCTTTTTGGAAATGCAGCATTGCTTTGTCATTTGCATTATTTGTTACCAATGAAGCCTCACGACCATATGAACGAGGCCCGAATAAAAGCCAGCTTCCCTACAATTAAATTCCACTACACCTAACATTCCCAAGAGAGATTATATTGACAACTTTATGTAATTGATAAGGCTGAGACAACTGACATCCGAATGTCTAGGAATTTCAGCTTTAACAGTAACCCCACGAGAAATTTCTCAAAACTATGCTAGAGGGTTATTCATTGGCACAGTAAAACGGTATGATGACCGATGTAATAATAATTAACTATTTATCATAAACATATTTTGGGTATTAAAAAAAATCATACATACTTCCCACCACTGAATATGACATTGTCTGCTTTGACAAAGCGAGAAATGTCGTCAGTGTGTGCCGTTTTGACAATGCAGTGTGGAGAATGCCATTTGATGCCATCCTTCAGTCTCGGTACCCCTAGGATACGTGGTCCTTGAGTTATCCATAGTACTTGGGATTCTAGCCATAGCCATGGCATATACCTGAAAAAATCGTACTGCAAATTACACCAACAGGCCTATATGATTCTCTTAAGATTTATGAGTTATTTGAAAGAAATAAAATGTAAATTTGTGACTTGGATTAAATGTTGTCAACCACAATTAATTGCACTTATTTTATTTTTTTTGTATTACCTGCCACACTAGAAAATACGCCACCTCTTAGAACATACGTCAGTGGCGTAGCGACCGTGGAGCGGTCGCTCCAGGGCGGAAGGCTCTGGGGGGCGGAACTCACTTCAAGAAAATAAAACTTTTATTTTTTTAAATCTGATATACATATAAATACAAAATTAAAGTAACATTATCTCTAATCAGGTATATTTTAAAAACGAATATTATCATTATAAACTATTACATTTAGTCTTTATTTATAATACTCATAGATGAATCGTAAATCGTCGCCGCCGTGCTCGATGCGGCGTATACTATAGGCTAGGTGGCGTCAGCCGGTATCATCTGCTGGGGTTTCACTTGTGCAATGAACTACACATTTAGTGATTTTTATTGAGTGGCTAGTTACCGTACATTAATATCGCAACTCATTACAATGGAGAATATTTTGTACTTATCAAAATACGATCCGAATAAGAACAATTTCTTTTTCTTTTCAAACAATACCCGACTTGTAATAGTTTATCAAACAAAAACTACTGCTCAAACCAAAACAAAATTTCAACAGATTGTGAAATATCTATTTCTGTTCTAGGCCTATATATGAGTTTTAATTTTCACAACATTGTTTGTTAAGACAAAAAAACCTTTAAATAAAGCAAATAAATGTATATTGTTGTTTTTACCATAGTTTAAAAACTTGTTTGTATTTTTATTTTTGTAAACTTTTTTATTAAGGGCTGGGTAAAGAATTTCATCATTAAGTTGCAGCAACAACAACTGTTTTCAATAGGTACTGTACTTACGTTGATGGGCTAAATCAGTCCTTTATTTCCTCCCTAGGAAAAAAAGAATCAGCTGATGTTGAGGATATTAGCTGTACATTTTAATAGCTATTGCTTGCTATACAAGTCGTCCGCTTGTTTTGCTGAAGAAAATAGTCCTTATTCGCAAATATGCTATTTTTATCAAAATTTGCTTTTTTTATCATTGTGTTATATTGTACAACTAAAATACCCCTTTATCGACATGTAGGAAATTTTAAATGTAAAAGAATTCAATTAATGACATATGAATTTATTATAATTGTGTTGGCTGAGTAATGTGGTGGTAATACACACATACATATATTTAACAGTGTAACAAATTGTCCACATTTAATAGCAAAACCAGAAGGAAACCATTTCGAGGGCTTTACAATAAGTAATTTACAAAATTTACGTTTTATTAATTATTTAACTTAAAGTATGGTGCTGTGTAGCGAAAAATATAGTTCATCTTACGGCCGAAAAGTGTTTTCTAAAGATGGCACTAAAATGTTTTGTAATCTATTGTGAAATAAACATGTTGTTAGGCATAAGTAGTATTTTAGGCGCTTATTGAATAAATTATTATCATCTTAAAATACCATTATGAGGGAAACAATATGTATGATGGTTATGCTTAATGTTAAGAGAAGGGGGGGGGGGTGCTTAAGCAATTATGCTCCAGGGCGCTTTTAACCTGGCTACGCCACTGACATACGTGTAACGTTTTTAAAGTTGATCATTAACTGTCAATAAGTAAAGGAGTGTAGGCCTAATTTATTTCATTAATTAGCCCTATAGTGGAACCTTGTTTAACAATTACCTGCTGCAACTAAGAGGCAGACAGTAAACCATGTATTTATTTTATCCCTTGACGTAAGGTTGAGTGCAAAGATAAAGATGCAATGTAAAAAACCTTTATGACTAATAGGTAGGTACAATGATTACTCTATATTTAACCACTCTATATTTCTGATTCTGATTCTGATTCTAATGAGAAATTACTAATTACATGAGTTGCATAGGTACACTACTTTACCTACGATCGTTTCCTAATTACTAAAAATCACATGTGTTTTAAACAAAAGTTTGTAACAATGCAAAGTCGGTAAAGATCAAAGAGTATTATAAACATCTGTTTACAGTACTTGTTTTAAGTGACTTTCTTCTGCCAGTCAATATTCTTTGTTATCCGTACTTACTTTACACCAGTGTAGTGATTTCTATCCTTGTAGTAACCATATTTCCAGTTTGTGCTTATTCTGCATCTTTCCTTAGCTTTTAACTTTATGAACGACCTGGAGGAAATAAAAATTTGTTTAATAGCCTAAGTTTACTATAGTTATAAAAACATGCAATATGGGGTATTTTTATTTACAATGTTTTTTTGACATATTTTCTCCACTCCTTGATTTGATGTTGTTACCACTATATTGTTCTCGTTAGGCCCGTAAAATATATCACTTAATACATGGGTTTCTTTTTATTACACATTCTTATATTTGACTGATATGTTTACAAATATGTTAAGTTAATGTAAAATAGCTTAAACCACTAAAAAACAAAAATCTGTTTTGTATTGTGTTAGGCCTACTTTGTTGTTAGAATTTTGTTTACTTGCATCACGCTATTTCCCCTCTTTAATACGCCTTCACCTTGCCCCCCCCCCCATCTTTTAAGCTAGGTACATACTTTTTCTCATCGATGTCTAGGACTCGATGTTTTTATGCCATCGATTTTTGTTGTTCAATACATTGATTGATGTTTTGAGAAATTTTGCCATCACTATCTAACTTAGACCTAGGATAAGGTGAAGAGTTGTATCACATTTCTCTTGCCCTAAGTTAACTTATTGCCAATAGCAATGGCAATATCTCTGAAAATTACTTTAAGTCTATTGGAAAAGTAAAAAAAAAGAGCCAAGAAATTAAAAATTCATCATTAAATAAATCACAGTTCGGCCCAACAACAAATATATTTTAACTGAAATTACAACCCCAGAAGTAAGCTTAACCGTCTAGGAGTTAGCCTACTGTATTACAAAATACGCCTAGAAAGAATGTTTAAAATGCTTTAACTTGGCCTATGTTAAGAGCCTATAACTGGGCGGGTACAGTTTCTTAACTGGGCTATGCTAATATCGATTGAAACTATCGATTCGATTAGTAAACCTTTGTGCAATTTTTTCACCATCAGTAAGTTTGGTTGGTTATGAAAGTTTAATTTTATAATAGATATATTTAAAAATATCGATTATTATATCAATATTTTCAATTCGATAGTTTCAATATAGATATTAGCATACAGTAGACTCCCTCTTCTCCGGTCACCTTTTAACCGGACATCAGTTTAACTGGACTGCACTCAGCGGAAATTACATCTCTTTAACCGGACAATTTTTGTCAGCACATTGGTTTAACCAGACTAGATCGGCAGGAAGTGGGCAGTACTGAAACGACTGTTTCAAGGGAAAGATTTGATACCAGTGATCATCTAAATACGATGCTCTCATAAATTTAAGTCGAATATCACAGTAAACAGTCCGTTTTAACGAGTTTTTGGGGACGTCGGTTTAACCGGAAAACCCGTTATCCGGACTGGCCTCGGTCCCGAGGAGTCCGGATAAGAGGGAGTATACTGTAGCCCAGTTAAGAAACTGGACCCAACTGGGGTAACAATTTCAATACTAGCTAGGCCTACTCACCTTTTTAACACAGAATCTGATCTCTGATTAGTAATTAGGGCGTTATTACTCCATTTCACCCACACAGAATCTTCTGAAACAACTTCGTTCAATCTTTTACAAGTTTTACTTAAGGATCTTAAGGTTCCAGCATCACAAAATTTGAAAATCCACAGTAAAACATCAGTTGGAAGATCAACTAGCTTTAATCCTAATTGGTTGAGGTTTACTGTATCTAGATTTTCGGAACCAAAATAATGTGCCATTTTCGGCAACTGATATATGAGGATTTTTAATAAATAAATTCAACATTATCATGCTAATTAATTAAACACATTATAAAATGTCAAATCAATAAGAGTTTTGGTTAAGAAGTAAGGTGACGTTTGGGTTTGGTGGGTTTGTTTGTTTGAGGTTATATTGTTATTTATTTTATTTCACCATTCTAGGAGTGTTGCCACCAACTCAGAGCGAAAAGTCCCTAGATATAGGCAGAAAATGGTTTCCCTAGAAATCCTTAGATATCCTAAAATGTTACAACCCTACTTGCGATGTTGCCACTTTGAAGGCCGCGGCTTGGAGTTGAAGGTTGAAGCACGGCCACCTTTAACTATAGGCCGCGGCCTGGTAGAATTGGCAACGTTGTAAGTGGTGTTGTTCAGTGACAGACGTCCCATAAGATAACATGGCAGACAGGTGACATCAGCTCATTAATTCGCACTTTATGTATTTAAATTTATGAACATAAATTTATTAAAATATTGAAAATGAAACATACAGAATTTAAAACCGAAACAATATGAATTAAAATCTATATCTGTACATTTTTAAGTGGAGTCAATATTGCCATAGTACAGTAACCAATCCTACTATAATATTATAAATGAGAAAGGATGGATGTATGTTTGTGACAAGTGAACGCGAAAAATACTGGTCGGATTGGGCTGAAATTTGATAGTTCACATTCCCGATTAACATATAGGCATATTCTTATTTCAAAAATCCTTTCGGGCTCCGCCCCAGTGGGCTCTGTTCTGGAGTTTCCCATGTTAACCTTATGAGAAATGGAATTATTGAATCTTAACAGCTGTTTCAATTAAACAAGTTGGTTCTGTTCTATGATGTTCAATAGCATTAAAGTTACAAGGATTACCAACAGGGTGCAGCACTATTATTGCTTTTACATTTATGACAACAGCTAATTTGCAACCAAAAGGTGAGTGAGCGTAGCGAACGAACTTCAACCTGGAGGCGAGTTAGCGTAGCGTACGAGCTAACCTGAAGGCAAGTGAGCGCAGCGAACGAGCTCCAACCTAAAGGTGAGTGAGCGTAGCGAACGAGCTCCAACCTAAAGGTGAGTGAGCGTAGCGAACAAACTTCAACCAGGACGTGATTGAGCCATGCGAACGAGATAATCTTGAAAATTAAGAAGTTAAACGGGGCAAAGCTCGCGGGTTACAGCTAGTATTTCATAAATACACAAATGTCAAAACCATTAGCTACTTCCAAACAAAAACAGCTGTTTACAACACCACTTGCGACGTTGCCAGTTCGAAGGCCGCGGCCTGGAGTTAAAGGCGGCCGTGGTTGAAGGCGGCGTGGGTGTATTTACGATAGTTTGGTTACTGTTCTATGACAATATTGGCTCTGCTTTAAATGTACAGATATAGATATTTAATTCATATTGTTTTGGTTTTCAATTCTGTATGTTTCATTTTTAATATTCTGATGTCACCTGTCTGCCATGTTATCTCATGGCCTTATGGGACGTTTTTCACTAAACAACACCACATGCGACGTTGCCAATTCTACCAGGGGCCCATTTCATAATAAAGTACTAACTAATATTATTAGTAAATCAGCTGATCGCCCAATGCAAATCTAATGGAAATTACAAGTTACAAGTTGTAACTTGTAACTTGTAATTTCCATTAGATTTGCATTGGGCGATCAGCTGATTTACTAATAATATTAGTTTGTACTTTATTATGAAATGGGCCCCAGGACGCGGCCTGTAGTTAAAGGTGGCCGTGCATGGGTTACTCCTAGCTCAGTGATTTTGTATTGTATTCCAGTTCCAGTCCACTAAGTCCCTCCCTTCCCTACTCTAGTCCCAGTCGTCCCAGTCCAACAAAAACATTGGTAGGTTAGGTTTTTTGTTTACACACAAACACATAGGCCTAATTTGTTGTTTATTAAAAGACCGTTGTCGTTTCGTATTCGTCGTTTGTTGATCTTACAGATCTTTGAAGTTTACGTTTATAGTTTGTGTTGTGTTTGTACTTTGGAGTGTGTCAAGAATTTTGTTATTTTACTAGGCCCTGTATAAATTCGTGTTGTTAAACTATTTAATATTTTAATGTCATTCACACTCAGGTAGGAATAGTGATTAGTATTTTGTTGTGTTAGGGAGTTTATGCATGTTGATCCTCCAGATTTTTTGTTGAGACTAAACTAACTTAACCTAGGCTAGGGTATAACTGACCATAATAGGCCTATATCAGGTTTTTCCCCAAAAAACCTGATTTTCATTTAATATTTAACATACCCTCCTTATACCGGTAATCATTTTATGACTTAGGCACTAGTCAATATAGGCCTAGGCCTACTGATCCCAAATGTTTTTAAATCCTAAAGTGGCTGCACTTTACTCTACGTCCTACACTTGTTCGAATGAAAATAGCGATTATTCGATTGTTTCATTCGATATATCGTTTGGTTAGTTGGGTTAGGATAATCTTACCTAACTAACCAAACGATATATCGAATAATCGATAGGCTATATTGATCGATATTTTTGTTCAAATGAGTGTTAGGACGTAAAGTAAAGTGCAGCCCCTAAAGTTTGTTATTATCTTTCCACTAGAGGCTACTAAGCTTATGTCATGTAATGCAGATACTTAACCTATGAACGGCCCTTGTCTTGATTGTCTTGTTCCCTACGTTTAACTGTAGGTATAACATGTCCGTGAAGTTAGCGTGGTACTCTAGCTTATCCAATTTTGTTCATACCAGTCGTTAACTTAGTTCTTAGTTAGTTCTCGATAGTTCCCCAATATTTTCGTTAGTTCACAAAAAATAAAAGTAAGTTAATAGCTAATAATTAATGGGTACGCTAACTTCACAATTCCAGTTTCTAGCGGGCACCGTTTTCTGACTAAAAATGCTTACACCTATATATCAATCGTTAGTTCTTGATAGTTCTCCTATAAGTTAGGGCACCGTTATCTGATCAAAAATTCATAACTAAATGTACATCTTAGGGTAATTATTTGGACGTAGTGACTACTCGCAAAAGTGAAATTTTTTTTTTTCATAATGACCTAAATTTCACGCTGAATCCGAAAATGAGGTTTTTATTTTTCGGAAAATACCGGAAATTCCCGAAAAAAGGAAAAAACGGGAAAAATATTTTTTTACTCAAAATATGTCATGTGGGTACTCAAAATATGCGGAATATTGTGTAGATTAAGAATATGCAAGAATTGTTTTGATCCGATGAAAAACACCGGAGATAAGACGAAAAAACTGAATAATCTGTTAGGTTAGGCTTGGTTAGGCTAGGTTAGGCTAGGTTTGGTTGGGTTTGGTTAGGTTTGGTTAGGTTTGGTTAGGTTAGGTTTGGTTTGGTTAGGCTAGGTTTGGTTAGGCTAGGTTTGGTTGGGTTTGGTTAGGTTAGGTTAGGTTTGGTTAGTTAGGTTTGGTTAGTTAGGTTAGGTTAGTTTAGGTTAAGCTTGGTTAGGTTAGGTTTGGTTGGGTTTGGTTAGGTTTGGTTAGGTTTGGTTAGGTTTGGTTAGGTTAGGTTTGGTTAGGTTTGGTTAGGTTAGGTTTGGTTAGGTTTGGTTAGGTTAGGTTTGGTTAGTTAGGTTTGGTTAGGTTAGGTTAGGTTAGTTTAGGTTAAGCTTGGTTAGGTTAGTTTATCAATAACATGAGTATTGTAAGTAAACTAACCTAGCCTATCCTAACCAAACCAAACCTAACCAAGCTTAACCTAAACTAACCCAACCAAACCTAACCTAACCAAACCTAAACTAACCTCATCATTAGGTTAGGTTTGGTTTGGTTAGGTTAGGTTAGGTTAGGTTAGTTTACTTACAATACTCATGTTATTGATAAACTAACCTAACCAAACTTAACCTAAACTAACCTAACCAAACCTAACCAAACCTAACCAAACCCAACCAAACCTAACCTACCCCAACCAAACCAAACCTAACCTAACCTAATGATGAGGTAAGGATAGGTATGGTTAGGTTAGTTTAGGTTAGGTTAAGTTTGGTTTGGTTAGGTTAGGTTAGTTTACTTACAATACTCATGTTATTGATAAACTAACCTAACCAAACTTAACCTAAACTAACCTAACCTAACCAAACCTAACCAAACCTAACCTAACCTAACCAAACCCAACCAAACCTAACCTAACCTAACCTAACCTAACCTAGCCTAACCAAGCCTAACCTAACAGATTATTCAGTTTTTTCGTCATATCTCCGGTGTTTTTCATCGGATCAAAACAATTCTTGCATATTCTTAATCTACACAGTATTCCGCATATTTTGAGTACCCACATGACGTATTTTGAGTAAAAAACCATTTTTCCCGTTTTTCCCTTTTTTCGGGAATTTCCGGTATTTTCCGAAAAATAAAAACGTCATTTTCGGATTCAGCGTGAAATTTAGGTCATTATGAAAAAAAAAAATTCACTTTTGCGAGTAGTCACTACGTCCAAATAATTACCCATCTTAGATATAGCCTATCGATCATTAGATCTTCGTTAGTTCAGGATAGGTACTTAGTTCTTCAATATTGATGTAAGTTTCTCCAAAAATCAAAAGTTATACGTAGTAGTGGCGTAACTAGAATATGGCTTTAGGGGGGGGGGGGATGGAGGTGCCCCAACACCAGGGGCCTGGGGGATGTGGAATATTTTTGAGAACTAACGATTTATATATAGATGTAGGCTATGCATTTTTCACCAGACTGTACACAGTGGAAATTCTTTAGGTGTGCAGTTGGTATAACCAACCACTTTTGGCTGCACTTTACTTGACGTCCTACACTCATTCGATTGTTTTTTCGATTCGATATTTTCATTCGATTGTTTCATTCGATATATCGTTTGGTTAGTTAGGTAAGGTTAACCTAACCTAACTAACCAAACGATATATCGAATGAAGCAATCAATTAATCGATATATCGATCGATATTTTCATTCGAATGAGTGTAGGACGTCAAGTAAAGTGCAGCCCCACTTTTAAAAATGCTTTAGTCCTATAGGCCTAACTTTTTTAATTTTGGAGAACTAACATCAATATCAAAGAACTAACGGGAATTAACAAGGAACTAATGATTGATATATAGATATCAGCATTTTTTACCAGAAAACAGTGCATGCTGGAAATTATTTAGGTGTGTAAATTGGCGTGACCACTTTTTTTGCCTTAGGCCTATAGGCTAATTTTTTATTTTTTGAAAAGTACCTGACAAATATATCGGAGAACTATCAAGAACTTACGATTTATATATTGATATACCGGTAGGCATGTTTTGTCAGAAAACGGTGCACGCTGGAAATTCTTTATGTGTGAAGTTGGCGTAACCACGTTTAATGCCTTAGCCTATAATCTATTTCACTTTTGGAGAACTAAGTTAACATCCATATTGAAGAACTATCGATAACTAACAATGAACTACCGTAATGATTTATATATAGATAGGTGTCAGCATTGTTCACTAGAAAACGGTGCACGTTGGAAATTCTATAGGCCTTTGTGCGTAATTGGCGTAGGCCTAACTACTTTTTTATTCCATACAACTTTTTTATTTTTGGAGAACTAACAGTAGCCTAATTTGGGGAACTATCGAGAACTAACGAAGAACTAACGATTGGTTTATAGATGTAAGCATTTTTCATCAGAAAACGGTACACACTGGAAATTCCTTAGGTGTGAAGTTAGCGTAACTACGTTTAATGCCTTAGGCCCTAGCCTATACTTAACTTTTTATTTTTGGAGAACTAACATCAATATTGAAGAACTAAGGAGAACTAAAGAAGAACTAACGAATGATATATAGCCTAGATGTAGGGGCCTAAGCATTTTTCACCAGAAAACGGTGCCCACTAAAAACCGGAAGTAGGCTAGAAAGTTAGCGTACCCATTTTTATCGGCTATCACTTTTTTGTTTTTGAGAAGTAACAAAAACATTGGGAAACTATCGAGAACTATCGAAGAACTAACGTTTGGTATGAACAAAAGTGGATACTCTAATTTGGGTCCGTTAACTTCACGGCCTCTGTATAACAGCCGTCCTTGTTCTCTTTAGTCACATCTTAAGACTTTTCACACTGCCATTCAATTTACTATTGTGTCTCAAAACTTCATGTTTAGTAAAATCAATTTTGGCTACTTAGCTCCGTGTCTAAGTAGTTAGGCATAGTCATAGTTTATGCAAAAACTATAAAGCTAGACATTAAAAATTCGTTTGGAGGCACCTATACTAAATAATTACCAATCATTGCATATTTTTGTAAATCACAATTTTGGTTGTTCCTAACTAGCCTAGTTATAACTTCTCTCTTTTTTATGATTTTTCTAAAATGTAGCAGGTTAACCGTGTTTTAACAAAATATAACTTAGGCCACAGAGAATAGACCATTTGTCTATTGTTGACCATTATTGACCATTTATTTAATAGAGAGGATCATTTATTGTCTGTGCTTAGGCCTTTTTTTAATAACTTAAGTATGGTAAATCATATTTATTTTCCTTTTAGGTTGATCAGATGTCACTGTTTCCAGCCTACAAACCAAGTACTTCAACAGTTGATTGTGATACCTTAAATATTGATGTACCTTCAAGTAGGCCTACTCATGAAGTTATAACAAACAGTCCAGGTAAGAAAATAAGTTTATACAAGTTATACAAGGCTACCTTTTACTGCTATGAAAAATTTAAACTAAACTGTTTTGGTAGGTTAAGGGTCTTTGAATTAGAGTTAATAACTGCACACATTTGAATAAACTCTTTTATTGAACTGTAAAATTACCTTCTCCTTGATTTAATACCAGCTAATGTAGCCGAGACTTAGAAACGATAGAACACGGAACGGAACAGAGAGACAGATAACTAACTCAACTCACCAGTATTCATTCCAAGACTGAGATCGTCCCCTTTCTTCCGATGGTCTCTTCTTTGAACTTGTTGACCTCTATTTGAATCTCAACGTCTTGCTGTGGCTCTTGGTTCTTTCAATCTTAGGCCTACCGTATATACTATATGATTGATTAAAATAAACTTTGACTTCTTGACAAATAATATAATATAAACATTTCTTTTACTATATAACACCAGCATAAAATGTTTAGGCTACGTCACGAATATTTACAATAAAAATAAAACAATAATTTACAATATAACCTAAACGGACTTCCGTTTACTTTCGGATTTTTATAAGGTTTTAGGCTTTAAAAACTTTGAAAAACTTAAATGGCGGTGGATTTTAAAGGGCTGTGAGGTCGTCCTCAAAGAACTCCTCGAGCGTGTAGTATGGCCTAGCTTTCAACCAACACTTCAACTTAATCTATCGTCAATTGATAATCTATCATGATACAGTTCAAAACTTATTGTCGATGATGGCAAACTGGCAATATGCAATATTTTTTAAGACAAATACAAAATAACTTATTCTTAGTAACATCCTATAGAGTTTAGCGTATTGTTCCCATGGCTAAGCATGGGAGCGGAGATGCCGAGATTCCTAAAAAGCGGAGTGCTCTTAAAACAAGGTCGGTTAAAAACAAACTAATATTTTACGAGCGAGGGTGAATAATCTGATTATTGGTTAATGCGAGGTGAGTTAAGATGTAAGAGGTCCTGTGATAACTATCTAATCTTTTTTGGTACGCATCTCCTTTGCAAAGATTTTACTTATAGAAACATCCTTTTTTTAACAGCCTTAAGCTATTGCACCATTTTATATGGATTGAGTTTTAATGGAAATGTGTCTTGTTTATACCAAACTATTTTTACCTTTGTTATCTCTTACCATTGCTCTCCAACTGCAGTGATATTTAGTTTGAAATTGTTTCTATTATGTAAGTACTCACTGTGCTTCAAGAATGAAAAAAATCACATTAACATATGCCAAGATTTTTTTCAGATTTGTCATGGCTTAAAAATACAAGTTACTCCATTGAAGCCAAAGAGTTCAATCATGAGGCTAAACAGAGCTGCAATGAAGAGAAAGATAAAACATCAAAACCTGAAGACAAAGAACGTAATAGGGGCAAAACTAAAAAGAAGAAGAAACCCGACAAAAGAGAGAAAAGGTTAAGGTTTGGAAAGCTTTAATTATTTGTTGTTTTGTCAATACTTTAGTCATTGGACTAAGCAAAATACTCTAATAAATATTCCTTAACACTCATAAAACATTCATGTCCAGAAAATGGTTTTTTTTTTAATACAGTTGGGAATAAACTTTGACTTAAAACCAATTTACTTAAAAAGTATGCAAATTGAAAGTTCATTTTTGTTTAGCAAATTTCTTATATAGGGAATATGCTGAAAAACTATTACTGTAGGTCTCATGGTTAGGCATAGACCTGGGACTTTTTCATTTTGATGTCCCCAGAGGACGAAAAGACCATCCGTTCGGATTCATATATACTGTATAAGTCTGTTAAAATCATGTAAAAATTATCCGATTTTTTATGAAATTTGGTAAAAACGTGTTAACCTATATTTATTCGAAAGGGTTCATAAACCACCTTAATCGGACTTAGAATCGTTTGATTCATAACAAAACGAGGAAAGTCCTACAAACATGATAACCCAACCTAACATACGCAGCATGCTGTATAAAGGTGGCCTCTGTATAATACAAAAGTAAATTTTTTACATTTGGGGAAAAATAACGGAAATAACCAATTTTTATCCCATAAACCCCCATTCCCATGTAGTGTGATTAATTGCTGGTTAATGAACCCGTTCAAATATATGTAGGTTTATACCAAATATCATCAAAATAATTTTCCTCGAGTTATTGTTCTACCAGACTTGTATAAAAATATACATACACCGGTATGAATTTCAACTGATTGCACTTTTGGCCTCTTGGGGACCTCAAAACAAAAAAGTAAATGTCCCGGGTCTAAATTAGTTCATACCATAAGACCTATTATAGCTTATTCCCTAATATGTATACTGTATTGAAAAAATTCTGAAAATGCAATCAGGCAAATGGAAATTTGCTTAGTCTGCAGGATTATTGGTCTGGGGGTATTTTATATTTCTAGTGAACTTATTTACAAAATATACATTAAGTTACGTATCTACAAATATTTTTTTTTTGTAATTGGGTGAATTTGAGTACCATCTGATGTCATCTGCACTAGGCATAACCTAAAAGTTAAAAAAATTTTAAATGTCTAAGTTTGAGTAGGCCTACATTACTGTTATTGAAATCAAGCCACTTACAAAACTAGCCTAATCATTATCAATTTTGACCAAATAGTATAATGTTTTGTATTTTGCGTAAAGTATATTACATTTCGGTTTTACGCAAGAACTTTGTTTTACATTGTAACAGAAACAGTAAATTTAAAGTGTAGGCCTATTTATATTTTTCCTGATTTAAATAGGCCTAGATAAATTGTTTTACAAATCAGAAATCCTGAGCTTTTTATTGGTGAAAAAACCTTAGTAATATACATGTAGCAAAAGCGCTTATATATTATTATAAGCGCACAATACTATACGACTCACTAAGGGTAAGGTTTCACCTATGTGGGATTAGTATAATTTATTTTTTAGTTTCTGTAGCTTAAAGCTTGTACTTTATTATACATATACAATATTTTCTAAAAATGCCTGGAAATGATTTATTTGAAACTGAAATGACTATTTGATTTGATTTTCCTAACACAATGATTGCATCAGGCAAAAGACAGCGTCCTCGAAGTTCTCTACAACTTCACATGGATCATCAAAGTGCATTGAAAACGACCGATTTTATGAAGACAAGATTCAAGACAAAGGAAACTTTTTAGTGGACACTCTCTACCGCCCAGCCATTCCTAGGTATGTGGTATATCATGTGAAAGTGATAGTGTAAAAGTGTTGCATTCACAGTTATTCAGTAACAGCTGAGCTGGTTATATGCACGGTGATGGGCAACAGAGTAGAGGACACTTTACAAAAGTATTACTCAGTTGCCTCGTTTTCCTAGTCAGGAACCGATGAGAACCTCTTTAGCGAAGGAGTGGGGGGGGGGGCGTGACGTCACTCTTCTCTTGAGGGAACACCATTATCCTTTAACAAGACGATGTGATTCCATCGGCGTTCGTGGCGTAGTTGATATCGTCTCGGACTGGTATGCTTGAGGTCTCCAGATCGAATCTCGCCGGGGACTCTAGCTTTGTGTCAAAGATTTTGCTTAGAATGTGAATACCTCTTAACTGTACATCTTGTGTTAGAATTTGAGGCATTTATAATTTTACTTATGAACAGAACTATTTTTTTTTTTTTTTAGTATTCCATTTTTACCTTATATCTTTTTTATATTATCAGCAAGTTTTGTTCGTTAGGTTAGGTTATGACAGTTTAATTTTATAATTAAACAGTTAATTTGATAACTAACAAATTATAAATTAAGATAAAATTTTTCTTAAATCGACGTGAGGGGCTCTCCCACACTCCTTCGCAGAAAAGGTTCCCATCGGTTCCGGGCCAGGAAAATGAGACACTAGTCTCCCGTTCTCTTTCAGTTTCATTTTCTCTTCACTAGCTTGTTCCAGCTGTGCCTTGGACTGACACTGGTGTTGCCTTCTTTCAAACATATAGACATTAGACAGTTAGACAAAAGTTGGTGATTTGTTAAAAACAGATACAAAACGATGAGTAGAAAAGTACAAAGTTTTAATAAGTACTTCTTTAGCAAATTGAATAATGCCAATAATTAAAAGTAATATTGCAGTAGCAATCCTCCTAGAAAATTGTATTCAAGGCAGTAAATGGTATTCAAAACACTTGTCCTTATATTCTCAATGATAATAACAACAAAAATAAACAGAATATAGCAATAGTGTATTGATACAATTTCTGTCCGTCTTTGCAAATAGTCATCACCAAAAATCATTGAATACATTTGTAATTGTAAGTAAGCTTTTCTTGTACTCAAAATCTGCATACACATAGAATGGGGGTGGGAGGGGTTTGTAAACTATGGCAGGTTGTAGTTACATAATTTATAAATAAAAACACTTTTAAAATATACCTTGTTTTTAAACGCACTAAAAAGTAGAAAATAATTTATAAATATGTACAAAAAACGCATGGGGCATATGCAATATCTAATTTACAATTACCTTCACCTATTGAACTGTTATTATCTATTGCATGCACCCCACGTTTTTTAATTTTAAATCTTACAAGTATTTATTCTCTCCACATATTTATAAATTATTTTCTACTTTTTAGTCATTGATGTGTAAATATGTTAAATCTATTTTATAAGACCTGTTAATGCATAACCAAACCCTTAGTTTTATCTTTACTTTGAAATGTTTGTGTTATTTAGAATCTCTTGGGGTCTGACTTAGGGGAGGTACAAATGAGGCATTTAGTTCAAAATTCCTCCGTGAACAGCGCTGTAGTAGAGAGCACTTTGGCAATGAAGGTTTACTAATCGCAAAAATAGTTCTGTTCATAAAATAAAATTATAAATGCCTAAAATTCAATTTTATTAATTTTTAATTATAAAATTAAACTATCATAACCTAACCGAACTAACCAAACTTGCTGATAAAGAAATAATATAACAAAAGTTTATAGTAATCGGAAAAATAATACTGTTTATAAAATAAAACTAGAAATTGCTCAATTAAAATTTTATAATCTATCTATACTATTATAAAAAAGAGGTGGTGTCTGTGTGTATGGGAAAAGTAAAAAAAAAGTAAAGTAAAACTACTGGTCGGATCGGGCTGAAATTCGGCATGATGATAGCTCATATTCCCGATTAACATATAGGCATATTTTTATCCCAAAAATCCTTCCGGGCTCCGCCCCAGTGGCTCTGGAGCAAAGGTTCCCATGTTAACCTTATGAGAAATGGAATTAATGAATCTTAACAGCTGTTTCAATTAAACAAGTTGGTTCAGTTCTATGATTTTCAATAGCATTAAAGTTACAAGGATTACCAACAGGGTGCAGCACTAGCATTATTTCTTTTACATTTATGACAACAGCTAATTTGCAACCAAAAGGTGAGTGAGCGTAGCGAACGAACTTCAACCTGGAGGCGAGTGAGCGTAGCGAACGAGCTAACCTGAAGGCAAGTGAGCGTAGCGAACGAGCTAACCTGAAGGAAAGTGAGCGCAGCGAACGAGCTCCAACCTAAAGGTGAGTGAGCGTAGCGAACGAACTTCAAAAAGAACCGAAATTTCTTAAACCATGTCCTCACTCATAACTGCTATAAGCATTTGATACTTATATGCCAACCCCGTACGAAGGACGGGTACTCTGCTAGTGACTTAATAAAATTAAACTGTAATAACCAAACCAAACCAACCAAACTTGCTGAAAAAAAAAATCTTGGACAAAAAGTTAATGCCACCGGCGGGATTCGAACCCGGGACCTACAGTATATAAGCCCGGCACGCTAACCATTAGACCACCGAAGCCGATGGCTATCGACCGTTTTGTTACGGTAATGGCGTTCCCTCAGCTAATAAGAAGCTCTCAGCTGTCATCGTAGCCTCTTCTATACCTCCCCTGAGTAAATACCGCCTTCTTGGGAGCAGAACCTATACTTTAACCTCTGCTCTTCGAACAGTCAAATTTAAGTAATTACAGCTGACTTCAATAAATTAACATATTTGATTATTTACATTCTTACAAAATGTAAACATTGACACTTTGGAAGCCTATGGGGCGTATCCCAAGGGAAATATGAAAATAAAATTACATAAAATGCATTGTCATCCATTTGTGAGCTAAGTTTCAAGGTTTAAGTATCTAGCTCATTGGGAAGTTGGTTTAAAATCGATTGCAAAATTTGTACCGGGCAAGAAAGCAAGCTAATAAAAACGTTTTAAAAAACTACCTTAACTTCTAGAAAATAACCTCAAAGAATGATTATTTTTAGAATAATTTTACCTTACATTAGAAATATCAATGTTTTTCAATTAGACTACCCTGTTGTATTATCTGTATGAGCAATTGATGTCATTGCAATGGTTTTTCAGGTACAACAAGTACAATCAATATTTTAAGATTTATAAACTGAGGAAGAAAACAATAAAAAAATATAAGAAACACAAGCGTTATTATTTGGTGCAATTAATTAAACGTGAAGCCTCTTTGGACTCAGAAGGTTTGTGTTTTGTGTATTAATTATCAATTATTGAACTATACCTACATAAACATTCATTAGCATTAGTTAACTGTTTACTCCTTAGTATACTAGACTAGTAGGCCTATAGTACTCACAGGTTTGACCATTACTTGTCCAGTATGACATTACATCATAAAATGACAGGACATTTGTCAATACAGTATAATACTTAAAGCTAAATAGTAATATTAAAAATAAAAAGAAAATAATTTTAATACTTAATCCTACCGATTTCCACTTAAAAATTCATTGAAAGAGTAAAATGTTTTGGTTAGCAACCAGTCTTTACATTATTTCAATGGTGAATTTCCCGTAAAGAGAATAAGCTATTACGGTACCGTGGGTCCCATGGTAAGGCCTGGACCCGAGACCGATTTACTTTTTAGTTTTGATGTCCCCAGAGGCCAAAAACACCATACTTTCAAATTCATATATTTATATGTTTCCGTTGGCACTTTAACTCCAGCTAAAATGATCCGGTTCCGATAAAATTTGGTACAATTAACAAATCGTTAATAGCATTCTATAAAATGTGACTGCAGTGATAAATATTTTTTTTTAAATGGTGCCAACAGATTCCTTTTCAAAAGAAGAAGAGTTATCAAAAATAACTAAGGATTTCAACCAGAAGCTAGCAGAAACTCCAAGTGATATTGAAACATGGTTGGATTATGTTCGTTTTCAGGTAAAAAATATTTGTGTAACGATATTATTATTCAGTAGATCCTTGATAATCAGATTTCTTCTATCACATCTACATTTTTAGTAGAGTATTTATAAAGTAAAAAAAATTACGATTTGTTTTTTACAGTCTTTGTAGTCTAAGCTTGGCATTCATATTCTTCTTTAGGTATGTTTGCTTAAACAGTTTAGTGAATTCCACTATGGATTCACCCTGGCATCATCATAAATTCTATTTAATCCTTCTTGTGAGTGTTAGTGTCAGTCACAAAGGGGGATCTAATTAGTTTTGTTACTTTCGAACATTATTTCCATTTATCGGTTTTGGTATCAATAGCACTTTTTAACATTTCCTTTAAGATGTTTTCCTTTATAACTAAAATTTAAACTAGAACCACTTTATGCAATAATTCAAGGTTTTTTTTTACACCATAACTTTGAACATATGAACAAAACTCATCTTCAATTGGATGATTACCATTTGTTAACTAAGTAATAATGGTTAATTGATTTTTTCTGCTTCGGTTATTTTTTTTTCGCTTTATCTATGCCAGTAGTATTTCCAATTAAGTAAACTTGAACACTTTTAAAGGAGAGCGGTCCACACCCATTCAAGATTTGTAGATGTGCCATCATCGAACCCATCCCTCTTGCACCGAAGTCCAAGACGCTAACTTCTAGGCTAGCAACAAACCCATTGCTTTGCTCTGGGGACTTTTGGCTAGTCATGTCTCTAGTTTTAAGTTCTTGTTTGAGTAAATGGTTGTATGGGAAGTAAGATGAGGCGGTTTTGGAACAGTATTAGGATTGCTCTTTAGTGAAAACAAAACTTTTTCACAATAAACAGGAATTGGTGTAGAACTTGTTCTGTATGTATTTAGAACAAATAATAAATGTATTTATCAAGGTACAATTTTAACCAACTTTATTCAACACATATTAAAAACAAAGTGAACATGTAAACATTATAACCAGCTGATAATAGTTATAGAATAAATTTAAGTAAATAAGTAAAGATAGACATTTAGGATGTAACACCTCCCCTTCTTAGTGAGTTTCATAAGTTAAGTCTATCGACGGGTTTATGTGTCCGTTTTGATCGTCTCACTGTCATAGCGGAAGCTGGTGCCACTGGAACATCTGACATGTTGTTACTGGTCTCTGGTGCCACTGGAACATCTGACATGTTGTTACTGGTCTCTGGTGCCACTGGAACATCTGACATGTTGTTACTGGTCTCTGGATCATCTGGTATGTTGGGATCATTGGCCTCTGGATTAATGTTGTGATAATTTGTTGCGTGGTTTTCGGTTGGTTCCTCTCTGACTTCTCCAAAATTTGTTGGTATGAATACTTGATTTTGCTCATTCCTTAATGAAAATTCACACAAGTCCCTCCCTGAGCGTCTAATTTGGTCTTGATGTCGTCTGATTGGGCCACTGCTTGTGGTTATTTCATAATTTCTTGGTCCTTCTTTTTTGTTGATCTTTCCAAACCCCCATTTGTTGCAGGTTCCATAGAGGCGGTAGGCGACAGGGTCTTGAGCTTTAAAGGACTTTTGCCTGTCACGGTCTTGAGCTTTAAAGGACTTTTGCCTGTCACGGTCTTGAGCTTTAAAGGACTTTTGCCTGTCACAGTCTGTGTCAAACTTCTGGTTCATTTTTTGTGACAAATCAGGATACAATAAGTCAAGTCTTGATCGAATTTGACGTCCAATAAAGAGATGTGAAGGAGATTGTCCTGTAGTACTATGTGGAGCTCTTCGATAGGCCATTAAATATCTCTGCAGTTTTATTTCGATAGAGCCTTCCTCAAAGTGCATGGCTCTGATGGTATCTTTCAAGTCTTGCACATAGCGTTCTACTTGACCATTAGTAGCAGGATGGTAAGGTGCTGATCTCTTGTGTCTAATTCCATTTGATTTAAGAAATTTTTCAAACTCTAATGAAACAAATTGCCTTCCGTTGTCTGACACTAATATGTCAGGGATTCCAAAGGAGCCGAAGAATTTACGCAAAGCCTCAATAGTTTTATGTGAATTTATGGTTGTAAGTGTTACAATTTCTGGCCATTTACTGTAGGCATCCACAATTAGGAGAAAATAATGGCCATAAAATGGTCCAGCAAAATCAACATGAATTCTTTGCATAGGCCTTGAAGGATATTCCCAATGGTGAACTGGTGCTTTGGGTGATTCATGCTGTACTCGTTGACATCCCAAACAGTTTAAGGTCATATTCTCAATGTCTGCATCAATTTTAGGCCACCAAACATACGAACGAGCTAGTCCCTTCATGCGAACTATACCCACATGAGCCTCATGAAGTTCTTTCAAAATTCTTGCACGAAGTTGTTTGGGAATCACGACACGATTCCCTTTTAATAAGCATCCAAGCTGAATTGACCATTCTTGTTCGTTAGAAGACATCGGGTGATGGATTGGCTCCCCTCTGATTAGTGATTGATAAATATCTCTAAGATCTGGATCAGATTGTGTATTTTTTGCTATTTCTTCAGCTGTGACAGGTAAAGTGTAGATTTGTTCTATTTCATGAACATCGGCTGAGTCAATAACAGCAGCTTCTTCAACATTTTTAGGTAGTCTTGAAAGTGCATCAGCATTAACATTGTCTTTGGTTGATTTATACTTTATGTCAAATGAAAATGCCTGAAGGAATATAGCATAATGTTGTAGTCTTGTTGCGGCCATAAGTGGTATTCCATTTTTCGGTCCAAATATAGATACCAGGGGTTTGTGGTCTGTAACTAGGGTGAAATGACGTCCATAAAGGTATTGGTAAAAGTGTTTAACTCCAAAATAAATTGCCAGGGCTTCTTTTTGTATGACACTGTACTGTTTTTGTGTTTGTGATAGTGTTTTGGAAGCAAATGCAACAGGTCTTTCGTTTCCATCCGGAAACACATGAGAAAGAATTGCCGAAATTCCAGATTGACTAGCATCTGTTGCTAGAATGAGTGGTAAGTGTGGGTCAAAATGGCATAGTATATTCTCTGACATCATTTCCTCCTTCACCAATTGAAAATCATGTTCACATTCTTCAGTCCAATTAAAAGGTACATTAGCTCTTGTGAGATTAATAATGGCTTGCATCTTTTCACTTAAGTTTGGAATAAACTTTCGATAGTAACTTATCAAACCAAGGATTTGTCTAACTTCTTTCACATTACTTGGTCTCTTCAGGTTTCTTATTGCTTCAGTAATATGTTTACTTTTACTTATTCCCTTTGACGAGACATGGTAACCAAGAAAGTCAATCTCTGGTACAAGGAATTGAGATTTAGAAACATTAATGTGTAAATCGTTGTCTTTGAACCGATTTAATACAGCACAGAGTCTTTTCAAATGTTCTTCATCACTGTGGGCTGTTATTTTGACATCGTCAAAGAAAACATCAACACCATCAATACCTTGTAGAATATTTTCCATTGCTGATTGCCAAATAGCAGGTGCACTTGCAATTCCGAATGGTAGACGATTTACTCGATATAGACCTTTATGTGTATTGATTGTGAGTAATTCTCTGTATTCTTCTTTCACTGGCATGTGTAGGTAAGCTTCAGATATATCAATCTTTGTAAATTTAGTCGAATTACCCATTCTGGCCAAAATATCATCAATGCGGGGCATGTTGTGTTCTGGTATTACCAAATGGGGATTGAGGGTTACTTTGTAGTCTCCACACAGTCTGATATTCCCATTTGCCTTCATAATCGGTACAACTGGAGTAGCCCAAGAACTCTGATTCACCTTTGTAATTATACCTTCTTTTTCTAGTCTGTCGATTTCTGCACTAACTTTTGGTAACAAAGCATAAGGTAGTGGTCTAGCTTTTTTAAAAACTGGTGTAGTGTCAGGCTTTAAGTTAAGAAGTGCTTCTCCCCCTTTGAAACGTCCAACTCTTGGTTCAAATATGGATTTAAATTCCATTAAAATATTGTGTACTTTGGGATTTGAGTGTTTAACTCTATCCAAGTCAGCTCCGTGAACGTTATGTATGTCTGACCAATTTATTTTAATGGATCTCAGCCATTCCCTACCAAATATCGTATCTCTATTACCATCGACTATATACAATGGAAGATATTTGGTTTGGTTACCGTAACCAACCTGAACAATGGTTTTACCCAATGGAACAAATTCATTTTTGTTGAAATCTCTTAAGATTATGTCTGGATTCATTAAAGGTCTGTGTTTAGGAAAAAACTTGGAAAAGTTACTTTTTGACATCAAAGATACTCCTGCTCCTGTATCTAGTTCAAACGGAATAGGTTTCCCATTTATTTTTATGTTTAACATAATTTTCCTAAATTTATCTTCTGAGGTATTCATAGAACAAATGTCAATAACATTAGTTTCCTTATAGAGGGATCCAACAGAATTGTTCATATTTTGTTGTAGAAATATTTCATTTTGATCTTCGAACGAGTCTGTTATTTGTTTTACATTTCTTGAAGTAGTGTTAAATGTAGTCTTATTTTGTCTTTGCAATTTGATAGGTGCATTAGGATTCCTAAAACAAATCTTTGCTAGATGCCCTATTTTTTTACAGAAGTTACATGTTGTATTTTTGTGTTTGCATTCAGATATGTATTCATGTAACTCTCCACAACGGTAACATTGTTTAATATTGGTACTGTTTTTAGGTTTTTGAAAACTTTTCTGTTGTACAACATTTAAGTTAACCGGCAATTCATTGTTTTCATGATTGAATTTTGATTGGATTGTTATTGAATCGTTTTGAGCCTTTTCAATTACTTGAGCCATGTCTACAGCTTTTTCAAAACTCAAATCACTGTCACTTAGAGTAATTAATCTTGTCTGTATTTTTTCATCCCTTAGTCCGAGTATGAATTGATTTCTCAGGGCTTTTGACAGAAATGTGCCGAAATTACAATATCTAGACAACTTTCTAAGATCCAATGAAAATTCAGAAATGTTTTCTCCTTCATATTGATGTCTACAATGAAATTTGAATGTCTCTGATACTTCATTTGGTTTCGGTGTAAAATGTGAATTAAGAGTTTGAACTAATTCAGCATAGGATTTAGTTATAGGTGATACAGGATGCAATATATCCCTAAGTTTACTGTAAGTGTCTGATCCAATACAGTGAAGTAACGTAATTTTCTTTTTATCTTCCGAAATGTTGTTATAAATGAATGATATCTCTAGTCTTTCCATATACATTTCCCATGTTTCATATCTTTCATTGAAGGGCCCAATCAATGCTGAGTTAATCATTTGAATGTTTTGAGAGGTATTTGAATTACTTGTACTCACCTCCATCGTCGCCAAATTGTTCTGTATGTATTTAGAACAAATAATAAATGTATTTATCAAGGTACAATTTTAACCAACTTTATTCAACACATATTAAAAACAAAGTGAACATGTAAACATTATAACCAGCTGATAATAGTTATAGAATAAATTTAAGTAAATAAGTAAAGATAGACATTTAGGATGTAACAGAACTAAATCTCGTTTGCTAGCTCAGTGTATCTTTTCACTTACCAGTTTTAAACCAATTATTAACTTACTGCATACTGTATTGTTATTGTTCCTGTATCCATACAAGAAAAAAAAAATATTTAAATTGTTACTATAATGGATTTGCTTTGACCAACAATTAATAGAGTCTCAACACAACTTTACTATGGCAGAATGGCAGTTTAGATTTGTTGGGACCAGACTTTAGTACGGTATTTTATTTTCTAAAATGTTCAATCTTTATATGTATGCAAATGTTGTCACTTTGCTGGTCTTTGCTTCTTAGACCAATAACAAATCGACTACTTGACTAGCCTTATTGAAAATGAGAGCTAAATTTGGATTTAGGTTTATACGTTAGGTTTGGCATTTCAAATTAAACTTGGTCCAAAATGTAGTTGAACAGACAACAACGTTTGCATGACAAAATACACCTGACTGATCAGGATGTTGGTTGTGAACTCAGTTTTCCTTGTATCTATTTCAGTTACCTATTCAAGGTGATGCCAATCAGCATTAAATTATTTTATGGAAAATCTATACATACAATTAAAATATTTTGTTTATTTATAAATATTTCTATTAATCTACAAATTATAATTGTCAGAACACTGTGTTGGACTTTGAGAAGACATATCGCAGTGGCTCTGTGGGAGGTACACATGTGATGTCACAAAGACAGTTGGCCATCCTGGAGCGAGCATTGCAACACAACCCTGCCAACCCTCGCCTGCTGACCATGAGACTACAGCTGCTGGAGCTCACACTTCCACCCGACCAGGTGTGGCTATGACCTTTGTGGTAAACTGTGGACTGCAAGGGTAATCAGGAAAAAGGATCATACATTAAATAAAACTGATACACAACAAAGTACATTACCTTTCATATCTTAATTAATTTCTTATATAGAATTAAAAGTTATGGTACTTACTGACAGACTGACTGGCGGGCACTCCAGTTGTCAGGTATGCTGACTCTCGTATTCCGGTCTCAACGTCTGCAAGTATTCAAATGGCAAATGTAATGTACTGTGTAACAGTTGAAGCTGCCAAGGTCATTATATTATAATTATAATTATACTATTATAATTACCAAGGTCATAATTAGCACTGACGAGTAATGTCCAGTGGTCGAAACTCGACCAAAAATATGTAATGTACTCACTTATACCTATATGTTCCTACACTCACTTATGTTAATGTTTCACCCCACACTGTAAATAAAACATGTGATTGGAGTTTCTTCCATTTGTTTTGATTTTCTGTTTATATTTCGTTGTTATTTCGTCACCAGCATGGCAACGCATAAGATCCATGTAAATTTTTTCAAATTTTTAAACTCATTTTTTGCGCTTATCTTTGAGCCTATTTAAATTTATAAAGGGATTCTGCACACCTACAGGAAAATAGCTTTCTAACGGTATGCGTAGATTTTCCCTACGATGCACACGAGCTGAGAAAAAAGGTTTTAAAGAAACATGCTTGCCTATTAATATATAGATAGATAGGCTTATCAATTTATGTGTAACTTGTCATCGGGAGACTATCCGAATTTTACCGTATCCCAGAAGTTATGTCCACACAACCGCAGGAGATGTTCATTATTTTGCTGCGATCGGGGAAGATGATATTTCCATTACCAAAGGGGATATTCAGGATTTTGCCGTGATGTTGAGCGACGAGAGATAATCAGAATTTAGCCATGATCGTGGGAGACGATGATGATGTCTACATGTCCACGAGAGATGTTCGTGATTTCCGTAGTTGCAGAAGACAATGATAATGTCCACACGACCGCGGAAGATGTTCATAATTTTGCCCCTATTGCAGAATACGACGATAATGTCCGTTATTGCATGGAAATTCAGAAATTAGCAGTGACCACGGGAGACGATGATGATGTCTACACAACTGTGGGAGATTATCTCAATTTTGCTGCGATCGACGACTGCTGGAGATGTTCATAGTTTTGCTGCGATCGCAGAAGACGATGATCAGATTTCCGTTATCACATGGAAATTCTGGAACTAGTCATGACCGTGGGAGATGATGATGATGTCTACATGACTGCAGAAGATAATCAGAATTTTGTTGTGATTTTGGGGGACGACGATAATATTTCTGTGATGCGGGAGACGATGATGTCTACACGTTTGCAGAAGATAATCAGAATGTGGCAGCCATCCCGGGAGTTGATGATGATGTTTCCGTTATCATTGAGCGGTATTCAGGATTTTGCCGTGACCTCGGAAGACAGTGGTTATGTTCCCGTGTCTAAGGAAGAAATTAAAGATTTCGCAGTGATTGTGGAAGACAATGAAGATGTCTCCTAGACTGTCGGAGATGATGAGCATATTACCTCGAGCTCAGCTTTATCGATACAGTAGACCCCCTCTAAACCGACCCTAATGGGACCGGACCTAGGTCGGATAATTCAAAAGGTCGGATAAAACGGGCAATCCCTAAAATCATAACATAATGAAGTGCTATTCATTTAGAATTATATAATCATTATTTTGAAGTCATACTTGCATTATTTATAAAATAAACTACTCTTATCTCCTTTTTCATATTGATAGAAATGTCACAAATAAATACAAAACACGGTTAAGTCAAATAGGCCTACTTTCAGTGAATATATTATAATACTAGGCAAGAGTCAATAAAATTCCTATTTTAATAACTTTACTACTGTAGTGTATTAATTAATGCTTTCCAAATACATCGTAATACAGTAAAGAACCTTTTGTCGTCATTAAAGATAAGCGACCATTTTATTACAAGACAGGACGTTTATTTATGGCCACTCACTGGAGGTTCGAGGCACAAAAACTATCTTGACCTTGAAGTTGTTAACACCCCTTCCCTGCCCTCCCTACAAGTTGCGTTGTTTGTTTACTCCAGCGATAAGATAATCAGTTCTCAAAATCGTAACGCACTTTATGATGTTTTATGAATTTGCCGCACAGATAACATATCTGATCAGATGTGCTCGAGCTACGAACGATGATGACAAACTGACAATAGGCTATGCTATATTTTTTGTGATCAACACAAAATAACTTATTGTTAGTCATATCCTGTGGAGATAAGCGTATGGTTCAGTTCTCATCGCCCAGCGTGGGAGCGGAAATGCCGAGATACCTAGAAAGCGGCGGTTAAACCGAGCTGCTCTCAAAGCAAGGTCGGTTAAAACAAACTGTATTATTCTACGATCAAAGGCGGATAATCCGATTATCGGTTAATACGAGGTCGGTTAAGAGGGGGTCTACTGTAATCTGAAGCTGGCACACTCCTAGTTATAATACAAATTTATTTATGATGCTTGTTTGTTAGATCCTCATTTACCTTTGGTATGATGGTAGCTATTCAATGTGTTTAGAAGGGTTTAAATTTGAATTTGCTGCTCAGAATTTGCCATTGCTGCATTAATTTGTTTCTTTACTTGAAAAACTGCTCATTACCCAAAAATTACTATAAGTTGACATAAATACAGGGGTTGGTGTAGTATTTAACCAAACCACACAACAACAACAAATTGTGAATTTAAAAAATCTTATTATTATTGAGAACTTAACTTGTCTGTTTTGGTACTAATTACTGATTAACTGATGTTTTGGTATTGAAACTTCACTATTTGTAAGTAACAACATGGCTCTGTGTCACAGGTTGCAGATGAGTGTAGCCGCGCCCTGGTGCAGGATCCCGGCTGTGTCCCACTGTGGCGAGCTCTGATACGCACGTCTCGTAATAACATGGCTCTATGTGTGGCACCTGCAGTACTGCAACAGTTTTCCAAGGCTCTCTCCAGACTTGGCCAGCTTAGAGTTCATCGACCTCCTGGCTTCATTGAAAAAGATATACTGAGTATGAGCATTAACTATGTTTGATTATTATTGTAAAATTTTGTTGAAATAATTACTTTGAGTTAACTTACATTGTAAATGTAACTATCACACAACCTTTAATCATCTTATAAATCAAATTTCAAAGAATGCTCACCCAAAATATTATCTTTTTACTACCTTAATACAGGGTTATTCAATAAAAAACTAAACTGTTGGTACGGCTGTTTCTGTAATTTTAAACAGTTGATTCTTATAACAATGTAAATGGTGTACTAATATAATGGTTTAATTACCTTCAGTCTCCAGTTCAAAGTAAGTCGATTGCGACCTAGGTTTCAGCACGACGTTGTGCTATCATCAGGCTTCCAGTCAAAAATGTTTAGTCCATTGGACGTCGTTTAGTAAAAACTATATACAGCTCACAAGACACAAACACATACACATTTACCGATCGGTATTTACAAAAACTGGAGTTGTGGCTTGGATGTCACTCGTCGCGGCCAGTGATTTGACAAAATGCACTCGTTCTCCCCTTGTAAATACCGATCGGTAAATGTGTATGTGTTTGTGTCTTATGAGCTGTATATATTTTTTACTAAACGACGTCCAATGGACTGAACATTTTTGACTGGAAGCCTGATGATAGCACAACGTCGTGCTGAAACCTAGGTCGCAATCGACTTACTTTGAACTGGAGACTGAAGGTAATTAAACCATTATATTAGTTATAAACCAGTTCAGGGGCAATTCCACATCTTATGATGTCAAAACTAGTAAATGGTGTGTTTATAAGTTTGTTCTGGAGAGGTAATGTTTTGTCTAATTTGCTTAGTGAAGTATTACAAAGCATGTCAACAAATGGCTATTACAAAACAATAAAAATAATTTTGTGTTTTAGACTAGAGTTTGCTCATAGTAATGTTATTGTTAATGTTCAGCTAAGCCGTTTACGGCGTATGCAGTTCTGATGAGAAGCCTCCTTCCTAAATTTGGTTCGAAGGTTCCTCTGGCCAGTGGCCACCAACAATAGCATTAGTGGAGCAAACTAAAACAAGAAAAACTTTTTCTTATACTCAACTAAGCAACCAAAGCAAAACATAAACTTGTCAAAACAAAGTGATAAACATGTCCTTCCATCATTGTATCAGCTGTTTGAAATTGCTTAAACAGATGTACAAGCCATTTAGCTTTGTATAATTCTTATAGAATAACCCTGTATTTAGATCACAATAACCCCATCCCGCCAAAAGCCATTGAGTTGGAAGTTCTATGGGGTAAATTATATATTTCACTGTCAAATCTTGGTCTTTGGGTGATGACCGTCTTTGGGTGATGACCGTCTTCGGGTGATGACCGTCTTTGGGTGATGACCGTCTTCGGGTGATGACCGTCTTCAGGTGATGGCATGTATATATTTCACTATTTCCTGGAAGCACTCAAGGAAGCCCACTTGTGTCAGCAGTATTGATGGTCTAATTCCAGAATTGGTCGATTTTGATTCGATTCCAGAACTTTGGTTTAAATTCTCGATTCCGCACTCAATACCAATACCTGTTTGAAATTCATTTAAGAACACATATATGTGTGCTATCCCTATGAACAAAAGAGCATGTTATTTTTATTTAATCTTTATACAATAACTGCATTTCTATTGATTAAGGTTACCTTACATGGATTAGGAAAATAAGATACTTCAAAAATACACACATTTTAAGTATTTCTTACATACGTTATTAAATTAAATTGTAACAACAAACACCGGTTTAGGTATGCCTAAAATTTTCAATTAGTTTAATGTTTGCATTTAAGCATTCGTTCATCTAGGCGTTCGTTGGATAATCCATATTTCTTGAGTTATACACTCAAAGTCAATAATTATCATCATCACTAATCACTAAAATTACTTTAAGAATCACATTAAAGTCATGGAGTTCGTCACATCACTTGGAACGGAGATCATGCCCATTTTTGAACAATCCACTACGCAAGCACAGCAATTAACAACAAAACATAAACAATTCGCCATTGCAAACACATAACAGCTGTTTCAGTTCAGTCCAGTCAGAGAGAAACAACATATAATGATAAAAATACATCGCTAAAGGGCCGTCTCCAATAGTCACCATGAAGCCCTGAATCAGCTGAACAGTTAGAATAAGCAATGAATACAAACCATTTAAGAAGCAAAATGCTTATGGAGGATAGTCAGACTGAAATTTCGCCGCCAAAACGAGCTTTGCGCGGCCGCCGCTAGGATCGCTCATGCGGTAGCCACACTACTCTATCACTCTCTCTTTCTCTAAGCTGATTCTTTGTCTCACTCTCTCTCGCTCAGTCAGCTAAATTGTCTGCACGCTCGCGATAGCCTATCTAGTGGCCACCGCGGAAACTGTCCGAAATTCAAATATTCCCAGACAGAATTTTTAACAAAGGCATTACGCTTCTTATAAGTTTTGTATTCATTGGTATAAGTAAGCCGAGGCATTGATCACGCATATATAAAAGTAACAAACAAAACTTAGCTTACAAACTCGCGCCATTTTGGGCAGGCGACACTCGTACGCATCAGAAAACCCGCCCAATATGGGGTGGGTGACACTTAAGAGGGTTAAAGGATCAACCTTTGATTATATATAAAATATTTACAAAGTGTGTTTATAGTCAATGATATTATACAGTATGATCAGCAAGTTACCAAGCTCTTTAGCTGCTAATGAAATGTTCATAAAGCCTATCACAAGTTAGAAAACGCAAAATATACTAGTACCATTATACACTATCACTATATACACTATATGACTATATACACTTTGTGTGTATTATATTTATACATTCAATGCTTATACCATCTGGCCAATCTGGCAACATCTCCCTCGATCTGACAACATCGGCAAGTGATGATCAGCCTCTGTCATTCAACTAGTATTCTACAAGTTGTCAGTTGAACACGTCATTTGTTCTGAAATGTAAAGGCACGCTATTTGGATTATAAAACAATTACGAATGTGAGCTAATGAGCTTTGAATTATTTATATTAGCCGACTTCAGAGTATTCCAAATAAACTATGATTTGCCACTCTTTACAATCTTTAACATCAGTCAAGTTTTGCATCATAATTAACCTCATTTCATTTTTGATTTTTCAGAATAATTGGTATCGAGTACAATGGAGCCAAGTATCGAGTGTCTGCAATTCTTCGATACCAGAGAATCGGAATCGGCCCATCCCTAGTCAGCAGCGACTGCAGATGCTGCCTACATCCCATGTACCTTATGAATGATCCCTGTATCACTGGTGTTTTGTTGCAGACCTGATGTTGGAGTGTGGACTGTTCCTACAACAAGCAGGCCTGTGGGAACAGCTGATAACCCTGCTGCAAATGTATCTGAGTCTCAGTCTTACTGCCTCCGGTCAGTTTACTCTCCCAGCTCAGCCTCAAGAAAATCAAACTAGTAAGTTTATTATTTTTGACCATCTTAGAAAAAAGATTATGTTTAACATTACACTATTTTGCGTTTCTTTTAAATAGATTTTATATACAATAATACAATACAGTCAAACAAATCAGAACCAATTGGGATTATGATAATACCCTATTATTGTCAGTGATTAAAAAAAAATTTTAAATTTTATTTTTGTGAGATTGACAGGAATAATTGGTTTAGCTTAATATTATATGGTCGTTTTGAAAAGGGTCTATTACTATACTTTAGGTTATATTTCAAAGGCCATGTTTCTGATCAAAGAGTTTTAGTTGGGATAGGATAGATTATTTTTAAATACAGTCTCTCTTTAACCAACCAAAGCACAACTATTCAAATACAGTTTCAGTCAATATAGGTTTACAGTTTCCCACAATGTGCATATTCCAGAGTAAAAGAAAATAATAATATAATAGTTTGAGACAAACTACGTTCACCAATGTCGTGTATTTAAATAAGATTGACTATATTCAGTGCCTGATGTAATATGTTGTTTGTTTTATAGGAGAACAAGAAGACTTAATACTGTCCAGTGGGCTCCCACTCAGCGTACTTTGGCTAAGGATAGAGAAGCTAAGAGCTGCTTATCATTACCTACCCTCAGCCAATGCTGGGGCTGATCCTCAGAGGGTCGTGTTTTCCGAAGACTTGGCAGGTTGGTGTCTTCTTTGACCCTGTACAGCTGATGGAGGAGAAGGAGAGTTTTTGTATACTTACCATATTTTTGTTTTTTTTTTTTGCAGGATTGGTACAGCCTGTGATGGGAGAAGAGCTGCAACTGCAGTTAGTCGCTGTTGTGTTCAATTTGCTCAAAATTCCCCTTCTACCTACCAGACACTCCACTCTGGAATGTATTGGCCTTCTTCAGATCCCTTCCTCCTTCAGTAATGTGGAAGTACTATTAGCAGCTGCTTATCCCTCTGGATTTTCTTCACTGACCGACTGTAGGTAACAGTTTTAAAATTATATATATAAGAATGAATAAAATTCAGTTAGGTCCTATGACAAAAGTAGTCGTGTGTCAGTTGCAATTTTTATTGGTTTGGTTTTTGTTTTACCGATTGTCCGTTTTTGGCTAGTTTTGTCTTTAAATAGGTAAACTTACTACTAACCATTTATATTTTAACCTAATCCACACTAATGACAATTTTCTTTGTGTAAAGTTTGCTTTTGGTGATGGTAGGTTTTTTTGTTGTAGTGAATATTGCAGATAAAACTTAAGTTTTACTAACAACCGATGGGAAGTTGATGCAAAAATCCTAGAAACGACAAATAATTATTTACTTTTATTCCTAAATACTCATCATGACATGTAATGATTTAAGGTATGTCTTGTATGGTTGCCGGCGGAAAAGTAGTTTTAGATTTTGGTAGTTTTGGTCATAAATTTATCGCAACATGATTGCAAAGTAGAGGTGTGAGAGCGGCATTATTTTCGAGCCAAGCCTAGCCTAGCCTACAAGGTAGTTTTGGTCATAAATTTATCGCAACATGATTGCAAAGTAGAGGTGTGAGAGCGGCATTATTTTCGAGCCAAGCCTAGCCTAGCCTACAAGCTCGAGAGATTGAGCACAAAGTCGACAAATCAAGCTCGAGCCAAGCTTTTACGATCGCAAAACGTGTCTGCGAAGCTCGCACGATTGGAAAAGACACTCAGGATCTTTCTGCGATTGCGGAAGACAACGATAATGTCTACAAAAACCGCCGGAGATGTCCAGGATTTTGTTGCGATCACTGAAGACTTTAATAACATTTCCAAGAACGTGGGAGACAATGATAATGTCCATAACAGCGGAAGATATTCAGGGAATTCCCGCAATCACGGATGGAGATGATAACATTTCCAAGACTGCAGAAGACGATGATGATGACCACACAACCGCAGGAGATATTGATTCATTTTGCTGCAATCGCGGATGACGATGATAACCTTAGATGAGATTTTTAGGAGTATGCCACAGATAATGTTTTTGTGAACGATGGAGATACTCAAGATTTTGCCACTATCGTATGAGACAATGATGATAGTGCGTTTCTGTTACTGCGGAAAAAAAAAATGTAAAAAATATATAAATTATTATAAAAAAATGAGACAAGAAAAAATTAAAGTAAATAAATTAAGTAAATTATTATTAACATGAGCAAAAAGAACCCATAAAAAAGTCTCAACGATAATGAAAATGATCACAATATTTAGAATTATAGTCAGCACAACAATGTGATGAATGCAAATTATAGAAGATTTATGATACTTGTTAAACTTAATACAGCTTTTTACTGGTGACAAAATCCGACATGCTTTAAACAGAATTTATACTCATGCTAGTTTAAACCTAAGAATTTGAGATAGGCCTACACTGTATTTTATATTTTTATGCATATTTATGTATTCCCCCTGATAAAAAAGTTGCCTTTTGAAGAAAATAAAATGAGGACAGATTTATTATGAACTAGCTGGCCCGACAGACGTCGTCCTGTCCCAATGTGGTTTTATATCAAATGCTTGTTCATTTTCAAGATGAGCTCGTTCGCATGGCTCACTCACCTTTGGGTTGGAACTTGTTCGTTGCGCTCTCTTTGCCTTCAGGTTAGCACGTTTGCTACGCTAACTCGCCTCCAAGTTTAAGTTCGTTCGCTACGCTCACTCACCTTTTGGTTGCAAATTAGCTGTTGTCATAAATTTATAAAAAAAATAGTGCTGCACCCTGTTGTTAATAAGGTTGTGTGCAACCTATTACCTTTTTAATGCTATTGAACATCACAGAATCAAATTGTTTAGTTGAACCAGCTGTTAAGATTCTTTAATTCCATTTAAATATGAGTACTCATAAGGTTTACATGGGAAACTCCAGAGCCACTAGGGTGGAGCCCTTTTGACGTATCTGTACCAAACTTCACGCAAACCATCCTTGAATAATGCTTAATAATACCTGAAAATTTCATTACAATCTGTCGAGCGGTTTCGGAGTCCATAAAGGACAAACAAACAAACAAACATACATTGGATTTTATATATATAGATTAGTTCCTTGCTTCATCCTTTTATCTACTTAAAAACTATATTGACATCTCAACATTAAATTGGATTTAATAAAAGGGTTTTTGACTAGGCATAATTAACTTATTATCTTAATTACATAAATTTATGATGAATAAAAAGCTTGGTTTGGCTTGATTGAAAATCTCTGGCCTGAATATCTACTGAGGTCATGCGGACATAATTACTGTCTTCCACAATCACTTCAAAATCCAGAATATCTCTTGCAGTCTTGCAGCCATCATCATGTCTTCCATGATCACAGAAACCTTATCATTGTCCCTTGTAATGGGGGAGGGGGGGGGGATTTGAATATTTGCAAGGACATCATGATGAGCTGTTACTTACTGTTGAAGCTAATAGACTGGTTGTGTTAGGTAGGTACTTATCTGGCAGCATAGAGCTGGTGTGTGAGCCACAGTTTGTGAAGGAGTCTCCAGGCCAGATAGAGTTCCTCAGCACTGTGACCAGCCTGCTGCAGAACTGCGCTGAGCTGTTGCCTACTGCTGATGCTAATAGACTGGTTGTGTTAGGTAGGTACTTATCTGGCAGCATAGAGCTGGTGTGTGAGCCACAGTTTGTGAAGGAGTCTCCAGGCCAGATAGAGTTCCTCAGCACTGTGACCAGCCTGCTGCAGAACTGCGCTGAGCTGTTGCCTACTGCTGATGCTAATAGACTGGTTGTGTTAGGTAGGTACTTATCTGGCAGCATAGAGCTGGTGTGTGAGCCACAGTTTGTGAAGGAGTCTCCAGGCCAGATAGAGTTCCTCAGCACTGTGACCAGCCTGCTGCAGAACTGCGCTGAGCTGTTGCCTACTGCTGATGCCATCATTGTCCACATGTGGCTTATGAGGCTGTACGCTTTACTCTGTCGACTACACCATCTAGAGCTGGGAGCTGTGCCTGCATCCATACAGAAACAGGCCAGAAGTCAAGCCAAAAAACTTCTCAAACAGCCTCAGTTCAGAGACAACCTATTGCTCTACAGTGAATATGCTATGGTGAGTGGATCAGCTTATTTTAGAACACTTACATATTAATTTCTTTTTAAAAACCTGCAAATTTCATTTGTTTAACATGTATGTCATAACTGTTGTTTTAAATTAATCTATGTTCTTATTATGTCCTAAAACCAAAGTTAGAGCTGGCAGTGTGATATATGTAACGTGGCTAACATGTACGATAGAGGAAAAACCGTTAACATCTCTGGCTATTGTGACATTGTCAATTTTCAATCACACATGTTTAAAAACGCTTTCTGCGATCTTGGACGTATATGATCAGCTTGGCTTGATTCAACCTGAGCTTGGCCCGATAATTATTTTTGGCCCTAACCGACCTCTAGAGCCAAATGTTAATCCTACCCAACCTGAAAATAACAGGGACCTGCAAACTCCTAATAAAAGGTACATTTTTGTTCATTTTTTCCAGAGCCACCCTGTAATACCTCAGTGCAGGAGGAATGTTAAACCCTATTAAGTAGCTTTCTTGATGGTTTTACTCATACAATGCATACATTAACACACTCTATATTCCATAAAAAGCCATTGCATAGGATAACCATTTCATTTGAAAACATTGCCTTGTACACAGGCAGATAAGGTCCATGTAGGACTCAGTCTACAAAAAAAAAAAAAAGAGCTAAGAGAAAGAGTGTACTGAATTACTGGTAAAATCACTAACAACTTTGACGTGTGTGTTTAGATAGAGAGAGCATCAGGAGAGCTAGACAGAGCCTGCAAGGTGCTAGAGACTGCTTCTTCTCTACCCTCACAGTCGGAACAGCAACACACAAATGTACACCAAGTATTGCTGAGGAGAAGACAGGCTGAGTGTCTACTGCTGATTGACTACACTGCTAACAAGTAACCAAACAACTCATTTTACAAAATTTAATCAAAAGTTCGGGCTGCAAGTAATTTTCAGACTTGAATTCCTCACAGTTGTCATATAAAGTATTGCTACGACAACTCTGCAAGTCAGGATAGCCTTAATGGCTTCAGTGACAGCTATGTTCTTGTTGATTCTTATATCTAAAATAGGAGGGTTTGAAAATAAACGATAGTAAAAGACCCATGCCCAATCAAAGTGAAATGATTTTATATTAAATCTGTAGATTATTTCAGAACTTGACCTTCCAAAAATATTATATTAAGAAACATGGCTGTTAATTACTATTATTCAAACAGTTCATCTTTCTCTGTAATTAACATTTTAATTATAATGTAAAATGTTCATGTGGTGGTGTTTCCAGTGCATTTTTACAATGTTCGGTATTTGTTAAATTATATATCTCCACTTATGTAGACTGTGTTGCTCAGACAGTCAGCAGTGAAGGTGTTGGTGTCAGCTCAGCCTTGTGATGTAGCAGCCTTGGTTGACCAGTGGCGCCCTCTGGCTGGTGAACCTCTCACTTTATCTGCAGCCCTCTCGCCTCAGCTCCTTGTAGAGAGCCTCGCTTGTCACTCCCTCCATCTCTCCCTCACTCACTCGGTGTGGGATGCTACTGGGTTCCTGCAACAGTGTATAGATACTATACCTCACACCAGCGGTACACTGTAAGTACAGAGTATGATTGGGTTTGTTGGTAAATGAAGTTCAAATTTGAATGTTTGATAACAAAATCTAAAGTGTTCAATGACTGTATTGGAGTAAGCAGCAATGACGTTGCAATGACAAAATTCTAGCTAGCCAATTCAAAATTAAACTGTAACATCATCACTGTCTTCTGCAATCATGGCAAAATCCTGAATATTTCACAGTGGCAACAAAAACATTATATTGTGACGTTATATTGCGATTGTCCCACACAAATGAAGAACTTTTTACCTGAACTTGTTTCTTAACCCCCAAAACAGGTAAAAAATCCTAGGGCCCAGAACCTCATTTACTAGATGTGGCCAAGTTGATGTGAACACCTTCTTGAGCAAACCATCAGAATCTCAATTGCATAATCGATATGGCCACATTACACTACTTAAGTATATTTTAAATCTCTTCCAAAAAATCAAAAGACCCATAGACCTAATTATTTGGGAGGGCTTATGTAATTGCTTGAATAAAAACACTGAGCTTATAAAAGCTGCAAATTCACTATCATCATGCTGGTTCAAACGATTTAGATTGCACAAGACGTACATCACAATAAAAGACCATAAAAAAAATATTTAAATCTAAAAAATCAGCAATATAAAACAAAGGCACAGAAAATGCAAAGACATGATTTGAGACCAAGCTAGTATGCCTGCATAACAATAAAAAATGCCATAAAAATGCTTGTGGTGTTGTCAATTGAAAAATAAAACATCCGTTTTTAAAAACATATTTTAAGTTATAATTATAACTGTAGCAGGGTTGCCACCAAAGTGAGATAAAAAAATTCATGCATAATTCAAGGTTTTCATTGGTAGTTTTGAAAAATTCATGGGGTATATGCTCGCACAATTTCACCATAAAAGAGTGTTGCCTAGTTCAGAATTGTACATTAATTTATTGACAATATAAGTTTTGTGTGCTACTATCAAATAAAACACATTTCATGCGTTTATTTTAGAGTAAAAAATAAGAATTTAATATAGTTTATCCAGTCTAAAAAAAGTAAAATCACAGATGAAAAAGGATATTAATAAAACTCTTGGGTACTTACGTATTAAACGGAGGCCACATATTTTACAGCGCGCTGCAGCGGTTATGTTAGGTTGGGTTATCATAAATATATGTTTTTTATCAAATTAAACTATCTTAACCTAACCTAACCAACCAAACTTGCTGATGGTGAAGGTTTACTAATCGAATCGAATCTGTAGGTTAGGTGGCCTCCGTTTAATACGTAAGTACCAAATCGTGTGTGTGATAATACGATGTAATTATTTAAAAAATTGAAACATCTGATTTAACAACATCATAGGCCTAATGATAAATTCAAACGTTAGAAGAAATAATAAATAAAATAATAAGTCGGATTGGTAGTTAGGTCTAGGCCTAACCTAAAAAACATTGCATCTAAACATAAAAGGTTTAACCAGCAATTGCCTACAACTTTACTGTCCAAACATCAAATTAAGATAATAGGCTACTATAAAAACAAATGTTAAGAACATGATCAAGAAACGGTTATCTTAGTAATGGGCCATATCTAGGCCTACTAAAACGCACATGCAATTTATTACTTTATACAGTAACACAGTAGGCTAGCCTACAACATTGTAATCCAAAGCTGAATCTAGGCTAAGTTAGGCCTGAACCAACTTTTATTTATTGAGAAGATTAAAGGTTACCGACTGACTGATAATAACACTCTAAAAAGGTAAGATTATGTAAATAAATATTTAGTTAAAGCTAAGAACGAAACAAAAGTTATGGAATGTATGTAAGTTTAGACATAGGCTAACTTACATTAAGTAATAAAAAAATAATTAATTACATTACAGAAAAGGTTAAAATAAACTTATTTAGGAGGATGTTTCTTCAGATTGGATCAGTTTATATATTATTATTTGCCTACACAGGTTTAAATCACAGTTAAAACAATTATTTAATTAAATTTACATCTCATTAGTTAGATTCGTATTGACTGAAAACACCTAGTTATATGCTTCAACAAAACATTTACATTTACCTTCCTCAGAACGAAATCACCATTTTTCAGCACAACATTGACTTCTTGCAACTTAGGCCTAAATAAATAAACTTAATCTCACGTTGTAACACATTTACTAAACCTAAACACTGACAGTAGTTTGAAATGACGACATATTTGACCAAAACAAACACAGCAGACGATTAAGTTCCAGCCGGCGCAAGCCATTTTGACCTTTATGGCAAGGCAAGGTACTTCTTATTTTAACGTTGTTAAGTATCGGAAGTATAATATATCAGTAATAAAAAATATTTAATCTGAACACTTGTTCCACTGAGTGTTGGGTAATCAATTATAAGAAGCACAAAACGGAATCACGAGTGCAACAAGTGATCTTACTGTCCAGTGTCCACCACTACTTCAAACGTTTGACTCGTTTCTAAATTTCAGATCAGTTTAAAACTTTTAGGTTATGGTTACTCTGAATTTCCTTCCACACGAACGAACACTAGAGTAGAGAGTAGAGAATGAGAGCGAGCATAAATTCCGATTGTCGATGTTTTCGAAACATCGATGTCTTTTCTATCGATGTTCGAAGTTATTTGTTTACATCGATGGTAGATTACCGAACCGATGATTTGGTTTGTTACATCGGTCTTTTAGGCCAACAAAAGTAATGAAATATTGATGTTTTCCGTAACTGAATTGTATTGGTTTTAGGTTAATTGGCTGTTTCAGTGCAGAGAACAGACGAGAAACTCTGAACAAACATCGATGTGATCGATGTTTTAGCTCCGAAAGCATCGATTTTATCGGTAGATCGGTACTCGGTAGAGATGGGCGTTATAACATAACAGGATGAATAACAGTGTTGCGGCCACGGCAACGTTATCGCGGCAATACGTTGCGGAGAACTCCCTGTTATTATAATAACGTATCTATCTACACAATGTTGCAGGAAAGCCGCGCGGACAACGAAAACGAAAACATGCATTGCCATTAGTGCCGTTGCCGCAACGCTACCAGAGCAACGATAACTTCTGAAACGAACTAGAATAACGCATCCTGTCTGGACAACGCGGCAACGCCCGACTCCTGACTAAAACTAAAAACTGAACTGATCAACCGACAATGATAACTGAACGCCGCAACACCGACCGGCGGACAACGGTTTATAGCGGCAACGAGTTGGCAATCGTTATTGAAATAACAGGTTGCCGCAACACGTTATTGGGCAGCTGCGTTATCGTTATAACCGTTGCCGGAAAACAACGATAATTCCCATCTCTAGACTACTCGGCTGACGTCGGTTACGATCGAATTTGACCTTGAATAAACTACGCAATCGTTTCTGTTCGTGGCATGGCAACAAAACTTTTTATCTCGACACTCCCACTTTGACGTTTTATCTCGGTGTTCATTTCGAGAATGGTTTTAATACGGAGTATTTGATTCAGCACATTTAGGGGTTTTGGCTGAATTGTTAATAACGATTTTGAGAATTCATGGTCCAATGACGAAATTCACGCATAATTCACGCACTTTTTCATGGTCACCTAAATTCACGCATAATTCACGCTTTTCAAGGTTTTCATGGCTGGTGGCAACCCTGTGTAGATTAGTTACAAGTGAAATATGAAACCATAAACAGGTTTATGGCAGTAGGCAATGGCTAGCGCCAGCAGTAAACTAGGAGTAAGCTTATTCTTTGTATAACGGGATAAGTGAACTTGGAATAACCTACAAAGATGAAAGAAACGTGTTGAAAATCTTAAATGTTTGATTCATTGAATCCTCGTAACTTTAATAATTATATTTTCGCAACTGATTCAATAAATGTTGCCACGTATTAAGTAGTTTTAAACTCCTTTTGCTGAATCGTTTAATCCTCATATATAGGGAGAACATCAAAGGATTATATTTTTGTCACTAATTTAATGAACATTGTGACTCAATGTACCTTGAGTTCTTGGATGTACTTTACCTTGAGTATGACAAAATGGTTATTGTCATAATAAAATATTAGTGTGTTTGGGACTGTGATGGGGTTTAATTGTATCATTACCCGTAAACAAGCATCAGATAAACCTTTTTTATGTCCTCCTAACCAACTACCGTGATGATCTACCTGTAAACAAGCATCAGATAAACCATTTTTATGTCCTCCTAACCAACTACAGTGATTATCTACCTGTAAACAAACATCAGATAAACCTTTTTTTATGTCCTCCTAACCAACCACCGTGATGATCAACGTGTAAACAAGAATCAGATAAACCTTTTATGTCCTCCCAACCAACTACTGTGATGATGGCAGCAACTGATCATCACGGCAAATTGTGCAACAACCGATAAACCAAAACTGACTTTTTATGTCAATTCTCGTTTCAGTTTTTTTGCTCACAAATCGACAACTGACTTTAACAACCAGCCCTTCCTTTGTTCCTACATTTGTGTTACAAATCACAATAGTTGTTCACCATTTTGTCATGTATGTACACAATGTACATATACAAAATTGTATTAATCTTTTATTTGCGTGAAGTGAAAATGTAAATATATCTTTAGAATGTTATTAAACTCTGAGAGATAATATTGGGTACATATTTTTCTAGTGGAAGTGCCTGGGTAGAACAACTGTACGAAGTACTGACAGATCTTTTGTACTTACACACTAAACACAATAAGTCCGGCTTTGCTGTGCTGCGCTCTTCATTAACAAAGGCCCTTGATATCTTCCCCAACAACGTAACTCTACTTAACACATTGGCTTGTTTAGAGGTAAGTCAAGATGTTTTATAATGTTGACCAGCAATATACCTCCCAATGATTGCAAGGAGGGAAAAATATAGCATAAGTTTTTATATTTACATTTTTTAAATACTTACTCTAAAATATATTAATCAAATGAGATGTCAGAGAATTTAGAAGGTGACAAAGTATAATAGTTTTACCTGGCCTCCAACAGGTTATTTAATTTTTGTGTTTACTGTTAAGGAGTGATAGAGTATTTAGCGAAGCACTCTAGCACATTCTTGACCTTCTAGTAAATTTTGTTAAAATGTTTATTTAAGTAAAGAAGAGACAGGTATTATAATTGTTTATTACATTAAACATTAATTATAGGACTAACAATTCAATATAAAAAGTTTGTATGTATGGCAGGTTAGCTGTCTAAACTGGTGATAAGTTTAGATAAGTCTAAGTTGATTAAGCTAAGATGTGATGACAGTTAAGTCTATAAAAGAAACATTATGCTTCAGACTGGCAGTAGTGGAGGCAGCCCTGTGTGGAAACTTGTCAGCTACTTTCCACGAAGTGTTCCTTTGGCTCGGCTGGTCCTGGTGTTTGTCGTGCGACACAGGATATCCAACCAGGCGTCTAGTACTGGTAAAGTATCAATTATCAATTATTTAAGATGCGAACGCCACTATGTGCATATTTTAACCCAAATATGAGTGAAGGATGAGGGTAGGATGAGTGGCGCGATCTTGTAGTCTTGTTAGTGACTAAGGCCGACATATTCCTTAGACACAGCTGTTAATTAATAGCCCAAACAGCTAATACATTAGAAGCACACCTAGGTGAACATTAATCAACTGAGTTGAGATCTATTTGGGCCTAGTTTGATTTTACCGTGATTGTAGATGTAGGAATTTTAAATTAACAGTTTTTTGGAATTTTCTCCGTAACATTAGGCGCATAATAACGCTATACTAAATTATTTGTTTTTTTAAGCTCTACAAAAAGGTTTGGAAAGAAATTGTAAAATTTTGTGCTTTTGGGTCAAAAAAGGGAAAAACCTTTTTTCATCCCATAAAACCCCCCAAAAAAACCCGTTCCCATAGTCCGATCATGTTGGTTCGCGAACTTGTTTGATTAAACGTAGGTTTACACGTTTGTACCAAATTTAATCAAAATCAGATCATTTTTGCTTGAGTTACCGCGCTAACGGATACATATATGTATATATATGAATTTGAACGGATGGTGTTTTTGGCCTCTAGGGACCTCAAAACGAAAAAGTAAATCGGCCCCGGGCCCAGGTCTTACCATGAGTACTACGGTAATAGCTTATTCCCTATATGGTAAATTCGCTAAGAGTCTGGCCTGCAGAGTGAGTTAAATGATCTGTGTAGATTTTTAACTTACTAAGGTGAGCTATTTATTTGGCTAGAGCAATTTTTAAAAGCTTAATTATCAAGGACAGCTAGACCCAATCACAATCCTTTAAGAAGCTACTAACTTTTCTCAGGATCAATTCAATGAGCTGTATATTGTATTGTAAGCCCAGCACTACAACCTCTCAGTTACCCAGCGATACGTTTACAAGGATTTCTGATGATAGATTAAAATTAGTATCTTTTGGCTCACTAATTGAAATGAGTACCGTTTTGGATTAAACTGTTCATAATTTTGTTGTTGTCAATAAAATACAGTCATTATTATTTAGTTTGTGGAGACATTTTCAAATAGCTCATATTTCTTTACTCGTTTGCAGGTAGGGCTTTCTTGAAGAACTTGCTGCGCCAGTTGGCAGAGGAGGAAGTGACCAGACAGTGTCCACTGGTCTGGCGTCTCTACCTACAGCTCGTGGCAGCACAGGAGTCTGACACACAAGTCAAAGCCACTTTCTATAAAGCATTGCAAGCTTGTCCATGGTTTAAGGTATTGTGCAAATATACATTGTTGAACACGCTTATAATCATTCTTGGAAGACAGTTCAGATTATATTTATTTTTCTCATAAAATGTGAATAATCATTTAAATTACTAATCTTACAATGTGTTTTTGCCTAGTTGTTTTCTGTAATTTAAATTCCCAAAAAAGTAAATTGCAGCTATTTTAAAGCTGAAACCATGCATTGGATTATTTTTTTACAGATCCGTCTTAATAGGAGACCATCCGAATTTGTTTATGAACTAAAGAATCTGAAATTATGATATTTGCACTTAGTTTCATCCCAGAAACAGTTATTACTCTAAAATTCAGAAGTGTAAAATTTGGTTTGCTTCACCACTAAATAATGCCTTTAAATCAAATCAAATCAAATAATTCTTTATTCATCATACACAAAGAACATGTATTGAATAGAGTCAAATAACTTATAGGCTATAAATACTAATACATCTTTACAAATATACAAAAGTCTTGTATACAATTAGTTTCCTGGCTAAAATAAATTTAAAAGTAAAAAGTAAATGTACCTTGGAAATGATTGGTTTGCCACTTTGCCTTAGAAATTAAGTAAAAAATAAAACACTTTTTTCTGCCGGAAATACAGCTAAAGCCTTTCCCCTTATAGTTAAGCTTTTTTTGTTTTAGGGAAATATGTATACCTACCTAAACAGGATAAAACTGTTTATTCATTTTTTTGTTCCAGGCTTTGTATATTGATGCAGTCAAGTTCTTGCCAGAAGAGTTGCCGGAAGTTCAGGACTTATTGATAGAAAAAGAACTGCGTCTCCACACTACACCTGAGGAGCTGGAAATACTCCGGGATTAAACAAATTTGTGTGTCTTATAGTGTAATATATTAACTATAAAATACTACACATGCAGAATTTGTTATTTATCTTTTGTATATTTTTTTCTTTTTGGATATGTTAACATGTTTTTTTAATACATTGTAAATAAAAAAATTATTATTAACTTGCGTATGAGTTTTCCTATGGTTAAATCTCTTTTGAAACATAATCTTAATCTTACAAAAATGTTCTCTTTTGATTTGTATTTGTTGTTAGTAAGTTGGAAGTGTGAATAGTAACTGTTTTTATGTATAAGGTTAACAAACAATGCATTAACAAAATGTATTTACCTACCACCGTTTTTTAAACTAGCCGATCTAGTTCATTTCTTAGAATTGAAAAGATTCTAACAACTCTGTGGCCAAATGATAGCATATGCTAGTTTAGGCAGCTATTGTTATGCTCAACGGGGTTGCCACTATACTTGTAAAACTATGACAAAATTTTTATACGTGGGGGTATGTCAAACCCCCGCGCACACGGTTAAGGGTTAAAATGACTTTCTGTAAAAATTACGGTTCAAAAGTTATTGTAAATTATGGTATTTTCCCATAACGAAAAATAGGATTTTAGGAAAAAAGCCGGTTTTGATTTAACTTAGTATGATATGGTACGGTAATAAAAATTGAGTTTTTCCAATTTTTTTAAATTTTGATTTTTAATGGGGATTTTCCCATTAAACCCCATGAAATAAAAGTATGTGTCAGAATGCTAATACCATTTATTTCCTTTGTCATTGAAAATTATTTTCGTTGTAAAAATTAACTATTGGATGGATTGATGGAGGTATAAAAAGATAATTATAGAATAACAAGTTTTATCTTGGAGATATTTTCTTACTAAATTTCTAAATCCCTTGATATGTATTAGTTTTTAGATTTGGCAATTTATTAAGAAATTTTGATTCAATTTGTGTTGCTTTCTTTGAGAAAAAAGCGAGGTTGTTGTTATGATGGGCTATGTCTATTTGATCTCTATTTCTTGTATTAAATGTGTGTATATCTTTGCGAAACACTTATTTAAGAATTTGTTTTTGCGGGAATAATGGATTGTGAAATATACTGGTCAAAGATAGTTAGTGTATATCTAATTTTGTGACAAGTGAATTCTTACAGAGTGAACCATAATGAAGTAAGTCATGGCTCAATTGAAGCTAATAGCCAATGGCTTGGGTTTCGGTTAGTGATTGTACGAGTCCCTCCTTTGAATGTTATCCAGGCTACATTACATTGAGTTTGAATGAAAAGAAACAGAGAATTAATTTTTTTTCATAAGAACCTTGATGGAAGCAATGTTATCTGCGGTTCACTCCAAAGATTTGGTTAGTAAGATGCATATACTGTATGTATTCCATTGTTATAAACTTATGTAGTTCGTTTTTAAAAACAAACAAAAATTTTGTCCATTATGAAATTAAAAACTGCCTAATTGATAGATGCAGACAGGTATCACAGTTGATAACCAAATTTTTAAGGAATGTGAAAAATAATTTTTGGCCATCCGAATTGGTCTTTTTGTTATTCTACGGCATTTGATTTTAGTTTTGTTCAAGGGTATAATAAAGTAAGAAATATGGACAAATGGGTCCATATTCCATTGTCATTATCCAACAGCAACCTTTTATAAGGCTTAGCATCATTAATTGATAGCCCAAGTCAAATCTATGGGCCCAGAATCAAACTCACCTGGCATCAAACTAACGACCTTCATATTTCAAGAGGTATTCACATTAGCATCTCGTTTCTTTTTTAATAGTTTAACATTTTGCTATAGAAATTGTGTATATTTATAATCAGTAACCATAAGAGGCTTTTGAAGTTCTGAAGAAAAAAAAACTTTAATACCAGAGAGTATACAAAATACTTTTGAAAATTGTTCGTAAAACAGAATGTCTCTAGAGAGATCTCGTATTTATATGGAGCCATATTGAAGTGTTTTTATGGCATGGAGAATCTGCTAGTTAGTTAGAGATAGGAAGAGTACATATTCTGAAATTCACATCAAACCTGCATTACAGATTGTCTGTCATTTCACATTTCAACTTCCCTCTAATACAACCACCCATTTTAATGTGAAAGTGATTAAACAATTTCTATTAATTGCCCATGTTATTGGGTATAGATTGTGGATCTAAGTGTAAATTTAATTTTAAACTTTTGCACTCAAAGTTTGCAAGTTTGATGTGTGGGAGTGGAGTGTTTCCAAGTGACACTCTCATCTATTAACAATCTCGTGATCACAAACATCTAATTCTGAGTAGCCTACAACAAGTTACCATAATGGACACAAATAGTAAAAACCAAATAAAATACAGTAGCCTACTTGATTCAGGAGGGTCAATTGAAAAGTCCACTTCTCTGACTTCAGTATTTAAAAAGCAGTTTGGTGACTTAACTAAAGTCATGTTAACACATAGAACTTTGTCTAAAAACCTCTGTTACGTTTTTATTAAATTAATGTACCGTATAGGTATATTTAAATTTATTCTTCCAGGGTTCAATGGGGGGGGGCTTTGGCCCTTGTAGCCCCCCCTCATTGGAATCGCCACTGTGATCAAGTTATTATATCTATAATACGCTCAATAGCAGTTTATAACCCTACCTATATTGCAGGTTTCGTCTGTCTAAATTGCTGCATTGGTTAAATGTAGACAAGATTGAAAAAGAAGAACACCATAACGCCTCTTTCACAAGACGCGGCGCCCGCCGGATCCGGCGTAGGGCTATGGGAGTATATGAGTCCTTTCACACTATGTCCGGCGCGCGCCGTGCGGCGTTATGGATTTTAAAAGTCCTCTCCCTATAGTTACAAAGATCCTGACTGCATGTCTATTGCTGTTGCATTTTGTCCATACAATTATGTAAATGTACCTAACATACGTACATGTCAGGGCGTCACATGAGTGACTTGTGCATGGTTTGTGTACTTTACTTATTTCAATGAATTTTAAACTGGATGTGCACTGTTTTCCTCTTGGTATAAGGACTGGCTGTAGAGCGGCTTGGGCATATTCATTCATTTACTATAGTTTAATGTACCGGTATCTATACAATCATTTTTTGTATCCTGAAGCTACTTCACCTCCTAAATTTCGAAAGTTACAATTAGCCTAAGCCTGGTCTGTCTGGTGGTATCGTCCATAGTGTTCGTGTGTACTGTGTGTGTGTACCAGTGTCCCGTACTTCTTGGGCCGGGACCGGGACTGCCGCAGCGCCAGCGCCACCGTCGCTCGGCCCCACCACACTTGGCACATCATCACATTACAGTAACTCACTCGGAACTCGGACTCAACTTTGTGTTGTGTCGTTGTGTGGTGTGTATGTAGTTTTTAGTTTAGTTAGTCAGCGCAGTACAGTGAAGGTGTAGTGCCGTCTGTCTGTGTGTGATACGAGAGTGTCATGTGCGGATATGTCAGGTGAACAACAGCTCAGGTAGGCTACATACAGGAACAAATCGTCTGCTAAACTAACCTAACACTAAACAAACTCCCTTGACAGTATATTCTGCGGTCTAACAAGATAGAGGCCTACGTATTTAAACTTACGTTTATTAAGAAACACGTTGTTTGTTGTTTAAAACATTCGGTAGTTTGCAGAGTATGATACTTTTAATTCGTAAAATCGTATGGGTACCATGACTATGTTTAGGATTCTTTACTTGTTGGACTATTTTATTGGATTTAGCCCGGTATATCTGAAGCGAAGGTGTGAAAGCGTAACATGCATTTGCATAACTGGACAACTATGGACAAGCGGACGGCTCAATTGTATTATATTTGCAAAAATGTGATAAAGGAATTACGGTTCACACGGTTCATTGCTTTATGGTGTTTTGCTAAAATATTAAGTGGCATGTGACATATAGTGTTATCTCAAAATTAGTATACCTAAGCAAATAATACACTGATATAAAAGCGACGTTACTTTTATCACTATATTTAATTATTTTAATAATTTATTTAATTAGGACGAATTGCAAACTACCTTAACTATAATTATGAAGCTATTTATTGTTAGGTTTATTAAAGGTCCTCACTTGTAAGTATTATTAAAGCATTACAGTATATACAAGTAGACAATAACAATAACACACAATTTATGAGAGGTACCTATTATGGTTTTTGCAAATTATGTCCATGATACCGTACTACATTTTTTTACGCTCTCTTGTCGGATATCTCAAGAAGTAACGATTATTATTATTTCTGCATTGTAAATAAATGGTACTCTTGATTCCTTAGAACGTTGTTTGATATTGGGACAAACATGAAATAATACGTAATATCTCTTTTTTAATCCTAAAAGAAAAGATTAATGGCTTTGTTCATAATGTCTGAATCCTACAACTTCTAGAAATCATAACCACATTTTCTACATCTAGGGGCCTAGATAAGTTGTAAAACATAATAAATTATACACTAAACTTGTTTGTCCGTGGGGTGCGGTAGCTATGTAAAATTGTCTAGTTTTTATTTGAAATGCATTTTGATACAATTTTTATGTTACCAAAAAATTGAAAATCGTAATACTTTCTATATATTGAACTAGTTAAAAACACGAATGATTTAAATGTGTCTGTAAAAAAATAAAATAGGCGTAAAATAAAAAGGTTAAATACATCCAAACCCCCCCCTCCGCGTCTTACGTTATCGAGGATAAATTATGATAATAGTACTGTAGTTGCTGCAAATTGCTTGCGTATGAAAATGTATCAGTTGAGATGTTTCCCTATTTTATAGTAATCATTGGTAAGAGTAAAGACTGATGAAGCATAACAATCTGAGTCCGCCAGCGAATTTAAATTCTGTGGTCGCTGCAGTCCGTAAAAACAATAGATCGTTTTAAAGTGAAATAATTTATAAATAAAAAACTTTTTTAAAACAAAACGTTTTTAAACGCACTAAAAAGTAGAAAATGATTTTTAAATATGTGGAGAGTATAAATACTTGTAAGATTTAAAACGAAAAACGTGGGGTGCATGCAATAGATAATTTACAATTACCTTAACCTATTGAACTAATGTATTATCATCAATTGCATGCACCCACGTTTTTCGTTTTAATTCTTACAAGTGTTTATACTCTCCACATATTTTAAAATTATTTTATACTTTTTAGTGCGTTTAAAAAGTTTTGTTTTAAAAAAGTTTTTTATTTATAAATTATTTTCTACTTTTTAGTTTTTAATGTGTGCGGATGTTAAATCTATTTCAAGCATCTATATCAGATTAAGACAGAGGCATGTGGGAAATCTAAAGATTATTTGAGTTTCTTTTCATATAATTATGTATTAGATTGAATGTATGGCCTACCCGTGGCCTACCTTACCTACTAACTATAAACATAGACTAACCTCTACCTCTTAACCTCTCGTCTTCGAACTGTCAAATTTAAGTGTTTACAGCTGACTTAAATTAATTGATATATTTACATTCTTTTGGAAAATTTGGAAGCCCATGAGGCGTAGCCCAAGGGAAGTATGAAAATTAAATGATATAATATTGCATTGTCATCCATTTGTGAGCTATGTTTCAAATTTCAAGTCTCTAGCTCATCGGGAACTTCGTTTAATTGATATCAAAATTTGTAGGAAAGCGAGCTAATAAAAACAAAAAACAATCCCATGGGGCGTAGCCCAAGGGAAATATGAAAATTAAATTATACAATATTGCATCGTCTTCCATTTGTGAGCTATGTTTCATGTCTCTAGCTCATCGGGAAGTTAGTATAAAATTGATTGCAAAGTTTGTACCGGACAAGAAAGCGAGCTAATAAAAACGTTTTAAAAATGATCTAGCTGTTTTTCAATGATTTCCAGAAATATGTCAAGTTATGTGCATTGCATATCTCATGGTTTAGTCTTTGAAGTTTCATTTTTAAGCCTTTTTATCTTACGGAGATTAGCCGAATATCACATAACAGTTCATTAAAATTTTCTTCTTGGTGTCAATAATGATAACGAAGTTAAAGTTGATTTTTTTGTCATCAATCAAATAAGTGTAAGTTATAAAATATCTTTTATAAATTTCTCGTTATTAAACTGAGCCAAATAAGCAACCTATGTGCGTATTTTTTATATTACTAGGTGAAACCCGTCGAAATCGACGGTTACTTTCAAGGCTTACGTTAATTCATCTAATTGCGATAAATAGGGTGAAATATACATATTTTGAGCATTTAGCATTGTTTAAAGAGTAATAAGTGTATAAAAAATAATGATATTAATTGCGTTAGTTGCCAAATTTGGTTGATCATTCAATGAAAGAAATATTCCCCATACCGTACGTCATCGGAGTTATTATTAGTATGTTATCTGGTATCTCTTCCTTTGGAAGAACCTTTAAATAGTATTAAAATCGTATTGGTGGATCTTCTGTAGTTAAACACTTCCGTGATTTCATCAGTGTAATATTTTTTTATTTGAAAAGAAAATATTTTTTGGGAAGACATATTCTAATTTCAAAGGGAGGTATGTCCGTTACAGTGTAAGTTTGATTTTCCTTCGTCGCGTCGCGTCAGTTCATATCGTACTGTACTTCAGTGCCAATGAATGAACCCTCTAGCATAGTTTTGAGAAATTGATTGTGGGGTTACTGTTAAGGCTGGAATTCCTTGACATGGGGGATGTCAGTTAGTTGTCTCAGCCTTATCAATAACATAAAGTTGTCAATATAATCTCTCTACGGAATGTTAGGTGTAGTGGATTACTTGAAGTGAAGTTGGATTTTATTTTTGAACTGTTAGGGGCCTCCTAGTTTATACGGCCTTGCGGCTTCATTGGCAACAAATAATCCAAATGACAATGAGCAATGGGACATTTCCAAAAAACAAAAATACTGTAAATTGGCTGTTATGTAAATATTGACGTTTACATGCACTGTTAATAAACGTATCTTATAAAGGATTATGTGATCTAGTTTAAAAGGAATATGACCTTTCTGTCATGACAGTGGCTGCTTAAATTGTATTTTCTCTTTGTACCATATTTTACAGTCAAAATGTCGTGTTATTTTCAATAATGTTACCAACCCAGTGCGCCAAAGTCCGTAATATAGGCAGGTGCAAATAATTTGTCAAGATCGGTACCATTTTAGGCAAAGTTTCTATGTTTGGATTTTATAAGACACGATAAGAGCATATATTTCTACATAAATATTTGATATGTGTAGAATAATTTTATAAAATGTAGGCAAAAGTAACGAAAAAGGCAGACACCAACCCGTACAATAGATATAAGATAGGTAGTTCAATAAGAAATAATTTAAGAATTGCTGTGATAAATGGATTTTCTACTGATTTTGTAATGGAGCGTTATATTGCAAAACATGAATCAACAAAAATAAATATTGCAAATCAAATTTAAAATCAGAAAATAACATTGCAAATACTTATTTGGTAGAATTCAGTAACTTCCAATAAATGCGTGTTGTTTGAAATACAATTTAAAAATGAACAGCTGTTTCATTAAAAAGTATTATTCACATGGCCAAAATGTAAACAACTCTGTGGAGGGATCTTTAAAGGCTTCTGGGGCAGAGTCCTAAGGGATTTTGCTTAGTTTTTCTTTTGATAACTCATCTACAGACCAAGACCTTTCTTTGGACACCTCCGCCAAGTTTCTACGCCCAGCCGTTCTCTCAAATTAGTGGGGACAAAGTTTCCAATTAAATATTTAGATTTTCCCATGTTAATCTTATGGGAGAAACTCCAACTTTGATGGCCTGTGGGGCAAAGACCGAGGATTTTTATTGCAGGAATTGGTGAAAGGGGGCGTCTACACAAAAAATACTTTATTTCGACACGTCGTTCGTACAAATCCGTCCATTATTAACGGAGGAGTAGTGTTTTGTAGAAATCGCCTTCACGTATTATATATAAGGATATTCCCAATATAGGGAATACGCTAATTATTACCGTAGGTCTCACGGTAAGACTTAGCCCGGGACCTATTTACTTTTTCGTTTTGATGTCCCCATAGGCCAAAAACACCATCGGTTCAAATTCGTATCCATGACCATTCCATGACTTAACGAAGCACAAACACACTCACACTTAAGTTATATATTTGTGTCTGGTTAGCACCATAACTCGTGCAAACATCGTCCGATTTTGATGACATTTTGTACAAACCTGTAAACCCACGTTAATTCGAACGGGTTCGCGGACCAGCGTGATCGGACCATGGGAACGGGGGTTTGGTGGGGTTTTATGGGGTAAAAATGGGGGGTTTTCATTTACCCTCAACACATAAAATTTCCTAGTTACTCTCTCAAATAGTTGATGAACTTAAAAAAACAAATAATTTAGTATATTGGAAGTGTTTTTTGTACGGTTCATTGCTTACAGTGATAATTCAAAAAGATTTAAATTTAAAATTTCCGTGTTATTCTTAACAAAGAATATTTTTTTTTAGTTTGATTTTTTACGGATGTA